CAAAACCATTTTTTACATACTTCAGAAAATGGCAACATTCAGTATTGTCAGTATTTCATGATGAATGGACCAATAGAAATGCCCCAAAATGACTTAAGTCCTATTACATTAACTTTGATTGAAAGTTAAGAATGTTTTTGCTTTCTCCTGTAAAGTTACTATTTTTGAGATAGAAAATTTTGTTACGGCAGTGACAATGTACTGGTTTTAAGAAGACACACTACTCATACCTCCCCACTAAAAATGAATTATAATTAATTGATTAATGAGAACATAGTTATTCAATATGCAAAGCTATTTTTACATGGCAAATATATTACATAGTGATAGATGTGTTGCACTATCAATCTCTCTCTGAACTATAACTGTTCATAGTTATAATGCAGCTTCATGACATTAGCTTTTATTTAAAACTTTTAACAATGAAAACTTACATGCACTTATATGAACTTCATTATCATAAGGCCTTATGTTGATCAGAAAGCCTTGTATTTATTTAATACAATGTTCTTTTATTCAAGAAGGTTTTTCCCTTTTTCAATGGGAGCTCTGGATTTAAAATTTTTAATAGCAATGCTGCCTCATGAAATTATAGCTGAACACAGCTTGTAAAGATCATTGCACACACTTCCACATAGCACATTTTAGGCTACTTAATGCACATTAGGCGTGGGGGGAGAGACTCAATTCTTGGATGCATCGCGATGCATACGTGGACGTTTCTGAATCGATTCACAAATGTCAAAAATCGATTTTCTAACTTTAAATTGATAACGTAATGTTGACGGAACGCAAAAGGTGGAACTTGGAAGTGCAGAAGTGCAGCGCCCGAACACTCTGTGGCGTGCACATAACAAAAACAGAAATGGATGAGCGAGAAATCCGACCGGCACCCTGTGCATTAAAAGCTAGGTTAGGTCAGGAGTCACAACCCAAATGTTAAGAAGAGCCGTTTTGTCCTTCCAACAAAAATCAAACCACATTGGGAGCCACAACATTTTATGTCCAATATGTCTCAGTATGTGCTAACGGCATAGTATAGGCTAAAAAATAAAAACGTAGACTTACTTTGCTCTGCTTTAGCTTCAGCTATAGCCGCTTTCCTCCCATCTCCACCAAAAAACTTCTCCTCAAAAGTAAAACAGTTTCTTGTAAAATGTCTCTCAACTTTTGCATGTTTTACGAGGCTGAAGTTTCTCATTGTCCAGCTTCTTGTTCGAATTTACCATTCCACCTTAAATGGTGCCTGAGGCACCAGGATATAAAGGCAGCACCATTTAAGGTGGAACGGGAAATTGGAAAGAGAAGCTGACTTCAGCTTTGCAACTTTTTAGTGTTTGACAGCTTCTCATTGTAGATTTACGTACCAGGAAACCAACTGCAGTGCTTATAAATACGAATAAGTCCATTAATCTCCAAATGTTCATCTTGAATCTTTCTCTTTGCCTTTTCGTTAGCTACTAGCTAGGTGAGATTGCCTGAATTACTATGTGACCTGCAGTCTGCACGCCAACCTTCAGGGTTATAGGGTGGTGAACTAGCAGCGTTTAAGGCCATGTATTGTTAAAACTGTGTCAGAACGATCAGCAAAGCTTTATTTTACTGCAAAGGAGGATTATTTTATTTAAAAATCTAATTCTGCTGTGGAGCCGCACCAGGGCAAAAGGTAAAAGAGCCGTATGTTGCCGATCCCTGAGCTAGCGTATGGAAGCACTTTGGCTTCTTTGAAGTTAAAGGGGAAAAGGACCTGAATAAGAGCCACACTATATGCAAGTTGTGTCACACTAAACAAAAGTATTTTGTAAACGATAAACATGAGAAACCATATTACACGTTTCCACCCGTTTTCCGTCCTGTTGTACTTGCTCCAACCAGAGGACCATTGAGCAAGCGATGTCAAAGCTTCCACCCGACTCGGAAGCGAATTGCAAACTATCGCAACTTTTATTGCCAAGGATTTGCGTCCGTGAGAACGAGGGCTTTCGCGCTATGTTGCACACTTTGGAGCCGAGATACAGCGTCCCGTCTCGAAGATATTTTACTGACACAGCGACACCCCACTCTCTACAACCAGACCAAAACCGAAGTTATGCAATCACTGAAGAAAACGTGTAGGATAGCTGTAACGCGTTGCGTGGACATCCACTGCCACGGATTCTTATTTCACCGTGACAGCGCATTTTATCGCAGATGAGTGGCAGCCTGAGTCTCACGTGCTTCAAAACAAGAGCAGTGAATGAGAGCCTTCCAGTTGACTTGCCTCATGGCTTCCGTTTGATTTATTAATAAAAGATATTGAAAGTAAATTCATTATGGATCATTACAAATACTTTGCTGTAAAAGTACCAAGTCCCCACACATTGAGAAAAAAAGAAATCCTGTATAGGAAAAAAAAAGATGCATCAAGATGCATCGATAATCGTTTTATAATCGCATCACAGCCTTCTGAATCATAATCGAATCAAATCGTGAGGTACCTAGAGATTCCCACCCCTACTGTACATGTTTAGAGCATCAAGGACTAGCGCTTTTTTGCCTGCTCTAGTTTTTAAAAACAATCAACTGATGAACAATTGTGCATCATTTTTGTTTTATTGACCACTATTGGTTGATTGGCAATACCTTTATGCATCACTGCCAGCAGTCACAATGTTTGGTTTGACCACCACACTGCATGTTGGGTAGTTTAATGTGCTGTTGTTGACAAGGTCACGCATTGATATCAGATAAAATGATCTATGTTCTGTGGTCTGTAACGTTTGTATGATCAATATAGATTTAGAGTCATGCCTTCCTGCACATTGTGATCGTTTTTTCTATCCATTTGTATCATCCGTCACTGGGGTACAATCAGCTGATTAATAGGCTTAGCCTGTTTTTTTCCCTACACACTCCACATGCGTTCACAGCTGCACCTGCACCAGATAATCAGCTTCATATATTCATTCCGAGGGCAATGGATGGATACCGTGGCATGCTCCTGAACATTCAGCAGGATAAAATTATCCTCTGTCTGGTCAAAAAGGCCTCCAGAAACACCTTTCAACAAGATTTCAACAATCAGATTCGCCTGGATCTGAGCAGATTAGATTGAGGGATTAGTAGAACTTTACTGAGGAATTAAGTGGCTTCATTAAGGCAATCACAAGCATACACTGATTCAGTTTGTACAAGGAAATGCACAAAAACAGAAGTGAATAAACACACAAACAAGCATACGGAAAAGTTGATGCCAGACTGCCAGATTTGATGATTTGACAAAATGTAGCAGACCCTGGCTCTGTCTGTCATCATGCTTCATAACTATGCATGCTCAGACTCACATTTTGCAGTGTCTCTTCCATATTTAGGCATGGAATTCTTTATCACACCCACTAATGTTTCATACATGCATTAATCAAACATTAAGCTAGTGAACAACGATTCGGGTGTAGAAGGTCAGAATGTGACTCTTAAACGTGCGTGTGTGTGCCTCACTCTCCCTGATTGGATTGCTGGTGATCGCAGGCTGTTGTATGCTTTGCACATGTACATTACACAACAGAAAGTTGAGACCATACAATCTGATTGGTTGAATGGTGTTAAACCCATGTTGTTCTATCTGGAAGCAGCATCAGAATCAGATACAGATTTATTGGCCAAGTATGTTGACACACACAAAAAATGTTTGGTTCCAGCTGTTAGCATCTCTCTAGTATTATCCTGCTGCTGTCAGAACAAAACCTCTTATCTCCATTTTTCTCGTTTTTGAGTTTTTGGCGTAATTTGAAAATGTCTGTTGCCCTTTAAATTGTGTGTCAGTTTCATGATGAATGGACCAAAAGGAATCGGCCAAAATTACCTGGACAAAAAGTCCTGTTCCATTGACTTACAGTACATTAAAAGTAAAGTATGTTTTTTCCTTCTCCTGTAAAGTTACCTTTTTGTAATTTACAGACAATACACAGTATACAATGTACTCAGTATACAAGCAATAAGCAGACAATAAAAGGACAACAATATGCAAACAATGTACATATTATTTACAGACAAAAATGCACAATATAAAAGCAACATAAGATTACATAGGGATAAGCAATATACATAAGAGTGTGTGGTAGTGCAAAAAACAGTAGTATACTTCATGTATGGGAATGAAATTGTAGTGTACAATAGTATGGATGTGAAGTAGGTGTAATAACTATCTGGAGAAAGTAGGAGTAGCTATAGCCTAGCAGATGATATTACTGTTTAGCTGTTTATGAGGGTGATGGCCTGGGGGAAAGAAACTGCTCCTGTGTCTGGTAGTCTTAGTTTGCTGGGTTCTGTAGCACCTACCAAAAAAGGAGGAGTTGATGAAGGTTTTGTCCAGGTGTGGGTAATCTGTAATGTAATGTAATGAGCACCAATTATTTTTTTCAGCTGTTTTTCAGACTGTTCCATCATATCTGTATCAGTCCATTGACCTCTGATTACAACAGTAGTAACAATAGTTGCTTTACTCTAAGCTGCTGAAATAAATTTTTGGTGGAAGAAATTGTCAATATTTGTCGCATACAAAGGTCTAAGACCAAATTGAAAACTTGTGTTGTCAATGCCAACAAAAATAGGACATAACAAATACTAAAGATATTGTGAAATTCATGTAAATGAAAGATTCTACTTTTTACTTAAAATGTTTGCTGAAAGTAATTTATAATGAAAAAAAATCCAATATAAAATGAGCAAAATAGACACATTTTAACCATTGTAACCCTGTGTTAAACAATGTTTCACACTTCTTTATATCTTTCTTTCTTTCTTTACTTTTCAAAACTCTTGGATAAGTCCAGTAGAATACTTGCAAGATTGTGGGCTGTTGTAAATAAAATCATGGCCAAAAAAAAATAAATAAATAAATAAAAAAAAAATAAATTTTTATATATATATATATATATATATATATATATACATACGTGTGTGTGTGTGTGTGTGTGTGTGTGTGTGTGTATATATATGTATATTTATGCCTTTGTGTTCAGGTTGGAGTGGGTGGAGATTATTGAGCCTCGCACACGGGAGCGGATGTACGCCAACCTGCTGACGGGGGAGTGTGTTTGGGACGCACCTGCGGGCGTGAGGATTAAGCGTAGTGGCCAGGACCAGTGGTGGGAGCTGTTTGACTCCAACACATCACGCTTCTATTACTACAATGCCTCCACCCAACGAACTGTGTGGCACCGCCCGCACGGCTGTGACATCATCCCCCTTGCCAAGCTCCAGACTCTCAAGCAGAACACGGATTCGCCACCGCCCGTCACCACAACAATCAGTGCCTCGGCTGACAGCAGCCCGGCCCGCAGCGCTGTCAGCACCACATCATCACAAGAGCAGGAAGACAAAACAGCACCCAGGGAGGAAGGAGAGAGGTGAGAGAGGTGACAGAGAGAAAGGAAGGGAGAAGAAAAAGAGACTGGTAAAACTGATGTGTTAGTGAGTCCTAAATCCAGCACAAATGTTAGGGCCCAATATGAACAAACTGCACATAGAAATGCTTCTGGAATATTTGACACATTTGCACACCTAATATGGTATTAAGTATATAATATGCACATTTTTATGCAAAGTAATATGATACTGATCATAAATTAGGCTTTTATGCCTACTTACTGAGGGATTCACTGTAAATCTGCAACATACAAGAATATTACATGTGTTACAAACTTCAAATGTTAAATTTAAATCACAGCAGCCATGAGTGGTATTAAACCCAGTGTTGGAAAATGAGTATACACCACCATTAGCTTGGCACTAGCATAACATTGTAAATTCCGTAGGGTGTTCATGAAAATTAGCATTATTGTAACATTGATAATCAGATAAACAGATGCTACTTATGAAGGGATAGTTCAAGTTGAATGGACTACAGGAATACAAATTTCCAGTGCTCATCTGGATTACCACGGGTCAATTTGCTGTACACTGTAACCTATTCCATGATGACGTCTGGGCGAACTTCATTCAGAGCAGATAAAAGATTGTTCTGTTATTTCTATTAGATTCAGAGAAGCTACAAATATAGGATTATAATTGGTCTAAGAGTGACAGCAAGTGCTAACCTTTTCCAAAAACAAATGACCACCAGCTGGGTTAAATGTAGTGGCAGAAGCTGTGAACAAACATCCGGACTGACAGGGTGTTCCGGTGCTTGGGTGAGGCACTTGACCTCCCCACAGTTAGGCAGCAAAATGACAAATTCCAATTGTAGGATCAATAAAGAATACCGTAAGACATGAGTAACATTCAGTAAAATAAAAACTGAGAAACCTTAATAGATAAATGTGTTTCAGGCACTGCTCACAAAGTGCATTTTATAGAAAATATGTAAACTCATTTGCAGTATGAGTGCATCTAGATGCAACATCTAGTCTGCACTTAAGTAGTTTCACCTCATTGGAGAAAGTGTTGGGGAAAGAAGTAAGCTGTTGATTGTGTGTGACAGAAGAGAGAGTGAGCGAGAAAGAATGTGTAAATTGATTTGAAGGTCAGATATCCATGAATAATTTATGACCACAAAGAAACAGGGTTCACTTTGTAATTTTTTTTTTTTTTTTAAAGAAAAGGATGTGTGTGTGTGTGAGAGAGAGAGAGTGAGAGAGAGAGAGAGAGAGAGAGAGAGAGAGAGAGATGAGCTACTCAACAGAGTTTTAATCCAATTTCTAAATGAAACACACACATTCTTACACACCCTAACACAGTCTTGGCTGTGTCAGTAGGTCCGGTCTTGGGGAGTTTTCAGGCTGCTAGAGTGGCCACTTTAGCAGAGTGGCCAAGTGCTGAATTGATTTCACAGTACTGTCACTCTGCTTTGCTTTAATGCAAAGAGGCAAATGACTGTCCTATATTTTTAAGGCTTAGCAGGCTTTTTAGATTTATGTAGATAGTGTACCTTGAAATGTTTTCTGGGCGACAGCTTATTATAACACATCCTAGCTATTGCCATATTAAATTAGCATAACCTTCAATAATGGCAACATGAAATTGAATTTTCTGTTTGATAATGGTAACATAAAGGCCTATGGGCCAGTTTCCTAAACCCAGATTAGGCCTAACTCTGGACTAAAATGGATTTTTAATAATGAATCACCATTGGCATTGTGGTTTAGACTAAAACTAAATATAATTCATGTATAGCGAAAAAGATATGTGGCATGCTAAGCAGTATTAATAAAGGTCAGTATCACATTTTCCAAATATATTGTGGTATCTGATTATATAAGATTTAATTATACTGCCATATAAAAGTAAAAAGCAATTCTTTTAACAAGTAAATTAAAATTTTTTGTTTGGTGGTGATGTATTGGTGTGTGGCTTGACCACTAATAGGCGGTACTAGTCCTTTCACAAAGACAAATGATCATGGATGTAGGCAGTTTTGGTTTTCTTTGCTATGAATCATTGGTAAATGAAAAAATAAGCAACATATATAAATAAACACACACTTCCATACATAAATACAGTACTGTGCAAAAGTCAGAGACCACCTTATCATTTATTTTATTCTAGTCAAAATGGACAGTAAGTAAAAGCAGTCAGTAAAAAAGTAGCAAACATATTTAACAGATAATTAGACAAAAGCCTCAACTAAATTTAATAGAACATTTTTGAGTTTTAAGTGTGTCCAATCTTTGCCTTTATTAAAGTTTCTGTTCTTTTTGGGGGGACTTCCTTTTTAAAAAATTCTGCAGAGATATTTTTCCACACTTCAAGTAAAATCTTTACAGTTTTGTAATAAATAATCCCAAACATATGAAATGATGTTGAGGTTTGGCCAGTCCATTGTTCTGAGAACATCTGCAGTTTCTTTGTTTGACAAATAGATCCTGATCTTCTCAGCAGTGTAGTTGTGATTTTAATCCTGCGGTAGAATTAATTTGTTTCAAATCAATGGTTTCCAGACGGTATTACGTGATGTATTTATATTTGATTATACTTATCAGCTTTCATGATACCTTCAATCAAAAATGAGCTACATAATCTACCACTCTGAAATTCTTTTAAAACTAAATAACTGAATGCCAAAAATCTCTGCGTCTTTTCTTGTTCGTCAGATTTAGGTGGGGGACTGGCAGCAAGGACAGAATGCTGATAAAAGTATCAGACAGGGAGCCCAGTTTTCTGTCACAGGGGAATGGTTATTCTGGCTCCTCCCCTCGCTCCCGACGCTCATCTAGCAATGCACCCTCTGACCCAGAAGTCACTCCACATTCTCTACCTGACCGCCGCCAATCACAGTCCCCCTTCTTGAAGAGGGCAGAGCTTGGTGGCACTCAGCGGCGCTGCTCTGGCGACTCACAGCCTCCTTCCCCACGCTACGCTTACGAACCTCCACTCTATGAGGAACCACCCTCAGAGTACCAGTCTCCGCCTATTTATGAAGAACCACCTACTGATATGCATTGTGACCCCAGCTTCTATAGTTCTGACAGGTCGCCAGCACGTAAGCCTGGTTTTTATCACTCGCCTAAACAAAGCCCTTCCCCTTATGGTCAGCTGGTGTTGACCAGACAGAGAGGCTCCACCCCTGAGAAGACACCCAATCAAGGAGACCGTGATTACAGGTGAGGCTTCTTCCAGCATATGTGCTCTTTTACATTGCTTTATGAGCATTAATTTATTTTTTAATATGGTTTTATTCTTTGACTATTCCATATTTTACTAATCGTTATTAATATTAATACTTTTATAATTTTTTTTTTTATTTTTAATTACATTTTTCCTTCCTTGGTCAGTGCCTTTATTTTCATTATTTTTGTTGTTCTCTTGTTTGGGTTTTATTTTAATGTGTGAGAGGTGCTGTAAAAATTTAGTTTATTATTATTATTATTGTTGTTGTTGTTGTTGTTGTTGTTGTTGTTACTATTATTATTATTATTATTATTATTATTATTATTATTACAGCTCAAGTGGCCGTGACTATAGTTCTGCAGGGCGGGACTATAGCTCTGGCGGACGGGACTACAGCTCTGGTGGAAGAGACTACAGCTGTGGTGGGCGAGATTATAACTCCAGTGGGCGGGAGTACAGTGCAGCAGGACGAGAATATGTAAAGCAGCTGGTTTATGTGGAGCAATCAGGCTCTTCTCCTAGGTTTCGGACAACAGAGCGACTTTTAAGCTATGGCACAACTGGAACTGGGGGTGTGTGTGCTGGAATGTCTTTCGGGGGCTCCTTTACACTACAGCACAGTCATGATGGTGGTGGTGGCAATCGAAAACGTAAAAATCGCAAGCCGTCCTTGCCTGGTGGGGAGGGTGAATGCATGGGGGCAGGTGTAGGAGTGATGCTCACTCAAGCACGACTGGCCTGGGAGGCCCAGCAACTCATACAGCAGCGTGGAGGTGTGGCCTCAGGGGGCGGGAGCTAAGGACGGTTACGAGAGCGATGGAGCAACACCCCTGCCACTGCCAGGGCCAGTGGTGCGGGCATTCAGTGAGGATGAAGCCTTGGCACAGCAGGATGGGCACTGGAAACGTGCCACGCTGGACAGACTCGCATTTCCTCAGACACTCTTAGAGAAGAGCCTGTCTGTACAAACCAATCTAGCATCACCCGAACCTTACCTGCATCCCTCACAGGTAATACACATACAAGCATTGCACATAAGCAATCTTAAGCATACTTGTGATATTGGCCATTTGGTTCCCACAAAAAAAAGGCAACAGAGTGTACGTGTACACACTCACACATTTCAAGAACATTAAAAAGTTTATGGTGATTTATTTGGAGTGGTCCTTTGTAGATGTTTAATAAACTCTTAACAGATTATCAGTAACACATCAGTGAAGTAGCAGTAGTGCAGCATCTGAATACACTGAAGTAAATATCTTGACGATAAACTGTTGATATTTTGCTTACGTTAAGTAGATGTATTGTTAACATGTTACTTCCGTTATGCAAAACCTAAATTAACCCAACCATACCCAAAACCTAACCCTAACCCTGGCCCTAATCCTGACCCTAACCTTAACCTCAACCCAAAACCTAATCCTAACATGTTTTTGACATGTTACTGAGAGTCTGATGAGTGTTTGTTTCATCAAAAAGGACCACTCAAAATAAATTGTCACCAAGTTTATCTTTCCAAGCATCATGTAATTTGATTACCAGTTGTGACACATAGACTGAATATACACTCATAGGCCATTTTACACCTACCATATAGGATTTGGGAATCAACAACACATTACACTGTATTATGGGATCATTCCACTGTATTGTCAGGGCTAGTTCCCTGTGCTGCAAATACTCACACATTCAATGAAAGTTAAAAAAAATGGCTGTTTTATATAATTTAGTACTACATATTATACCAATACTATATTTCACTCAGTTACTACTGCCATATTTCACTCAGTTATTGGCATATTTCACTGTAGTTACCCTTTTAGTGAACACTGCCAGCCTAGCTATTTAGCAAACTAATGACACTATTACTTTATTGCACTATAATAAACCCCATAAAAATCAGTAGCAAAGTGGTTATGGCTTGAAGTTTATACCAAAAGGGCAGTTCATTTGAAGGCTTTAAGATAAATGATGCTAATTGTCTGTTACCTCTGCTAACATTACTAGCCTGCATAGCTGGAAAACAAGAGGTTTGTGAAGAGTTTGCTGATACCAAATGTGACAAATTCTCAAAATTCTGTTTAAAATTGTATTTTATTAAATTTAGATGAGTAGAGTGTAAAATAAGCTTGAGCTAATATTTATCAACACTCTCACTGTCTCACTGTCTTCTATGTGTCATTTAATTTAAAGGTCCACGCAGTTAAATGGAATTTTCTTTTTGCTGTAATCTGATTTTGCTGTAATCTTTGATCTAGTAGCAGGGTTGGGCAAAATACTTTGAAAAAGTAGTGATGGCTGGATATTGAATGCACTGCCCTAACTTTGGAATACATATTGGTAAAGTACATGGGAAAAACTCATGTAATTTTTATTTCTCAGTGTTACTGATTGGCAGTTTTCATGTAATTCTTACAATATGTTTCATGAAAAATTAGTTATTCAAATTCTCAACCTTATTTTGGCTCTTATCACTTACTTTAGTCCACTGCTGCTCCCATAATCTCGCTACCCTTTCATGACTTAAGACTAATAATAATATCTGCAAATTTGACAAAAGAATGAATATCATTAAGTGAAATTAGGCTGTATAATTTCCGTTAATGGTATGTATGTAACTTGCCACAGAACACATTTACAAGCCCAGTACAATCCTGAAGCTAAGCTTATCAATCAAGAATATGTCCGTTACTCAGTTCAGTCATCCCTCAACAGCGTTTACAAAAACAGATTAATAACTGGCTCATCATAGTAATTTATCAGTTTACTCAGGTTTTAGTGTTCATAAAGAAGCAATTTTTAAAGTTCTTATTTAGGGTCTTATTTAAGTCTTTACATGCTGTGTGCTGATTTTAAAATAGTTACTTAACGAGCAGTGATTCTTGAGTTTCTTTGAAAGACAGTGTATATATTTTTTTTAATTTAGTGAGTAAGTATTCTAAAAGTATTCTCTTACTGCAACTGCATTCTGAATACTGCCTTTACAAAATGTAACTTGGACTAAAAACAGATATGCCAATATATAGTAGGTCTATGGGCTCCAGATCAGGCAAAACCAAAAAAAAAAAAAAAACAGGTAGGAAAGAAAGATCCTGCTATGGCTCCTCTCTAGGTACACGGTAGGTGTACTTATTGTACGTTTTCGTGTTACGTGTTAGAAACAACAATAGATTTTTGCCTTATCTTGCCTTATAAGACCTGCTGTCTGAGAAATATTGTAGCTTTGTCATGTAATGCTGCTGGGATAAAAATCAGCTGCACCACCGTGTCACAAAAGCCTGATGGGATAACTATTGTCCCTTATTTAGCTAGAAAAACTAGTTCAGCTCAGTATACTTCAGCAATCTTTTTGGTTTCTAGTCATGCACTGTGTGGCGTTGTTTTCCCTGGTCTACTCGGCTTGATTCAGTCAGCTTTGAATCTTAAGCCCTATTCAGTCCAGTTTAATATTTGAAAATCCTCTAGCCTGTGAAGAATTGCAAGTGAAGTACTACTTAAATGTTGGCAGTTGGGTTACTTGGAATGACTCTTCCTGTGAAAGAGCTATTCCACTTATGGTACTAGCCAGGCTAGTGATATTATATTGGCACTATGCTAGCCCACTTTTCTATCTCTGACTGTGGTCCCTCATTAAATTTATCATTGCTTGTGGTCTGCTAGAATGAAAGGCTGGCAGAAAAGATGAGGACACAAAAAAAACACTCTGTGGAGCAGCCTCTAAGTTGAGAGAGGTGTGGATAATCACATAAAACTCATTAAAAGGCAATGGGTCTACTGCCAAACATTCATTAGTGTCCTTTCATTTTCAAACCACCACCCCCCCCCTCTCTCTCTCTCTCTCCCTTGCGAAAAACACACACCTATTTGCTCTTACATAAAGTCAGTGTTAGATCACTGCAGTACCAAACACTCCAACTTGCCATAGTGAACAGCTGAGTCGATGGAAACGCTTAAGAAGTTCATTGGAGGTTTCTGCATACTTTAACCAACTTTTGGATTGTATGTTTCCATTTGTTTCTGGGAAACAATACTTCTAATGCTAAACCACTGCACACACACTCAAAACTGAGAGACACACCCTGCTGTTAGAGTATAAATATTTCAGCATCTGCAGATGATTTTAAGAGTCTTTACTGAGCTGGCTTATGTAAGGATTAATGTCTGCTTCTCTCTGTAATACATATACGCACCATTGGCTACAGATGGATGGATGGATGGATGGATGGATGGATGCATGGATGGAAGGATGGATAGATAGCATACAGTACTGTGCAAAAGTCAGAGACCACACTTCATTTATTTAATTTCAATTTCCAGTCAAAATGCCCATCAAATGCAAGTTATTGTTTAATTCAGCATCAGGAAAAAAGCAAAGAAAAATACTCAACAAAAAATGACAGCCTAAAAACACACACACACACACACCACACACACACCACCTAAACCGCTTATCCTTTTGGGTCGCTGGGGGGGGGGTGCTGGAGTCTGTCCCAGCTGTGATTGGGTGGAAGGCAGGATACACCCTGGACAGGTCACCAGGCCTTCCCAGGGCAGACAGACAGACATATACATCCACACACACAATCACACACACATTCACAACAGCCTAAACAACTAAACATAATATTAAACCACAGCTTCTATTCTTTTCAGGAGACTTGCTTTCAGTCTTTTTGAAGAAGTCTGCAGCCTTAGACCTTTTTGCATTTTTCTGCTTTTCATAATGCACGTAATCCCAAACACATTCACCTTTACACAGTACTGTATATTAACATTTCCAACACAGTATATGCATGGTTCCCCAACAGAACAGACAATGTGACCACAGGAAGGCACAGAGACAAAGAGAGACAACGGGAGAGAGTTAGAGAGATGAGAGGGTTGTATCCCTGTTTGTGCGAATGTGCTTATTAAGCAGATAAATCCACAGAGGAGCTTTGAAGATGGAGTAGAAATGTTGCTGGAGCACAGCTGGAGGAATGATAAGAATCAAATTCATTTGTATTCACTTTTACAGATCACATATAAGAAATTTGTCTCAGAGAACTTGGTACATATAATGAACTGTTGGGGTGGTATAGCTGAGATTCAGTGGTGCGTGGAGTATTGGAACACATATGATGGGAGAATATAAACTGATGCACACATATTTTCATGGTCATATCAACACCTTGTCACTCCAGTATTTTTGTATTTAGGACAATAGAAAGGCTTCAAAATTACTTGGAAAAAGTCTATTTAAAATTAATGCACATGCAATTTAAGAATTAAACAGAATTAAGAACTATACATGTACAGTAGTTACAAATTACAGTAAATAAAAGTGCAGTACATTTAGGCCTAAGTGTGCCTAATGCAGGGGTGTAATGCAACGAATGCTAAGTACTCATGTACAAAACATTATTCTGTACATGGATTAAAATATGGAGTAAAAGCTTGGAAGCGTTTCCATAGGGTTGTGGGAGTGTGATTTTGAGCATTCCGTATGTATTTTTGATATGTACCGATTGGCAGGTTGACAAATAGCTTTTTCGATGAGGATAGAGAGTGAGAGAGAGAGAGAGAGTGAGAGAGAGTGAGAGAGAGTGAGAGAGAGAGAGAGAGAGAGAGAGTGAGAGAGAGTGAGAGAGAGAGAGAGAGAGAGACAGAGAGTTACAATGTTACAGTTTCAGTACAATTACAGAGACTGCATGACTCATTTATTAAGAGCATTAATCAGGGAAGCATTAGGGTCTGAGGAATTTATGGTCTGCTTACAGTCCAGTCACCAGAAGCTGTTTTCTGCTAGCTAGTCTGAAAAATGATTGCACAAAGACTCGCACACAGATCAGACTGTTACACGGAATGACAAAATGGAGACATTTCCCAGAGTTCTATATGTAAAAAGGAATGTTAAAAAATTAGATAGCCTACACTGATATTGCTATACCCAAGACTGAGGGCAAAAAGAGCTGAGACGCAATGCAGCATTTTAGAAATTGCCCTGCGTTGTGCTGTTGTATTGAAATACATTGTAGCATATAGTGCATTGTTCTATCTGTTATCTGCTGCCTTGCTTAAACTCCTGTTATTGTGACATAAGGACTTAATGTGATAAAACATGTTCATAAGGCACATTAATTATCTGCCTCATCACATTTTATCATGGTTGTCAATATTCTGGAACTCAAATCACAAAAGTGTGATTGTATCACATATTCAGGCCACTTTGAATTTGAAGCTTCTACTAGCTTGTTTTCCTCCTTCTCTCAGTACTCTGAGATTAAGACATTTAACTCCCTGCATTTCTATGAAGTCATTTGCATGGACCTGCTAATGCTGATTATGACTGCATTCTCTCTTTCTCAGTCGGAAGATCTCGGAGCATGCTCACAGTTTGAGGCAAGTCGGAATGCCCGCAACATGATGCCCAGCGCCAGCTGTGGTGTGTTTCCAGAATTCTCTCTGCGAAAGCCCTCATCTGAGACCGACATTGAGAACTGGGCATCCAAGCACTTCAACAAACACACACAGGTACGTGCACCTTCCATCACATCCACATATGAGCATTTAGATCAATCAAATGTATTATTGATCTTTATTAAATTCCATTTTTATAAAATTAACAGGTATTCAGTCAATATTTTAAATGCAAACAAATTATGGGACCCAAAACTTTGTCATTACAAGGTAACATGTCCCTTTTTTGGGGGAGTAGCTTATGGTGCCCTTGAAAATTAGTTCATGCAATTTTCCACTTACCCCACCGACCAACAACCAAGACATGAAGTTAATGATAAAAACCTTTGCCTGACATCGTTGAGGTTGTGACTTTAAAAATATTGTGTGGATCACTGCTCTGTCGTGTCTCACACATCTATCCATCTGTCAGGGTCTCTTCAGAAGGAAGGTGTCAATTGCTAACATGCTGTCCTGGAGCAGCGAGCCCATCAAGAAGCCCATGATTGTAACCTCCGACCGTACAGTTAAGCGTGAGGCTGTGGAGCTCTTCAAACTCATACAGACATACATGGGTGACCGACGGGGAAAAGGTGAGCCTTTAGCCGTGGCACTGGAGGTGGCTGTCCGGGGCTGGAGTAACCAGGGCCTACGAGATGAGCTCTACATCCAGCTATGCCGGCAGACCACAGAGAACTTTCGCTATGACAGTCTGCAGAGGGGCTGGGAGCTGATGGCCATCTGCCTGGCCTTCTTTCCTCCAACACCCCGGTTCCATAACTACCTAGAAGGATACATCTACAGACACATGGACCCTCTCAATGACACCAAAGGTAGAACCCACACACAAATATCTACTAGAGCCTGACTGATGTAAAAACTTTGTCACGAATACTGATACCGATTTTTAGGGATTAAAATTATGGTAACGTATCAGTTGATATAATTTATGGTCAAAAATGAAACAACTAACTACCAAATATGATTGTCACCTCTGTGTTGTCACATTTCATAAACTCAGACAAACAGCAAAAATTAAATAATTCTTAAATAATAGTAATATTGCTGCACTGAGCGTCCCAATATTCTTAGAGGCTTTGATTATTTCTTTTAATTAGCTCTGTTTTTCTTATTTTACACAAGTTCTGTTTGCATAAAGTTTTTTGGGTAACATTTCACTGAAGGGTAGTATTTACAATGCCACAAGACACTTACATAAACCATTCATGACAACTAAACTAAACATACATTTTAAAGACTTACTCCATCAAGCATCAGTGGACAAAGGCTGCTTTTGTCAGTTTTTTTATAATGTAACCTCTGCAAGTCTGTGACAAGTTATGCTTGTTAGAGTAAGCCTTTATAAATGTTTATATAGCTTTATGGCAAGTGTCCTGAAAGGCTTATGTATATGTTGTGCAGCCTTAGGAATGCTGCCCTTCAGTAAAGTGTTACCATTTTTGTTGTTGTAAAGATGGGCATAAAATCATAAAACCATGAAAATCCACACAAATGAAGCCCAAGCAGTAAATGCATTATACATAGTATAACACAAGCTACTTGGAAGTATGAGAAGCATTTTTGAAGATAAATCCATGTAATCCTTATAAATTTTATCAGCTAAATAAAATATTGGTCATGCTCGAATACCTACTAAACCTTGTATATCAGAATTGCAGAATATACAAAATGATTCTTCCTTTTTACATACTGTTACATTGACATAGGTTGGTATTTGTTTGTATGTGTGAAGGAGTGGCCATCAGCAGCTATGCGAAGTACTGCTATCGCAAATTACAGAAAGCTGCGCTGACTGGAGCTAAAAAGGTTGGTGCTTTCAGTAGCTCTGACTTTGTCTTGTCCACTTTTTTTATTTACATATATCTTTTGTTTCTGTATTTTTGCTTATGTTTGTAGCATAGAGAATTTGAAGTGTTCATGCGTTTTTTTTTTTGTTTTTTTTGTTCACTACTTTTGCCCTAGTTCATATGCAGTAGTTGTTTTGGCTCAGACTGCCTAAAAGAGTTTTGGCATTGTCTATTCTGATTGGCCTCAGGGCAGTAGGAGGTCCTGGTTTTGTCTTGGTAATTAACATGATTTAATTAACATTCAATTGAAGACTAGAATTTGCCTATTGCCCTGGAGATGTCGCCATGACAACAGGCAGCTCATTTAACTTGTTCTCTTTAAATAACTACAGTCAAGCCTGCTAGTGTCTGTGATGACATCATATGTGAGCTTACACATGTAATATTCAAATACAGATGTAGTCCTCCAATGAGATGTACTCTGCAGGGCTGAACTGGAGTTATGCCATAAGTGAAATGCAACTCTGCCTCCTTTTCATCCTCTCCATAAGACAAAGATTTTACACCCACCACCCCCAGCCTCCCCTTCTTTCACACGTTCTCCCAGTTTCTCAGTGACAGAGGGGGGGTTCAGCCTTTAAGTACCATGGCCAGATCTCCAGCCTAAGCTTTTCAAGAGTTCCCTTCCCCTTCTGCCTAAAATTCAGTTTAAGCATAGTTTGCACTCACAAATTAGCATTTAAATGTTCATTTGTGTTCATATGGGCAATTCCCATTGTAGGTTGTTTGTTCTATGTATATAACCTGTAGTGTTTTTGTTCAGTGTTTTTGTGCTTTTGAGTGTGTACAAAGATAGAGGGTGTATAGGATGTGTATGTACATTGTATGCAGAAGTTAGGGTAGTAAAGTGACGTGTTTTATTTTTCTAAGTGAAAATAAGTATACATCCTCTACAAAGAACACAGTTCTGCATATTTTAATACACAATTACTATTTATTTGCTGAAATACATGTATTAAAAAAACACACATGAAATCTGGCCTGTGCTAAAGTGATGGTACATAGCAAATAAATAGAAACTTAAAAACTTAAAAACTTAAAATTTGTAAAAAATCTGTTTGTGTAAGTTTGTTCTCTGTAGAGCACCTCATCCTCACCGAACCCTGGTCCTGGAGTATCCCCTGGCCTGCACATTTTCATGTCTTCCTTGCTCCCATCATACCCACTTCAAGTCATGGAAGGCTTGTTAATGAGCTGATTTATTGGATCAGGTGTGTTGGGAGTAGGGGAAACACTAAAACATGCAGGGCAGTGCTCCAGGACCAGGATTGGGAGCCACTGCTGTACAGAATGTTAGCTTTTTACTTAGAAAATCAACAAAACATGTAATTTGATCATTGTATGACTATGATGCATTCTATGATGTGTGTGTATCTTTGTGTGGCTGGGCCTGATTATGAGTGTGAACAATTTCATTACCTCAGTTGTATAGTGCCAGTTGCCTGTAGAGATACCAGTCTGTGAAAATGGTCTAAAATACTGTGCGTGTGTGAGTGTGCCAGACTCTCAGCAGGGATATAAGTGAAAAACTCGCTCACTCACTTGCTCTCTGTGTCTTTCCCTCCAGGGCTTGAAAAAGCCTTGTCTTGAAGAGATAGCTTATGCTCGGAATGCCATCTTTAGCCCCTCTATGTTTGGCTCTTCACTGGAGGAAGTGATGGCAATGCAGAAGGAGCGTTACCCCGACCAGCAGTTGCCATGGGTACAGACCCGTCTCTCGGAAGAAGTGCTGGGTTTGAATGGAGACCAAACTGAGGGCATCTTCAGGTGAGATGTATTCTTATAAATGATTTTCTAATATTGGTCTTGAAAAACAATACTGCATATGTTAGGAATATGTCTGAACATTTGGTGTAGCCATTTTAAGTGGTAATAACTAATCAGATGACAGTCAGATTTCCTTAAAGGCATTCCAGCGTAAAACTACAGTTCAATATGTTATTTGTCATGCTATACAGTATTCACAATTTTATATCGTTTTCATTTCTTAGTTTAAAGTTATCTGTGTTCTCTCACTACAATACCCAGCGCGCCTTCGTACATGCTCAAATATATCGTACAAACATTGTACACGTGTGATGTCAATCAATCTTGACTGTTTACTGATGCACTGATCTTTAACTAATAAAGACAGTCATGCTAATGTCAGTGTAACTCATCTGTCATTGAAAAGAATTGTAAAGAAAGCAGTGTTTCTGTCTTTATTCAGCACAAAATTGATTTTCACCCTTGCAAGAGAAAAGAGAAAAGAATCCAAATTTAGGTTAGGGATCTGGCTAGCCAGACCCCTTGCTAAATCTAGCTTTTAGCTTGTTGCCCTCCTTACCAGATCACTCATTTCTGCTGTTTGATTAATCCATGCTTTCCACTGTAATGATGATTTGAAGTTATCGTGGTTATCAACTACAATAAGGTATATTATCCCAAGCAGTAATGTTAGCCATCTGCCTTTCTGCTACATTCACCATCCACTACCAAAAAAAGAAAAAAAAAGCGTCATGACCGCAGTACCACCATAATGCCAGTCAACTGGAAGTGGCTTCTGCCTGTGTGCTCTTGGCTTTATTTTGAGAGGTGTTGTATTGTGTGTGTCTCTCAGGGTGCCTGGAGATATAGATGAAGTTAATGCGCTGAAGTTGCAAGTGGACCAGTGGAAGGTGCCGACAGGCTTGGAGGACCCACATGTCCCGGGTATCTCTACTTCTTCACCTGCTAAACATGCCTGCAGAGAGTCAAAGGCAAAGCAGTCAACCAAATTTGATGCCAAAACATTTGATTGATTCTGCAGTTTTTGTTTTTTGTCATTTAACTCTTAGAAGCACCTAAATTATTGTTGGAGATAACAAAAGCCTGATGTGATTTTTATTGGTTATTTCATTATTGTACCACATTGAAACATGCAGAGAAATCCTGCTGAAAGTGCATATTCAACTTTTTATCCAAAAAATTTATTTAAATTTAATGACAATGGTATTGTTGTCTGTAGGCTGTTAATTTGCAAAAAGTAAAATCTTTTTTGTCATTTATTGACATTGAATTAAAGACTCAAAGCTATCAATACAGAATGTAAATGTAAATATGTAGTTAGCATGTAAGTATATAGTAACATGTAAGTAGGGATGCCAGACATCCAGGATTTTCCTGGATTGTCCTGAATTTTGGTTGTCTGTCCATTCCGTTGGACACAAAAAGTCTTGTTATCCAAGCATTTTTAATATTAGCATTTCCTTTAAGGTTTAAATGCTGATTTTTTTTAAATCAAATCAAACAATCTGTATAGAAAGAATGAGTTTGATTGGTTCAGATTACCCACACTGTTGGTACAGTTGTTTTGGAAGGGTGCGCTGTTGGTGACATGTTTAGGCACTAGGCAGCACTGCAGCATGATAACTGAGAATATTGGATTCTGTAGCTGAACTGACATCTATCAACCTTAGACTGCATCATGAGCATAGCTACCCATCTACTGAATTTAGCAAAAAATCAGGCCACTGATGAAATGTTCAGGAATTTTACAGGACTGAGGTAGAAACCCTGCATGTGAGTAGAATAGCAAAATGACAGTGGTAACTCTAGACTGCTAAGAGTCAAGCAAAGGAAAATGTTTGTGTTCTCCTGAACATAAAAAGAACAACCTCAGTTGTTCATTCCTCTCTCTACCTTCCAAAATACTAATCTAAACCTAAACATTGTATTCACAGATCACACTGCACACAAGCCTTCTCCCAATCTCTCTCCATCCCTTTCTCACTCACATAGGCTCTCACACACCTTTAGCCTAGGGCATTTTGCAGTGCTCCATTTCTCACTGAATATAAATAGCCTAATCTCTCAGTGCATTATGGGAAAAGAAACAAAACTCCCCCTCATAAAATATTCCTCTGTGAAGCAGGGTAAACCTTTTAAAGGATCAAAACCTGAAATTCACATTTCACGCTTCGGTCAGAAATTTCACAACAACAAAGTGGAGGTCCCACAGTTGAATTTTCTAGAACAGAAAGAACGAGGCCATGAAAATGATAGATACAGCTCTAAATACTGCCAGAACCAGTCAGTTAAAAAGAGTGATTTTCATACAATTAAGTAGACTACCTATATTTTTGAAAAATAAAGAAAGTAAAATGTTATCTTTGTGTGTACAGCACGAAAATGACTTCACTAAGTTTCTTTTTTTTAATCCATTCAGTGTTTATACATGTTTACAAGAGACATTTTTTTTTATTTAGAATTGGGTAAAAAAAAGTAAGTAGCCATTGCCATTTTCCTAGGTGGAAAGTTGAATGCTCACAAATAAGTATGAAATTATAAAATACTAAGGCAAATATACAGTTGTCAACAAATGAAGCAACTCTTGAAATTAATCCTGCTGACATTCTGCTTTTACTGCAATACATGCAGATACACACAAATCCATGCAGTGCCACTTCTCTACATGGACACACGCTCAGTGAAATGTTGAGTTTCAGTATTGATCAGCTAAGGTTCAGACCAGCTGTTCCCCACTAAATAGTAGTCTCTCCCTCCATTCTTATCCCTGCCTATCTTTCTCTCGCCCTCTCTTTCTTTTGTTAGCATCTCTGTTAAAGCTGTGGTACAGGGAGCTGGAGGAACCAGTGATTCCTCATGAGTATTATGAAGAGTGCATCTCTAACTATGACAGTCCTGAAGCTGCCGCCAGTGTCATTCATAACCTTCCTCACATCAACAAACTGGTGCTCTGCTACCTCATCCGTTTCCTACAGGTCGGTCTGTCTGTCTGTCTAAATATCTATCTATCTAATTATCTATCTATCTGTCTGCACATTGAAAAGTTACACATTGAATATACTTGATTCAAATATGTAAATTCCATATGAATAAAAATATATTACAGCAATACATCTTTTGCTGTAAGTTTCAGTCTACTTTTGGTAATAACTGTGGTGGTATAATATTTTTAATTATGTGGAAATGATGTACTTTTTTGAATGTTGTAATACACACACTACATGGACAAAAGTATTGGGACACCTCTTATGATTGAATTCAGGTGTTTCATTCAGTCCCTTTGCCACAGTTGTATAAATCAAACGCCTAGCTGTGCAGTCTGCCTTTACACACGTCTGTGAAAGAATGGGTTGTTCTAAAGAGGTCACTGAATTCGAGCATGGTAGTGTAATAGGATGCCACCAAATTTCTTCCATCCTAGATATTCCACATTCCAACAACTGTGAGTGGTATTATTGAAATACTGGATGCGTTTAGGAACCACAGCAACTCAGCCACGAAGTGTCAGACCATGTAAAGTTACAGAGTGGGGTCGCCGAATGCTGAGGCGCATAGTGCATAGAAGTCGCCAACGCTCTGCTGACACAATAACTGCAGAGTTCCAAATTTCCTCTGGCATTAACATCAACACAAAAACTGTGTGCCAGGAGCTTTATGGCATTGGTTTCCGTGGCTGAGCAGCTGCAAACCTACATCACCAAGCACAATGCCAAGCGTCGGATGGAGTGGTGTAAAGCATGTTGCCACTGGACTCTGGAGCAGTGGAAATGATTCTGACGAATCACACTTCTCTATGAGGTAGTCTGATGGACAGGTCTGGGTTTGGCGAATGCCAGGAGAACGTTATCTGCCTGACTGCATTGTGCCAGCTGTAAAGTATGGTGGAGGAGGGATGATGCTATGGGGTGGTTTTTCAGGGGTTGGCCTAGGCCCCTTAGTTCCAGTGAAGGGAAATCTTAATGCTTCAGCATACCAAGACATTTCGGACAATTGCATCCAACTTTGTTGGAACAGTTTGGGGAAGGCCCTCTTCTGTTGCAGCTGTGCCTCAGTGCACAAAGCATGGTCCATAAAAGCATGGTTGGGTGAGTTTGGTGTGGAAGAATTTGACTGGCCCACACAGAACCCAGACCTCAACCCCATTGAACACTTTTGGGATGAACTAGAACAGACATTACGAGCTAGGCCCTCTCATCCAACATCAGTGTCTGACCTCGCAAATGCTGTTCTGGGTGAATGGGCAAAAATTCCTACAGACACTCTCCAAAATCTTGTAGAAAGCCTTCCGAGAAGAGTGGAAGCTGTTATAGCTGCAAAGGGGGTTCAACTCCATATTAATGCCGATGGATTTAGAATGGGATGTCATAAAAGCTCCCGTAGGTGTAATGTGTAGGTGTCCCAATTCGTTTGTCTATATAGTGTATACATTTATCAGCTTACATTGAAAATATGGTGTGCTGTTCTGTGAGATAAAATTATTCAAAGAATGATCAAATATTCAAGATAAATGCTGTTTTATTTTGTTTTGTACTTCACAAATCAAAGCATCCGCTAAATACACTTCAAAAAGCTCACACTTAAACTAGAGAAAGCAAAGTTTTCTTTTGGAGGAATAATTTGCAGTCAGACATAATATATCTAATCATAAATCTTAAAGTATCTAAGTAAAATTATATTGTGGCTTATATCGTATCATGGAGCCTGTAGCAGTTCCCAGTGCTATCCACAAGTGAGGACGAAACACTCTGGAATGTTTTAGTCTGGACAACTCCCTTTTCTTCTAGCATAATAGAAGAAGACTCAGCATTGTTATCTTGACAAAGAGAAGGTATACAAAGTACTAAATTCTAAAAGTACTAATTTAGTTTAAAATAGATTTGATAGGCATGGCCATATTGTTTCCATATGTTTATTTACAGTATCTGTCTAATAATCAGATAATAACAAATCATAACTGAAGAGTATTCTACTGAAATTATCGATCTTGAGATCTTTAATACAAATTCCAAACTATAGTCCCACTAGCTGCTGTTGTGAGGGTGTAAAGAAACAAAAGCTGAAAATATAGAGTTAAGTCAGTTACTCTGACAATGTTTGTGTCTTTCACAAAGGAGAAAGTGCATCTATTCAGGCACATCCTCTGTCTCAGTGATACCATAACTTTTCTTCTTTGGACAGACACATTTTTCTATGCCTGCCACTGTTTAGTGCGACATGCTCCGTAGCAGCCGATTTAGTGTTTTGGCAACCAAAGGCAGCTTAAGACAGTCGAAAAATTTGCAAAATGACCACTGCTACAAAGCATGTGTAAAATACAGCCAATAAGGAGTGGCATGGAATGATTTAAAAATGGTTCTTTGAGGTTTTTTTAGTAAATGCAATGGTTACATATAGAACCATAAACATTTAACAAACCATTTCAATGAATAATTAGTTCTTCACCATGTTGTAAACCCTGTTGTATATGGTTCTTTGAAGAAGGTTTTATATAGCATCAAGAAGTATTCCACTATTATTACAAGTCAATTATAAGGAGGGTTTTTGGTACTATTGAAACTTTTTTGCTAGCAGCTTTTAGTTCACATATAGAATTACTTGAAATGGCTTACCTAGCCATGTGCAGAGTGAGCAAGAAGTTGGCATTCCATGTTGCCCAGTTTTCCCAAGAGCTCTAAACTGTCGTTATTTGTTGTGTATTTTCCCAAGCAAAACATTGTCACTTTTATGTTGAAGGCTTATTTTGGTGGCACAACCCAATTTTCTATTTATATTGTCATTATCTTGCATCGCAGGCTTAGCAGCAGAAAATCTTTACTGTGTAATCTGACTTTTAGCGCATGTATACATAAACAGTGTTGCACAGTCTGCCACAGGATTTGGCCAAGATTTCACTTGCAGCATCTTATGTAGTGTGGCTTGCAATAAGTGCTTAAGACTGTCATTATCACACAGTCTACAGCAGCCTTAACTTGTCTGCCTGTCTATCACATATCTTGGTCTGTCCCAATAAATTGCATGCTTCTCTTGTACTTTTCTCCAGGTGTTTGCTCAGCCTGCAAATGTGGCGGTCACTAAAATGGACGTGAGTAACCTGGCGATGGTTATGGCCCCAAATTGCCTGCGCTGCCTGTCCGATGACCCACGCATCATCTTCGAGAACACACGCAAAGAGATGAGCTTCATCCGGGTCCTCATTCAGCACCTCGATACAAGCTTCATGGATGGAGTTCTATAGCCCATATCACACACACACACACACACACGGAAACACACACATCCATGCTCACATATACTCAAAACGCACATCTATATACAAATACTCCTGCCATGCACACATATACTATATACATAAATAAAACAAAAAATGTGAAACAATTATGGACAAGCAAAACTCTTAGTCAACTGTAGAACAGTAGTCAACTGTAGAACAGTTTGAATTGGTATGACCCCTGATTTACTACACTGACACACACTCACAAAAAGCACAACTTTAAACTCTCTCACATGCGAACACTCAGATACACATTTACAGGACTGCACATGCATTCCTTTTCTGCCCCTTTATGATTTCTGAATGTGTTTGAATGGAGCTGTCTGTCCACGTAATAGCAGTGACTTTCTGTGTGTTTCTGTGTGTATGTGTGTGTGCTGAAAGGTGCATGTGTGCAGTTCTGTCTGTTAATGTTTTTTAACTTGACTGACCTATATAACAGTCTACTTGATTTTATATGATTAATTTATTTTTTATTTATTTTAACATGTGTTTATAACTGCTGCTTTTTTGAGACACATTGTCAGCCTCATTTCCAGTATGGGTGTGTATGTGTGTGTTTTTGTATGAGTGTGTTAATCTGTATGCATTTGTGTATGTACAGTATGTTTCACCTAATTGATCCATGCTTTGTCTACAAATGTTATTTCTTAGCAACTGTTGCAAGGTCAATGTTTATAGAACAGTGGCAAAAATGAATTTAGGTTGGATTTCACATTCACAAAATAACGTTGAGACAACATTCTAGAATGGTGTGACTGAGAAGAACATTCTAAAAAGGGGTAAAGGGGGAGGATTAACTTTCACGTATAGTGTGAATAGGAGAGAACATTCTAGAACAATAAAATGTGAAAGTAAAAAATGACGTTTTAGATGTGCCCAGAATGAGAAATGGAGCCACAGCCAAATGTAAGAGAAAATTATGGAGAAAGAATAAATCTCAAGGCACATTACATCACAAAAAAAAATGTAAATAAACAGTCACTGCCTATTGTTTATCATTATATTCACCATCAGCCTAGTAAAGTGGGCTCCTTCAAATGCCATCCAAAAAGACAGAAATCACATTTCATTTTCCTCTTCCTTCTAATTAGGTCATCACCAAAATGCTATAAATTACAGTAGTTTTGTTTTAAACTTAAACCAACTCCATTTTGGTGGTTAGCCTTGTTTCCTGGTAGCCAGTAAAAGAGGTGTAGTTGCCAATTACCAGGATTTGGTATTACATTACGGTGAGGTTGATTTAAACAGGACTCCTGTTACTGAGGGAGCACTGAATCATTGAATTATTACTTAGCAAACTTGTAAAAACTGCAGACATTTCAGGTTTGCACTTGTTTAAAGTCAAGTCATCTTGTAGGTGACTACTCAAACTATAGCACCTCCTCTAGGTAAAACAAATCCAGCCTGAATATGGCATTAATTTCTGTATTTTGAGCAAAAGTTAAATTGTCACATTCAGTTGAATGGTGTTTTTGCTAGTGTGCTGTAAAGCTTGTCTAACATTGCAGCAGTTGCTATGAAATAATGCAGTTTTGGATGGAGCATAGACATTTGTTCTCACTTGCTTTTGATTGTTTTAACATACCACTTTGTGTGACACACTGTATGGTTATGATGGAACGCCACCTTACCCCACCCCACATAACCCAACCCCCACCAACCCAAAATCTCAACTACACACACATCTGAACCAGTCTCACACATGCATAGGACCCTACAGACACACTCTCTCTCTCATACACACACACACTGGTTGGACTCGGTGCTTATAATAACAACACACACTGCCATACACACAAAAACGGATACACAGTGTCCTCACTTCCCCTCAGGAGAAGCAAAAAAGAGAGAAAGAATGGAATAGTCTGAAAGAGAGAGAGAGAGAAAGAAAGAGACAGATGGAGGGAGAGAGAGAGAGAGATCAAGGCAGACAAATAAAATAAATGATATAAGTTTGGTTTTTTTCACTCTTCTGCACATTGAAATTTCCACCATTTTCACTTCCTCATACCTATAAAATATGGCAAAAAATAAGAATAAAAAATTATTTAAAAAAACAATAAAAATAAAAAATAAAAAAATATATAAAACATATAAAGGAAGTAAACAAAAAGTAATGTCGCAAAATAGAGGCATATTGCAATATTTGACAGGAAGTGAGCCTGAGTACGGTTCTCATTTTAATAACACAAAACTCAACCATTAGCAGAAACCTATAGGGTAAATAAAAGATCAAAGATTAAAACAATATGAAGAAGACAATTATAGTGTGTCTCTAATTAAAACCAACCAGTGAAAAGTATCTGAGGGTGAGAGCTGAGAAATGAAAAGATAAAAGGCTCCTGAGCAAATCACTGTGACCAGCATCCTCAGAGCAGAACCCACCACACACGTACTGACTCACACACACTCACACACACATACTGTGAGCACTCACAGCTCAACCGACATACACAAACACAGGATAGGCAGGTGTGTGCAGAAAGTGGGAAACTTTCTGCTTGGATGCTCGTCTTCTCATGCTCCTGTCTCAGATGTTTATGGTTTTATTCTGTTAATGGAGTCATGCTGATAAACCCCCTCTCCCTCCTTTTGTTCTGAGGTGTAATGGTGATTCTATAAGGTGGGTTACGGTCTAACTGAACATTGTTTAATAAACAATTCAAAGAAGACTGAATATTGATGTCCATTTTTAAAACAGAATTCCACTGATTTTTCAAAATTTCAGCATAGTAAAGTTATTGACACGCAAACAAAGTAATTCAGAGTGGTTTGCTGTGAAATGTTTTTTTGTAAAGAAATGTATCGACTCAGATTTCTTTACAGTGGTGTTGATAGGAACCAGGGGACATGATGTCGACAAAGCAAATATAGACATTTTATTTACTATCCAAAACTACCAGTGAACTTTGAATGAATTAATTGATTAATTGATATATGTTTAAGACCAAAGGCTTATCTCAGAACTATTGTAAAATAATGCCTTCAGCATCAAGTAACATATTCTTAACTTATTCATGTAACAACTTGAAACTTTAAATCTTTGAGGGAGCTTCTAAACGCTTTGGATGTATGGTTCCCACTACCCCCACTGCGAAAAAGTCTGACTTGATAAGTTTCTCTACCATGGAGCATTTTAAATCAAACCACACTGAATGACATTGTTTACGTCTTAATGATCAAATCATACAGAAATTTTGAAATATCAGTGGAATTCCTCTTTAAGATGTAAACAAAGTCATCCAGAGTAATTTGATGTGAAACGGTTATTTGTAGAGAAGCTTATCAACTCAGTCTTGTCCCTTTATTATTACTTCCTGCTTTTTTAGGCGACTTTTTTTTCCCAAAAAAAGAGTATTTTTCCATGCTTCAGTCTAAGAATTTGGTTTCATCAAAAACATCTCATGAAAAATGAATGGTCTTTGACAATACTGTACTGTATGTCTTCTGAGTTTTTATATGTATTGTTAATAATGTTAAAACAGTGGTAAATCTGAATAAAGACATCATCTTTGGGGCCTATTTTGCCTTGACTATGACAATGACCCACATGTACCTCTCCACCATGAATGGATTTTAAAAATTTGTTTTAGGCCAGAACTTTATTTCAAAACTATTGTAAAACAATATCTCAGGCATCTGGCAGCAAATTCGTAACCACTTGATGTAATAACTTTCTGTGAGGTAGCTTTGGGAGACATGCTTTGGATGTCTTGGTCCTGTCACCACCAGTGTGAACGATTCTGATTTGGTTTCTCTAGAACAGAGCATGTCACATCACGCCACTCTAGATGACTTTCTTTACATCTTACATTATTTATTTATATAGAAAATTTTTAAAGATTGATGAAGTTCTCCTTGAACTTGCTCATGAACACACACAAACAAAAAGATGTCATGGTATAGTATGGTCAAAATATACAAATCTATATTGTAATAAACATAAGATGTTAAGATAATGTTTTGTTTGCTATAACGCAGTTGTACATTATGTGTGCATTATCTGTTGAGAAAATTCTGGTTTAACTTCAAATTAATTCTGTCTTAGTGATACCTCTCCAGCCCAATAGGGGGCAGTGGCGCTTCGTACACGTTACGTTTACCTACAGGTCGGTACACGTTGCATTTACCTATGGATTGTGTTGCCAAACGTGTAGGAAATCCGCCATGTGTAAGGAAATTTAAACTGAAATGAGGCGATGACGTAGATGATCGAGTTACATTAAATCTTGCCGCACAAATTTTGAATTTAGTATACACTTTTTGGCTTAAATTGATACATTTTGTTTAAAAACGTTAAGTTAAAGGCCATGTGACTATACACACACACACAAACACACACACATTTTCCAAGCCGCATCCTTCTGGGTCGCGGGGGGATCTGGAGCCTATCCCAGCGGGCTATGGGCGAAAGGCAGGAAACACCCTGGACAGGTCGCCAGTCCATCGTAGGGCAGACAGACAGACATATACATTCCATGTGTCTTTAACAGATGTATAATGTGGAATCGGGCCCTCCCTATGTTCAAAGCCACTATATAAAGGTCTTTACGCATGTTTTCATTGAATCTGAATTACCACAGTCTTACTCTGTACGTGATCACTGTGCAAAAAAAAAAAAAAAGTATCTACATTTTTTACGAATTTAATATTTTTAAATCATTTGAGCACATCAGCTGCCCTTTACATTGAGTGAAAAAATTATGGGCCCCAACAGAAATGTTTCAAATTTTAATAAAATAAAAATACAATTAAAAATAAAATATAAATAAAAAATAAAATATCTTTACAGCAACTTATTAAAAGTAAACATTTTTACTTTTTCTGTAAAGTCACCATTTTGGAGTTACTAGGCCTCTTTCTTATTTTCCTCCTAATAATAATAATAATAATAATGATAATAATAATAACAACAATATGAATAAAAAGAATAGGCTGATAATTTCTATAAGTGCTTATTATTGACAGATTTATTAACAGATGAAGAAGGTAACAATTGGGTGAAGGACGTCTCATTAGGCAAACCCGTTTGGCACCGACTGCTCCATCCTGAGAGGGAGGAAGTACGACACAAAAAAGGACACATTGTCACCATCCACGAGGCACTGGGAAAGCGGCATGCCTTAGCGTCACCCACTAGTCTTATAGGCTTATAGGCGGAATTTGTTAAGATATATCTGGCAACCCCAGCAGAGAGCTCAGTAGTAGGCAAGTGTGCATCTTGACTCAGCTGTCCGCCTGGAACTTACCGGTAAGTTAGACATACATTTTTCTGTTATATGTGACATAGAAATTATTTGGTCCTCACCTAATGGAAGAAATTAGTTTTTGTTTAGGTTAGACCTAGGAATAGTACGACAACGTCCACAATCTCAGTTTGACCAGCCTGCACAGCTCCTGGGGTTTAGTAGTTAGCAAGTTAGCTAGCTAGCTGGCTGGCAACAATTCGTTACTAAGTGTATGAATAACGTGGTTATTTTCTTATTCCGATCTAATAATTTACCTACGCAGTGTGGCCGGGCTTCTAACAAACTTTGGTGGTATGCTCATATTTAATGAGAGCACGGCACTGTGGACGAGCTAGTTTACTCGACTCTTTATTTGCATAGATATACATAGCGATTACCTGTTTGTTACAATTCAGAATACTGTTAACCTTAGTGCCTTAGTATACATGAGCAGATGAGCTCTATGAATGCAGCTCTGTGTGAGTGTGGGTGAGTAGGCGCTGTATCGAATGCTTCTCTACCTGAATATACTGTGACGTCAACGAAGTCCGGTAACGACAGGTGGGAGCGTACAGGTGTGACGTGGCACGTCTTTTGTAATTTGGGGACCAGTTTGGGTGCATTCCAAGACATCTGAAGGTCCTGTCTGAAAAGCAGGGAAGGTAAAGCACATTCAATGATTCGAGTTCTGTTTGACACTGTCAGTCCTACTGTATTCATGTTCGTTTACATCTATTCTAATACGTTATGGTGTATTTCTAAGCATAAACACACTTATTACCAAGATAAATGGTGTAAACAAAGAACAGTGGGCCTCATTCCCCAGTATCTTCCTAGGTCTTTTGTTTTGTTTTTATTTGTTCTTGTGCTTAGGTGCCTAAGGATTTAGCGCACATACTTTATTGCTTGTGAACGGTCTTGGCTATCAAAAGCACCAAATCAACCAAACATGCAGATATACCATGTAAAGACATTGGAATTTTCAGTACTGGTTGTTTTGCAAAACACTGAAGGGTCAGTCATTCCATAGCAATCCACCTAGCCCTCCCAGTTCAAGTTATGGATTTTCTTGAAAAAAAAAATCATGTGAAAACATCTATGAAATTCAATGGACCTTCCAAAATCTTATAGCTCTACTCCAATTACATTTTATGTTATGAGTTTTTTTTAATTTTGGCCCTTTTTTTGCGATTGTGTGCACTCTGAGCCTAACCAGTCACTTATTTTGTGCTGCATTGGGTAGAAATTTGTACTGAACATCCAAGAAACCCTAAGGATAATTTGCAACATGTATTCATGTAAATAGTTGCTGTTGAATGTTTCAATTAATTATTTTATATTGAAATTGGCTAACGGCTAAGTTTTCTTTGTATAATTTGTCAAAATCACACTGTTTTTCATTTCTATCAAATCTTTCTCTACCTAAATGTTGTATGACATCACATTTCCACTAGAGAATGATGTAATTCTTACAAGAGTATAAGACTCTTATATAAGGGAATATAAGGGACTTCAATGCAAACTGGCTGAGCTATACTTGTTTATAGAAGTATGTAGTAAAACTTTGGCCATTTAAGGGGTTAAAGCAGGTGTTTCTTTCTCTTTCTATCTGCATTAGATGGAAGGGAAAACTGGGACCATGCGTGTGATGGTGACCGGAGGGAGTGGTCTGGTGGGCAAAGCGATACAACATGTGCTAAAGGAAGAAGGAGGAGCAAGAGAAGGAGAGGAATGGATCTTCCTGTCCTCAAAAGATGCCAATCTAATGTGAGCACTGCTCTTTCAAAAAACACATATTTTTCCAAGGAGTGTGATCACATGACAGTTCAACATGTTCCTGGTGTTTCCTTGGTGTCTTATTTTGCATTATATTTACTGTTCTTTGTAAGTATCTCTTCATAGTGTTTATAACTATACATTATTGACCTGCATGACATTGACAGAATATTAGAATTGTGATTAAATAGCTACATATTGCAGTTGAAATACACAGCGCACAGTAAAAACGCACTGCGATTGGTTACACTTTTCGGTTTGCGATATCAGCATTGTCAAGGCTAATAGTGGGATAACTAATAAACTATATTACACAGCCCTAGTCTATTAGCATATTCCCATTCTGTCCACGTGTTGCAATGCAAACATGTTTGTGTTGTTGTTTTAGGAATGCACATGAGACGAGAGCTCTCTTTGAGAAACACCATCCAACACATGTCATTCATCTGGCAGCTATGGTGGGCGGCCTCTTCAAAAACATGAGACAGAACTTAGATTTTTGGGTAAAGCACACATACAGACACAAAACATTACTGTACAGGTCTTAAATAATGACTGTATATATGAATGTGTCTACTGTATTTTATTTCAGAGAAACAACATGTACATCAATGACAACGTGCTGCAGGCAGCTCATGACTTTGATGTGGTAAAAGTCGTCTCCTGTCTGTCCACCTGCATCTTCCCAGACAAAATCACTTACCCCATTGATGAGACTATGGTTTGTATCTTAAGCTACATTTTCATACTTCATTTCTGAAGTATTTTCTGCAAGCCAGTGTCACTATCCTCAAAACAAGTATTGCAATTTTGTTTTTGTTCAAATTATAAAACAGAAGAAGGAAGTTAGTTTGGGGATAATTCAACTTTTTTAATTTGATGATGCTTGATGCTCCACCTTGAGTCCTCTAGGATATTCAAGACACACTTATAGTGGAGACAGCACACAATGATAGTATATCCTTGAACATCAAACTAGCACACAATAGTTTAGCAGTCCCTTCCATATCTGTCTCCACCCTCATACTAGTAAGTTGTAGGTTGACATATTACATATTAAGACTGTAACTGTAGCTCCATGACAACTGCAGTTCTTGCTTTTTGTTTTATGCTTTTTAGTATTTTTTCCTCCTCAGTCAGTAACCATACAGGTGAATGAATGTCATATAAGAAATATTTCTGTTGTTCCTCTGAAGTAATGTGCTTGTTACAGTGGTGAACTACCATTAGTGCAGGTGCGGCAATTGCACTGGGACCCGGTGCAAATTTTACATCCATGACTCATGAGTAGCTACATCAATGTAATAATATGGTTTAACCGTAAGCCTACATTAGAGCACCAACTTGGTTGAGACACAGCAAGTAAAAAAGCATATTACACTATCTCTTTTGGGAACATTGGGGCCAAAAAGGTAAAAGTTACACCACTGGCTTTTTATAAGTGTTTACATTAAACTGAATTTGATTTGGAAGAACTGATTTTTACTTTGATGGCTGCAGTTGTTTATTGAGCAGCTTGGTCTGCACAAAAGTGTTAAATAACTTGAAAATCAAGTGCACATACATACAGTCAAAAGTATGCAAAAGTTTGAACACCCCCAGTCAAACTAAATGTTTTGTTGATCTTTTAAAACATTTCGTTTTTAGTGCAACTTTATCAACATTTTGAGGAAAAAAAAATGTAATATGTGACAGGCCAGATTTTATATTTTAATATGTCCAGTATGTCAGTCTCAGCGGATAAACAGTAATTGTACATTAAAATGTGCCAACATGTGTTCTTTGTAGAGGATGTGTATTTATTTTGACTTAGAAAATTAACAAAACGTGTAATCTGACCAGGGTGCCCAAACATTTGCAGACGACTGTATATTTGTATGAAGTTAATATTTTTGGCTAGCCCTTCATCTCATTCATGTTTGTTTTGTCTATCTCAGATTCACAATGGTCCTCCTCATGACTCTAACTTTGGTTATTCCTATGCCAAAAGAATGATTGATGTCCACAACAGGTCAGTAATGAGAGGTTCTTGTGTTTATGTACTTGATACAGGTGTATGCAAAGGCTGTGTTTTTGTTAATAAAATGTTTATGACCATGTTTCTCAACCTGTATAAGATCATGAGATTAGGCTAATTTTAAGCTTGGAGGACATCATGTGCTGGCATATTGTCTCAATTCTGATTTATACAACAGTTCCCACAACAACATTTTTTCTGTATCCTGTATCCTTATCATTTGACACTGCTTGCTAAATAACACCAGTGGTAATTGTACTCTAAGCTGGTGGGACTACTTTTTGTGAATTTATTGAAAATATATCATCGCTATCCAAAAAAAACACGTCTCTATTTTTGTCATTTATTTTTCTCTGTCATTTGAACGCAGTGGCTGCCCTTTACATTCTGTGAAGTATGTCATTAAAAGTATCTGTTTGCATAAAATCAGCAGATCCTTCAAGTGCATCTGCTATCGCAAGTAATCTCACTCAGCGCCTATGGCTCGTGCCTGTGACCAAATCACAGCCTTATTGTTATTCTTTTGTTCAGCTGTTTAAGCATTGCCTCTGCTATGAAAGTTTCCACATTTGTACATAGCTAGAGTAAGATCATCTCCACAAATCTGTCTGATTAGCTACATCATTTGTCAGCTGGGGACCACAGGCAGACATAATAAAACTTTTATCTTGACAATGAAGTTTCACCATAGACCAAGGAAGAATAAACAGATAAATCAGTGTTTTAAAGGTTGTGTTTTGTTGTGGGTTTTTCTAAACACAATATTAATTCTGATGTTTTTTACAGGGCCTATTTTGCACAGTACGGTCGGAGGTACACAGCTGTTATACCTACAAATGTGTTTGGTCCCCATGACAATTTCAACATAGAGGATGGTCATGTTCTACCAGGACTTATACACAAGACCTACATTGCACAGAGTAAGAAACAGCATACACAGACATCATCATCATCATCTCTCTCTCTCTCTCCCTCTCTCTGACTCTCTCTGGCTCTTCCTCTTTCACACTCACACTTTCACACTTCTCTCTTGCACTGTCTCTTTTGTCTTTATGTCTGTATATCTGTCTGTCTTTGACTCTGTGTCTCTCCCACCTCTTTTCTGTCTCGTTCTTTCTTTTTTTTTAGTTTCTCTCTCTCTCTCTCTTTCTTTCTTTCTTTCTTTCGTCCCTCACACAGGACATAAGTAGGAATATCATCCTATCGGCTGCAAACAATAAAAGAATAATTCCATGAAAATGCACTTAAACTCGAAAGTATCCACATTATAATTACAGTCTGAATCACATTGGGTTGAATGCCAGTTACCTGTCTGTATCTGTAAAAGAAATGTCAGTCAGTACTCCAAAAAGACAACTTCATAGGAGAAGCAAAAACATTCTTTAATGTTTATTAATGTTGCAAGTAAATTTAGACTGTTGATTTATTCATCATGAAATGTTCACACCATGTAAAGGTCAACTGGCACCTTCAAATGTTTTAAAATGTCCTCCTTACACTTCATTAGAAAAACTTTACTTTTACAAAGCAATGTTCTGTGTTAAAATTGCCAGTACTGTTTTGTCACTACTTACCATAACCTGAGGAAAATATGTGAGTCTGTATCAAAGTACCAATGAGAAAATTGCCCAAGGACTAGCTGTAACACTTTAAAATAGATAAATAGATTCTTGTTACTAAGATATCCACTTAGTGATGACCTCTTGGACCTCTAAACTGAAAGATGATGACACCTACCCACTGAAAGAGTCACTGCAATTATGCATTAGAGTAACCGCCTTCACTTATCATTACTGGTTTGATAGTAGAGATGTCATTTGTAAACATTAAGATTGGCAGTGGCATAACTAGGACTTTAAGGGCTTTAGTGCAAAGAACCAATACCGGGCCCCTCATATACCTTTAATAAATGGAAAAAGTCCATTCAATAAATGGAAAAAATAAATGGAAAAAATGTAATTTGCTTGTTTACTCGCCATTACTATTGCTATCTTAATCAGGCTGGTGCTTTCATGTAATGGCTAATGGTTGAACTATATTATTAAGTTTTTATATCTACCCACGAGTCATGGGTTTTAATTTATATAAGTAGCAATTTAAGGGGTCCAATAATGACGTTAAGGGTCTCAATTGCCATGGCCCTGCACTATGGGCTCTGATGTGATTACAGATTGTGATTATGATTGTGAATGTTTGTCACATTGTACTTGATGTGATGGCTGTGTAGCTATCTGCAAAAAGCTGAAATCACTGCAATCATGGTCTGCTAGAATTCCAAATAGTGCCTTGGTCTAGGACCATTACTGGCATCCACCGAAGCTGAAGGACTAACATTGACAGGTTCGGCCCTCTAGTGGCCAAAACATCTGGACAACACGGGTTTAAAGGTTCACTTGGAAGTAAAATTGTGTACACTGCATGTCACATGTTGTAACATCGGCATAGGAAATAATCAGGAACAATAAATAACAATAATCAGGTAACACTTACCTAACCAAATATTTATCTGTGTGTGCACCAGAGGAGGGGACAGCTCTACAGGTATGGGGTTCTGGTCGTCCACTGAGACAGTTCATCTACTCACTGGATTTGGCTCGTCTGTTTCTGTGGGTCCTGAGAGAATATAAAGAGGTGGATCCCATCATATTGTCAGGTACACATTGTGCATATTTACACGTAATCAAACAACAATGAAACCGAATATAAGCGACATAAGTGTCAAAAACGCTCTCTCTCTCTCTCTCTCTCTCTCTCTCTCTCTCTCTCTCTCTCTCTCTCTCTCTCTCTCTCTCTCTCTCTCTCTCTCTCTCTCTCTCACACACATCTAGTTGGAGAGGAGGATGAGGTGTCCATTAAAGAAGCTGCAGATGCTGTTGTTAAAGCTTTGAATTTTAGAGGAGAAGTGGTTGTATCCTTTTACTCATTCACGTGATCAGTGACATTAAAAACAAAGATCATACTTTAGCACCAATATATAGGGGAAGAGACGTTTTACAATTGTGTTTGTTGTTTGTAAATTAGTTTAGCATTTCTCAGAATGAAACTGGCAGAGTAAAGCCAGATTATTTAGCCTTACATATTCAAAATAACAACTGATAAAACAAATGCAGTAGATGACATAGAGGTTTATACTGAACACTACCCAGCTTACTTTGTTTTTTATCTGAATAGCCATGTTACAATGTTTATCATTGTGGATTTTCTAACACTTCTCCCAAAAACAGGTAGGTTAGCCTTGACCTTCTTTGTTCAGTATGACACTAGTAAGTCTGATGGACAGTTTAAGAAAACAGCCAGCAATGCTAAACTCCGCAAATACCGTCCTGACTTCACCTTTACCCCATTCCACAAAGGTAAACATCAGCGCGCACACACACACACCTGCAAAAGTACAGCTCTAATAAGAGCATGTGTAAATGAGTTCTTCATTCATACACATTGCCAGTATCGTAACAAAACTATCTCAATAATTATACCTTTACAAGAGCAAAAAAGTTCTTAACTTTGTATATTACTGTAGCAGAATTTTATTCTAAGTAATTTTGGACCACTTCCTGTTCCTTCATTAATCATTAAATGCACACAATGTAAAGGAAAGCTGGTATTTTAAAATGTTATTTAATAAAATAAAGGTACATTATATCACAAAGCATACTCTCAAGCATAAGTGTTGATTTTAGATCTGCCACTCTTTCTTTCCTCAGCTATCAAGGAGACGTGTGACTGGTTTGTGGCGAATTACGATGTTGCTCGCAAATGAGGATCATGACACCATTCTTACTGCAAGACGATATAGGAGTTACAGCACAAATGTTAGACTTCCTGCACTGCTCAAGAGCCAGCAATGCTTCAGTGAAGTACAGAATCAACAGCTCGACATTCTTAATAGTGAAAAAGCCTTAAATGTACAAAGTAGATATGTTACTGTTCCAAATTCTTTATAAATTTGTTGGAATCATTACATTGACCAGTATATCACTATATGTCACAAGTAGTTCTACTTGGTGTTTGACACAACAAAATATTTCAAAACCCTGATGATCAACTGATTTTTTTTGTTGAATGTAGAACAGTAGGCTTTTTTTGTTTTATTTTTAATATTATTATTATTATTATTATATATATAATAATATGAATAATATATATACAATTTTATATTATTATTTTGAAGGTGAAAATGGTTGTAAGGGGTATCTAATGTAGGGAAAATGTCTGTTCTTTTTATGAATGATTGCACTGGAGCCTTATCTTCACTGGAGAAACTGTAGATCTTTTATGATGTGTATGTTACATTTAGTCTTATTTCATAATTTTTCCTTAAATCTGCTCTTAATATGTTTCTCCTTTTGTGGTTTATATATTGTTCTTTTGCAGGTTTCAAAGTACTGTAAGTTAAGCTGGGTGAACCAATAAACTGATGACCCAATCACCCAGTCAGCCTTTTTTATGAGACTGCAATTTCTTTGTTGCAATGTATAAAAGATCTTTTTCTCAGATGCAGTCCACTAAAATGAGTTTGTAACTTCTAACAGTGATGAGTGCATGATTAGCATGTCCTAAAGGAAAATAAGTTGATTTAATAATATAATAATAAAAAATGTAGAGATTATATAGGACTGAACCTTAGCTACTGAAGCTATAACAGAAATAAATGTTAATAAATAAATAAATAAATGTACATTAAAAAAAAATTATTAGTGCAATTCTTATGTTACACTAACTCAGCTGAGCCTTTGTTTTAGGGCAGCTCACATAAGGTTTCAGTAAACTTGGTAGCTGGTATATGCCTTAAAAGTTCACATGTAACTTTATACATGACAGCTGTTATCTTGTGTATAATAGCACAGCACAGTAATTCCTCTTAGTTATCCTATGGTTGTATGTTATATGCTCAGTTTTGTGCTTTCTGTCAGAGAGCTAATTCAGAATTTTGTGTTTTCTCTCTATGTCTGACAACTGAATCAGCTCAAGAAGGCCTAATTAGGGAATTATGTGAAATATGTTCAGGGAGAACACAAAAGAAACAGAGCTGTTGGGCTGCAGGACTATTGGAAAATGATGTAGATCAAATAAAAGAATCAAGTTTTACCGTACTTTTAGTAAACTTTACTATTGTGTCTACCGGTTATGAATAACACTATATGTCTAAAATATTCACACAAGTAAAACCAGAGTGCCTGGAAATCTCAGAAAAACCACATAAATTGTTGGCAAGGACATAAACATGATTATTGTGCCCACACTTTAACGCGGGTCAAAATTTATTGCAAAATCTTTTTATTTGACTATTATGATAATTATTTTTATACACATGAAAAATCTGATAGAGAGTGGCAACTGGCAACTCAAATATTTGTTAAATTAATTGAAAAATTGGTATTTGTGTTTTTATGTTAAACATACCATGAACAAAGTTATAAATTCTAGTCAGTTCAGAATGTGTATTGGAGAGGATTATCCAAAAGCAGAATAGGTCTGAGAAACCTAAAAAAGGAAAAACAGCATTTTTAGCCTCTTTTTAGTGTCACTGCGTTTATACGCCGTAGGCACAGCACGCTAATTTTGCTCCTTGCCAGCGGGTGGCAGTGTCTCTGTGTTCGGATTGGACGAAGAAAAAAACAGCGTGTTGCCAGATCCGGTTTGGTGTTGATTGCTGGGTTCTTCGATTTGGTGCATGGCAACGATTTCAGCGCGGATTTTACTGTACACTACTGACATACATCTGTTTAGTGTACACAAATAAAGAACACAATAAGCAAACAATTCCTAAAAGCCGTTTATTGTAAGTATACTAATATTATAACTGGTATATAGAAAACGAGTAGTCCAATGGCTACATATTTGTTTAATTTATGGATGTGGATGGTGGCTTTTTTATATTATTTTTTTTAGCTCGAGTGTTAAAACTAGCTTTTGCCTTCAGGGTATCATGGATGAATTGTCTCAGTTGAAGATTGGCTTCATTGGTGCGGGTAATATGGCTTTCGGAATAGCACGGGGCATCCTTAAATCAGGTAACCGTATGTTTTGAACTTTAACCTAAGCGTGACGTTAATCAGTGGGCTGTTGGGGTGCAGAGCCATGTAGAGAGAGTAGCGTCAACGTAAGTTCAAAATGCTTGATGGTCACGTGATTCACGTAGACTTCAGATAGTTCCAAGAAGTTCTTTGCGGGCAATTTAAACCCATAAACACAGAGCGACAGAACTGCGTCTTTTGGTACTTTAAAGTCAATAAATGCACCGATTTACAATATTTATATAGAAAACCAACGTGTGTGTGTAGTTACAACAATGATAACTATATTTTAAAGTCAAACTCGCTACTATTTGAGGATTAAACAGCTATCGTTACCTGGCTTGTTGACATGTTGGGTTAATGTGAACATCGTTTCAGAGTGTGTTTTCATTGTTTCATTGCTTTGACTTTTCAGTTTTATATATTATGTTCTTAAACTTGTATAGTAGTTAAGATCAGTCATATCCTCATGTTGATATACTTAGAGGGAGGGGAAGAGAAGGAATGTTTCAAAATTGAGATCAGATTAATTTTCAACATAAATATAATTAACATAAATACATCTTTAATTAATGGTTGTTTCAGTAATTCCAAGGCCTAAGTACTTTTAATGTCTTGATGACTACTGTAAACTCTATGACTTTTCGAAAGGACAGAAGGAGAAGGAGCCAAAGAAATTTGTTTGGCTTGCATATGAAAAAATCTGTATTAAAAAGCGTACATTAAAATACATCACATCATCTATTTATATTTGTTTGTACACATATAAACATATTTTATGTATCTTGTCTTTTTACTATGCACGTATTTACTGCAACGGATTCATTAAATAAAGCTATAACAAACTCAAACATGAATAGCCTGGCAGGCAGTTTGTCTGTGCCCTTTTCTCCATGTTGTTCTTGCATATAGTCCCCAACATGGTTTGCTCTGCTGCATGGAGATGCTTCAATCGCTCGGAGAAAGGAATGAAAATGTTTGATTTCCTCCACTGACACAGAGAAGAAAAAACTGCTGGCTCAAGTCAGCAGGAGCAATTACTAAATTACTTACCATCACTAAACATTACAACAACAACAACGTGACACTGCATACGTTTCACAAACAAAAGCCACACCACTGGGAAGCTTAACGTTTTATTTATTAAAAATAAGGAACAGGTAAAGAATTGCAAAACCCATGGAATTGAGACTCAGGGTGCAGGGTGGGGGGTGCTGTCTCATTGTAGGGAGTCTCTAGTCTGAGTTGAATCCCCCCGTGGTTCTTGCCATTAATCCAAAATCAACTAAACTGCAACATAATGTACAGATAACAGTCAACAGAATCACAAAGCCTGCAAACACTCAATCCATAAGTTTTATATTTGTTTACTCTTTAAAGTCTCCAATATGCACTCTAAATACACATCAATAGTGACGTATCACGAAAATAGCTCTTTCTTTTTATTGTGTAACTTGCGTTAACTCGTACGCCTAAATGGATAACGATATTCTCATTTTATCTCCTCCACCTCCACTCTACAAGCTCTGCCCCAATGTTATATTTAACTAATATTTAACTCCCACCCACCCCGTGAAAAATCATGTTTAGAAGCCTTTTCTAAGATTCAACAACAGTGGGTGAAATGACATTAAGAGCGGGGTTTTTACAATTACTAGGCTGTTTATGGTTAACATTATGGGTTCCTAACTTTACTCAGTACCCTAGCCTAATCGGTTGTTATCTGTTAATGTTCCTTAAATCTACTAATTTAGTCAGGGATAATCCACTGACATTCTTTAATATACATGTTAATTTCATTCAGATGTGCTTATTATGTACAAACTGATTCTTTAATTGTTTTACCCTTTAAAAGAGCATCACAACCAGTCTATTCTGCTGCAACTCGGCCGCGCTGCTAGTATTTGCTGCTAACTTCCGGGAACTATTGAGAGGCTCCACGATCCGCCATTGCTGTAAAAAAAAAAAATGGTCCATTGGAGTGAACGGAGTTGACGCAACTCTCTCTATATACGACTCTGTTGGGGTGTAGAGTGAGATGAAATGGATACTTTTCAACTTTCAACTTGCTATGCCTAATAACATATCCTGCCTTTTATGACTCCATGTAGTAGTGATAGCACGAGAGTGGTAACCCTGTTGTGTTCATATTTTTACTGAACGTCAACACACTCAATGATCTCAATTAATCAATAACAAAAACCTGCTTTAGACAGCAGACATAATATTTGTCAGTCATCTGACTTCTCAGTAAACTGTGCCTAGGTGGCTAGAATAGGCCTAGATATTTCGAGACTCATAATTAATGTTATGTAAGCTTTTTAGCTACACTTTTAAATGACGTCAGTTCTGAACATGAAATCAGTGAGTTAGACCATTCAGAGCTTAGCTTGTGTTCAATAACATGTCAAATCTACGTTTATTTAATTCAAAAGAATTATGCTGGATGTTTGTATTTTGCATTGTTAGGTGATGTTCCCTCATCCAATGTGATCATAAGCGCTCCATCCAAAAACAACTTTCCCCGGTTTGAGGTATATCACATGTCTGTCTACTGACTACAGAGATGCACACAAGCACTAACATATGTATCCTGTATGTTTTATTTCTACTGATTTACACAGCATGATCTCCTCAGCATGCAAAACATATTCTAAAATGCTTTAAAGAAACTATTTGGAACTATGATTTACTTATTCAGGGTTTGGGGTATTGTCTAGAAAATATTTGTTGTTTCAGTACAGCCTGCAATCCTTCTGGTTTGAACAAATGTGTGGAATTGATTTATGATAATATGGTGGATACAGTTGGGCAGTATGACTACATCACTATCATGTCATAGATGTCATCAGAGCTTCATTAAATAAACAGAATAATAGTCCTGTTTAATTAGATTTAGTATGAAACTTTTAATAAAAATAACTTTTTAGTTTTTATAATATTTTTAAAATTTTGCTTTACTGGTTTCTTTCTTGTCTGTTCTAACTTATAAAACCTAAGAAAAATACAGTATTGTGATACATATTGTGTATTCTGAAAACATCTTAGTTTAGTCTAAGTATTGTCTTGCTATATTTTTGCCATATCTCCCATCCCTAGTGCTGGCTAATATATATTGTCTACACTGGTATACCAGCATTTGCATCAAACAACAGTATAACAGAAGGTTTTTAGTTTTAGTGTTATTGATAGATAGAAAAACCTAGTTAACTGGAAGACCTGTCATTTGCAGCTAGCTTCAGATTGGATAAAAACTAAATAAACAGCAAAATTCCTTTCTGGAAATCTGCTTTCAGTTCATTACTGTATTAATGCAAATTTAAATAAAGCATGCTATATTTAGAAGACATCATGACTTTCACAATTTTATCAATACTGCTCAGCACTCCAACAGTGTAAAAATTAGTTATAAGCAATTGTAAGGATGCCACATGGGCCTTTGAATAGCTCTTCTGTTCTTTGTCCTTTCAATATTCTAGCAGCTGTCATTGCTGATCATGTCACTGTGCCAATAGGTTATGGGAGTTGCAGTCACACACTCAAACAAGGAAGTGGTTGATCACTCACGTTTGGTTTTCCTGGCAGTCAAACCACACCTCATCCCCACAGTCCTAAATGGCATTTCAGAACATGTCACCCCACAACACATCATCATCTCTATGGCAGCTGGCATCACCCTGGCAACACTGGAGGAGGTGTGAAATTTTGAGATTTGTAGGCAGTTTTTATTGAACTGTCCCCCAGTTGTACTATAACTTCACTTCACCTCCTTTTTCTCTTTGTAGTTGTTGCCGGTTGGCTCCTGTGTGATGCGTTTGATGCCAAACCTTCCCTGCATGCTCCAGGAAGGAGCCCTTCTGCTGGCTTGTGGAAAAGGGGCTGGTCAGGAGGTGGGGTCTCTACTGAAGAGCCTCCTCTCTCCTTGTGGATTGGTGGAAGTGGGGCCTGAGACCTGGATCGATGTCCACACGGGCCTGAGTGGCAGTGGCGTGGCTTTTGTGAGTAGGCTACATAACTGTTGGAAAGGTGCTGTCAATACTGTCATGATGCTATCCTTCAAGAAGCTAGGCAGCCATACGAACAGGCCTTAAAAGAAAAACTAACACAAGCGTGTCTTCCACTTTGCACTGTACCATCTCTTTTCTTTTGCTGCTGTTCTGAATACAATTATTTGAAAGCTAACTACATCATTAAACTAAACTCAAAAGCCAAATTTAACTGAAATATTTTCAATCATTACACTCTTGTGTAAGAGAGATTTTATATGCTTAATGAGCTAGACAGTTCCTGTTGCAATTTTAATATCCCCTTCTGTCTGGAAGGTGTACGTGTTTGCTGAGGCCCTGGCAGAAGGAGCTGTTAAAATGGGAATGCCCAGTGAACTGGCTCAGCGTATTGCAGCCCAGACTATACTAGTAAGTATATACACTTGAGTTTATGTGTCATCAGTACCATGTAAATCTAGTGGATTATTTTGTTACTAATTAAACACTGAATTATGTTGGCAGGGTGCAGGTCAGTTGTTACGAGATGGAGGGAAGCACCCAGCTCAGCTGAGGGCAGAGGTGTGTACTCCAGGAGGAACTACGATATATGGACTTCACGCCCTGGAAAAGGGAGGACTCAGGGCAGCCACAATGGGAGCTGTGGAGGCAGCCACGGAAAGAGCAAGAGAATTGGGACGTAAGTAGAGGAGGAGCGAGACGAGACGAGAGAAAAGGAAGGGAAGGATGGAAGAAGAAACTTTAGTTACAAGGAAGGGAATAGTGTGAGGGACATGTCAAAAATTTTATTGAACATCATTTATCGTCTATAAAAATGTTCACGTAAAGCAGTCCCTTGTGTAACTATGTTGGTGCATGTAAATTTACAAAGAACCATTTCTGATTAAAAGGCTTGCTTCCAAAGGTTGCTTTGTTTTCATGCGTTTATCTTACGCTGTTGTCATATTAACTGTAATCCACCATTTTGCTTGCTGAGATCTTGTTTCAGCAAGCATTCACAAAACATCTGGTTTCCTTCTGTTTGAAAAAGGCAAGTAAGCATTCCTATGTGAAAGTGCCTCGAGGGTGAAAAGAAAGCAAATCAGATGGTACAGTACAGAGAAGGGGAACCTTCACAGCAGTGCTGGTGATTCTGAGAGCCTTTGTATGTTACAGAGCAGCATAGAATTCCTTCTGTGTAGTCTGGGATGGAAGTGTCATTAATAATGTGCACAGGATGGTTGAATGTAATTAAATGTTGAAGCTAAATCAGTGGGACTCATCAGTACGTTTGTTCTTTTGATGCCAAATAATGTCTAAGAACGTTTTTCAAAGCAGCATTGGCCTACGGTTTCGAGGACAAAAGCTACGCACAGAAGTCAAAGTAGAGTTTGTCCTTCACCAATTCATTAAAGCTGTACAAAAGTGAAGAAACTACAGAATAAACATAGTTTCCGTTGACATTGTCTTTCATGCCTACTTCTTAGTCAAATCTTACCAGTAAAAGAGAAACGGGTTTGTCTCCACCATTACTCCATATTTTTTTACATTAATCCACAACCCAGAAAAGGCCTGTGAGGGCATTTTCCGTCAGAGAATTGCGTCACCACCGCGCAGTCGCAGTGGGATCCTAAAGAGGGCTATACCACCTATAAAGCAATTTGTGGTGCAAACAATATATATTATTTTGTCATATACGTTATATATGTGTATCTATATTAATACTAGGATGGTTTTCGCTGAACACTAATGTGTTTAGTTTATATTTATTTTATTTATTATACATTTTAGAGCTGTAACACTCCAACACACCCCGCACGCTCAAATGAATGGTCACGTCGGAACGTCTAACCTCTCTTCTCGGAGGTGTCTTGGCGAGGTGCGCTTAAGGCTCTAATAAAATCACTACAGAATTGCCGAAAAGTGAGTATCTGTCATTAAGATAAATGGAAGTTGACCGTTTCCAACAACTTGTGGCTATATTATCAGTCTTCATGTTTATGTTTATCCAGTGTCTTACGAAGGAGAGGCGGTTTACCGTCCCAAAAAATGCTCCGTTGTGTTGCCGGAAAGCTTCTACAATGAAATAAAGAAAACAAAATAACAGGATTTCTTATTCAACAGCTGAAAAGCGTATGGTGATCCTCAAGGAAAAGCTAATCAGTGTTATTTCCCTGTTGCATGAAATGTAGCGTGGCTAGCTAACCCTAACCCAGTCAAGCATGGAGGCAGAAAAAGGATGTGCGCACTTTTCGAGCCCGCTAGTATTGTTCTGTTTTTTGTCAAAGTATTAGCTAGTTATCATTAATGTTTTTACGAAAATGGCTTATGTTTATCGGCTATATTGTTCTGTCCGACCGACAGATGTTATTTAAATTAATATATAGACATACATATGACCTATTGTTCAGAAGATTATGCTTTGGATTTTTCCGTTTTACACTTGCTATTGACGACTTATTTACGTGGTTTGATTTGTTAGCTGATTTAAGACTGATTGTATCTGAATAATATGAAAATGTGTTTTTGAAATGTTAAGTCGAATCAGTATTAAACGCATAACTGGGAAGATCTGAGTACAGCGTCAAGAAACACGTGTGGTTTACGTGGTTCCCACGTTGGATTTGGCACACGTCGGTTAGAGAGACAGAGAACTTCTGGTTTTCTGGCATCGTATTGATTAATGTCCTGAGATTTGATTCCGAAACCTAAGTCAGCACCTAATTTTGTGAGTGGGGATAATGAAGTATATAGTATAAATACTGCTTGTAGTAGTATATAGCCACTATAGTACATACCGTAGTAAGCTATAATGAAATAGTTTAGTCACTTTAATTTTAAGGTATCTACATATAGGGTAAAATGTCCTGTTAAACAAAAGTACTGTAAAAGAATGATCAAGCTTAAATCTAGCTGATATGCTCTTTGTTTTCTCCTCCCGCTGACTTGGTGAAAAGAGCAAACTGAACTTAAATTAGCACCAGTTAGTTTGGCTGCTGTGTTGCTCACTCATTACAAAAAGGTGAGTTAGGATCAGATCTTGTATCTTTCTAAAAATTTTGAATGCATGAAAAGTGAAAGTGTTGCCACTTATGTTCTTGTCCATTTATTCCACCATTTACCAATCCCAATGCAGTGGTACTCCTGCCTTCTATGCATTAGCATCATCATTTTAAAGAAACCTAAGAACATTTAAATGCACAACAAAACCACAATCACTGGCAGAAATCAGGTTATGGCAATTATTCGACTGAAGTGTTTGCATGAACAGCAATATGCAAAAGTGCCTTTACACATAGGATTGGTGAAATAATTGATATCTTCTCCATAAAAGACCTAGACATGCACCAGTGATTCACGATGATGTGGACGTCATAATGGTATCAGCAGTTAATTTGCTTAAAGAAAACCTGTACCTGCATCAGACAAAAGTTGAGATTTGACCGATATTTCAGAATGATGTTTGATGAAGCATTTTAGTGCAACGTCTATAGAAATGTTATATTTCTCTGTAATGTTAATTCAAGTGAAACCAGTCACAATTTCTACATTTTATAAATATGTATGTATCAGCATTGGCAGATAAGTACACAAAAATGTTAGCTTCAGCACAGAATTTCCATATTGGTGAATACTTAATATGCTCACATTTAAGAAATCACATAACCCATAATTTTGATTCCCTGCTCAGAAAAATGTTTGGCAGATTTGTATTTGTTGAGATTGAAGTTTACTTAGTTCAGTTAAGATCTTATCCTAATTAAAGAAATCAGATAGATGTGTTCACATGACTTTTAACATAAATTCTTAACCCCAAGAGTATAAATTGTGTCAGGAGCATCAGTGTGCATATAAACGCAGTCCATAGAGACCTGCATTGTGTTAGAGCTGGAAAACAATATGGGTCAGTTTCCCAGACATGGATTAAGCCTAGTCTTGGACTAAACCCCAACAGCAATGGTGAATCACCATTGGAAATTCTTTTAAGTCCAGACTTAGGTAAAATGTAGCCTGGCAAACTGCCTTTTGTGCCTTTAAAAGCGGGTTTATTGGGAGGTGCTGATGTGTTTCAGAACATGATCTGCCCTTTCATCTGCACTTTGAATTGCATTTCATTTTTCCTCTTCACTTCCTGTCATTGTGAACATGGTATTTACACACATGAATTATTGTTCACACCTGAATGCCCCTTTGCATGCATTCTCTTTGCTTGCCTCTGCATGCGTGCCTTTTGCTCTCTAATTGTCAGTGTTACTAATACTCTAGTCCCTGTCACTCTGCTTTTCTCCTCTCTTTCTCTTTTTGTTGCCCGTGGCCCTCTCCTTTTTCCATCTGTCCTGGATGCAAGGTAATGCCTCGGAGAAGTCCAGTAAATGCTGGTGTGGACCAGATTGCTGCTGGCCTTTCAGACTGTGTGACTACGGAGGGCCTTAGGGGCTGTTTGTCCAGTGAGGTCATACAAGGCCTGCGTTCAGAATGTGCTGCGCTGTGGTTCGACTGTGGCATGTACGAGAGAGCGGAGAGCCACTACTATGTCAAGCTGCAAGAGCATCAGAATGGGACCACTGCTCCTGCAGTCACCAGGAACAAGCAAGAAACCTGTCACCATGGTGACCAGGAGGCCTGTCACCACGTGGTTCAGACTGTCTGGGTGAATAAGCCCATCTTTGACCAAGCTGAAAGCCATTTTGTAGCCCAGTATCCCAAAAAGACAAATTCAGTGACCACACCCAGTTCTCTCCAGGTGTCACCTGCTAGCCCCTCCTCCAGTACATTATGTGATGAAGGCTACCTTTCTCAAACCCCAACTCCTGCCACTCCTGCTTCAAGAGCAATCAACGGCCTCCCCTTTCTGCCTGCACCACTCCATGGGGTGTGGCTTCAGAAACCTCTGTATGACAGGGCAGAAGCAGCTTTCTATCAGAACCTGTACCGTAAAACTGAGCCCCATTACAAGCCCATTGCAAATGACGAAGACCAAGTACGTGGCACCATCGTCAAGGAAACCAAACTTGACAGCACAGAGCAGCAGAAACATCACAACAATGGCATCAAGAAAAAAGAAGACAGAGCCTGGTGTCACTTTCTGCATGCGGACAGTGAGAGGGTGTGGCTCGACTGCAGTCGCTATGTGGAAGCGGAGACTCGTTTCTACGAAACTATTGCTGCCAAAACCAACCAATCTGCCATAGTCCACTCTAGCGCATCACTGAAGTATGACTTAGTACTCAAGTATACACTTGCACTTTTGTACCCAAATGTACACCTGTAAATTGCACGCACTTTGATCACACACATGTAGCTCTTTTTAAATTGGGCAGTGACATTCTTGTCAGTAAGATAGTCTGGGTAAATATGGATGCAATAATCTGATCCATATTCTTCTTTGCTGCAGCCTTATATTCTATTAATTTTCTGTTTTTATATCGTTTCTTTGTTCTGTTCTTGTAGTGCAATTCTTTGTTCTTATTTTTTGACTTCCTTTTTGGCCTCCTCCTTTTTTGTTCTTTATGTTTACAGCACTCTTGTTTTCACCAATTTTTTGTGTTTGTATTTTGTGTGATGTTTGGTTTTGCTGGCATTATGTGATTTGGAGATGTAAAGGTGCTACTCAAAAGACACAAGGGTATTACCATTATAAGTGTGCTGATTTATTGCTTGTAGTACTAATTGATACAGTGCTCTTCCTTTATGTCTGGGTAGAATGACTGGAGTGGACTACTTAGCACAGGAGAGGATATGGTTTGACAAGCCACGCTATGATGAGGCTGAGCGAAGGTTTTATGAAAGGATGAATGGCCCTACACTACCTACACAGGTATGCTCATCTGCTGCATCTATGGCATATGGTCAGTTACCAAAGACAGTAATTTTGAAGTGTTTCCCTGTGTTGAGTAAAAGAACAGGAAACTTGCTTACTCTAAACTCACATATAATAGAAGCCTATGGGCAATTGTAGAATTCTGTGAGTAAACATTTGAAATAAAGTGGTTACAGTCTACCAGTGCAGATCTTACGATGAGACAGATAGGAGAGAATGTCTTAGAAAAATCTATCCTCATGAAAAGCCGTATCCATAAGCATCAGTCAGGAGCCTGTGGAACCTCCACCCAGACCAGTGGTAATGAACAACCAAATGAATTAACAAATTCTTCTCTCTGGAAAACTAGATCTGGATCTTTGGAAAAAACCAAATGTGCTTTGTTTTAACGGGTTTTCTGTTCTTTAAGAACTCAGAAATGTCAAAATTATTGTTCATGGTAATTGACATAATGTTTTAGCAATAACTATCATGACATACAGAGATTAGGTTAAAGAATGATAAAGTGCACCTTTAAAGGAGAAGTTTGCTGAAAATTTTAATTTGCACAGCTTTCCGCTTCCCTTATATGGAGTTTGGAGTCCATGTTTTTCTTCTTTAGTTCAGAATTGGAGCTGCAAGTCCAGCCTTGCTAACAAACACTACGACTAACAAGTCACTGAATCAAAAAGTCTCTCAACCCACTTAAACAGCATTCAGATCTTGATGAAGATTACACAGACTTGTCAGTAAGTTTTAGGTCACCGAATGACGAAGAAGGGTATGATTGGTGACTAGTGTTCTAGTGTTTGTTAGCAACATTAGTCTCACAGCTTCAGTTCTGAATTAAAGAAGCAGAATTTGGACTCCAAACATGTATTGGCTGCTCAGTTACATTAAGGTTAAGTGGCATACTGTGTGAAATAATTTTTTGTGAAATTATTCTGTAAGCATGCTTAGATGCAGTGAATAACTCTCTGTAATATCCTCTCTTTTTGAAAATGTAGGACTCAGGAGCTAACAGTATTCTACAGGATATTGCCAGAGCACGAGAGAACATCCAGAAGTCTCTTGCTGGGGTATGTTGTTAACAACCTACCACTGCAGAGTTGTCCACATGACCACTTTTCTTCTCTTCATTTATACTTCTTTTCCCTTGTGAGAGAGGGACGAAAAAGCTTTAAAGAGAGTCCACGTAACGTGCTTTTTTTTGTCTCCAGTCAGATGTACATTTTTAGGCTTCTCTCTCTGTCACCCAAATTCTTCTACCCTATCCTCACCCATATTCTCTCCTTTAGTTGAAGACGACCTTGCATCCAACTAGAGGCTCTGCTCAAAAATCTCAAAGCCCCTCCCACATCTCCATTGTAAGTGTGTGAGACCACGTGACAGACTCCCCTGTTGCCTGTTCGAACACACTCTGGTGAAGCTGAATTAGCTTTGTGTTCTGGAAATTTCATCCCACTCCCTTGCATGCGTTGTTTTTCTGTTAATGTGTGTTCCATGTTGTGAGTTTTGCTTCAAGTAGCTGCTTCACATAAGACAAAATGTTTAAGAAAGCCTGTAATTGCACAAATCATAAAATCGGAATATTGTGTTGAGTGTGGTTGATCTTATTTCTAGTATGTGTGTGTAGATGTCATTCATAGTGGCTGTGATATTGCTTGAGTGGAAACAGCTAGTTGCTAGGTATAGCCTGTGTAAATTGGTCCTTCGCTGACACTCTCTGATCCGTGTATGTGTGTTCTTCAGACTTCGGGAGGCAGCAGTGCTGATCAGGCAGAACTGCTCACACGCATGAAGAACCTGGAACTGGAAAACAAGAGTCTGTGCAAAGGTGTAGCAAAGATTTCAGTAAAAAAGAGTTCTTAAAACTCATTCCTGTTTGTCCCTGCACTACACATTAGTGTTTTCACTGTTCACTGAGGGGTGGGGTATTTTCATTTTTTAAATCCCTGATGAGTGTTGTGTAGATAATTGTGTTCCTATTAAGCAAAGACAGGCTTTTTTTATCATCTACTTGCATCTTATATTTTGGCCACACGATAGAATCACTTCCTGCAGTGCCCACTGAAGTTCAGAGGTATTGTAGATAGTCTTTGGCCCTGTTTACTCTTTTATAGAGCAATTATTATGGCAGATAAATGAAGAAAACGGAGAGGCGAAAGACAGATCCTTCAATCATGTTATAAGTATTGTTGTTGCATAGTTTATCCGTCAGAGGGCACTCTGCAACTTTGCTGTTGGCAAAAACACATGTTTGGAAGGCTGTTTATCACAACAATCAGCTGAGTCAAGCAAAGTAACGTTACCCTATGATAGAGATTATTAGCATTAATGGTAAGCTGATAATTGTCATGAAATAATTTACTTAAATAATAATAAAATATCCCCTTCACTTCTCCTCTTGGCCTAAATAAGTCTGGCAACATGTCAGCCATGCCTGCTGCAGTAATGTAAAAGCCAGTACTGTCAGGCAGACATCAAAATTAGCCTACGTTTGATGTTATGGTAGATGAGCAGTGTAGGCTAAGCTGTTAACAAACTTGATTGTAGATTTATTTATGAAAAAGTGTGACAGTTCTAGCATGTAACCCAACACCGGTCCCATCTTTTCTCCCTAGCTCATCACGTACTGCGCATGTGTCAAACTCCAGTCCTTGCGGGCCAAAACACTGCATTCTTCAGCACGGTGCAACGTTAAACACACCTGATTCCGCTCATCAACTTATTAGCAAGACCTTCATCAACTGAATTCAATGCGTTTGATAAGGGTAAATGCTAATTTCCACAGCATTTTGGCCCAGAAGGTCTTCAGTTTGACGTGCCTGACTTACAGCAACATCGCATACAGCAACCTATAACTCTGTTCATTGTGTTACCCACAAAGCTGACAGTTAACGTTAATAAAACAGTTAATGTTAATAAACGGTTAACTCGTGTTTCACTTATTCTGCTTAAATGATGCAGATGAAGTCAGCTTCTTATTCGCCAGTATCTTGTTTGAATTTCCCCATTCCACCTTAAATGGTGCAGCATTTTCTAACTTCTCTTTCAAACGTGTAGAGTGTGTGTGTGTGTGTGTGTGTGTGTGTGTGTGTGTGTGTGTGTGTGTGTGTGTTGAAACTCAAAAAGGAATTCCGGTATAGTTATGAGTAACATCCTATGTTTAGATGCTCCTGCAAGTAATCTAGTTATTCATTAAATTCTTTAAATTCTTCAAATATCGAAATCTGTATTGGTCTTAAAATTCCTATATTAGTCTGACTTTACTCTTGTCTACTCTTAAATGTATCCCAAATCTGGATGTGGTCTATATATGCATTTAAAAAGACAAATGTAACAGCATTTGTAATTGGAATGTGTTTGGATCTAGATGTCCTGATACTGAGGTATTTGAACACACACTGTGTGCAGAGTGGCCAGCTTGAATACATTCATGATCTGTCATGCACTCCACCAACTATACCACCAATATGTTTGATATCAGTGCACTTCTCTTTTTAAACAAGTTATTTTAGGCGTTTACATGTGTTTTCAAATGTAGGCTTAAGAACAAGAAAATTTAAAAAGCAGTTTGTCACCTGAGTAGGACTGTACACAGTTCTCTCTCCACTTCTGGCTGTAATTTTAATCCACTGTTTTTTCAACTGTGTTTCAATTGTGGGTTCTAAGTAAAATGAACATAACTCATTTTGTCCTGTCTCTGTAGCCTAAAGTGCCTGGAGTGCTCTCACAGTGATTGCAAAATGTTTAATAGAACATTAAACACACCATAGCCTGTATAGTCTCTGGCCACTTTATTCTGCCATCACACCAGCCTGATTTAAAAAAAAAATAAAATACTGTGCAAGGAAACAAGATCCCAAAACACCTGGCTGAACTTGTCAGCTCATTAACAAGCTCTTCATGAGCTTAAAACGCTATTGTAACAATTCAGAGAAGCTTGAGATGTTTGTTAGCGGTCCCCAGCTGCTTTAATGTCAGTCTCCCTTGCTAATCTTTTCTCTCCTGGCTCTTTATTTCAGTGGTGGAGGACTTGCGTGCCGCTCTCTCTAAACTGGAGAGTCGAGTCTCTGTCCTGGAAAAAAGGCCTGCAGCCCCAGCACCGGTGGTCAATGGAACAGCTCCTAATGTGAATTAAAAGAAACAACCACTAATACAAATACTGTACCCCACATGTTTTTCATTGTTTGATCATACAACTCTGCTGTTTTCACAGAAAGCCGCTCCACTTCCCCAGAAAACACCACCTGCACCAGCAAAAAATGACGAAGAAGATGATGATGATATTGATCTGTTTGGCAGTGATGAAGAGGTGGATGAGGAGGCTGAGCGGCTCAAAGAGCAGCGGTTGCAGGAATACGCTGCCAAAAAGGCCAAAAAGCCTGCCCTTATCGCCAAATCTTCTATTTTGTTGGATGTCAAGCCTGTATGTCCTGTTAATTAGTGCTTTTACCAATTTGCTTTATAACTTCTTTTATTCTATTCTACATAAGTTAAAGATATTCTATATCTTTTTATGTCATAATCATTTTAAGTGATAAAGCATTGCTTTACATTGTGGCCAAGGGATGGAGGCCCATAGCACATTTTAACATTATTTTAACATTTCCTCAGCACTGACACTCCTTGTTTAACATGTGATAATTGTTTAATCATGTGTTAGAGCACAGGAAACATTGACCATTACTATAACTTTCCAAATGCTGCCCATCCTGCTCTAGGACATCTGGTTTTAGCACATGGAATATGATTTGTCTTCTGCTTGCTCATTACTTCTCTCACTGTTTCTTTGTGTCTGGTGTTGTGCAGTGGGATGACGAGACGGACATGGCAAAACTAGAGGAGTGTGTAAGGTCAGTACAGGTTGACGGATTGCTGTGGGGAGCCTCCAAGCTGGTACCTGTTGGTTATGGTATTAAGAAGTTGCAGATCAATTGTGTGGTTGAGGATGACAAGGTGGGAACAGATCTGCTGGAAGAAGAAATCACTAAGTTTGAAGACTATGTAAGTAAAGAATAAGGATGGGTTCATGAGGGTGCACATCAATTTTGAATATTTTTATGTTACCACCCTATCAGTGAGTGTGACCTTGCTGATGTATTTGTGTTGTTTTGCAGGTCCAGAGTGTGGACGTAGCAGCTTTCAATAAGATTTAAGTACTCATTCACATATGCACTACTGATACTGATAAAATGACAGTTGATAATAAAGAGCTCTGACTGCATTTTTTTCTGCCTTTTATTCCTTCTCAACTGTTAAATCGAAACATACTCCTACACACAAGGGATCACACATGGTAACATACAAAAGGGAAGGCAGCCATGGACCATCTGTTGTATTTTAGTCTTTGAAGTGCTGGACAAGGTGTTGTATTTTTTGTTTTTTTGGGGGGGTTCAGTTCTGGGCAGCACGGTGATGCAATGGGTAGCACTGTTGCCTCGCAGCGAGAATGGCCTGGGTTCGATTCCCGGCTGGGTGACCAGGGTCGTTTCTGTGTGGAGTTTGCATGTTCTCCCCGTGTCTGCGTGGGTTTCCTCCGGGTACTCCGGTTTCCTCCCACAGTCCAAAAACATGCAGTTAAGCTGAATTGCCCCTAGGTGTGAATGCGTGTGTATGTCTGTAGGTCTGTCTGTCTGCTCTGCGATGGACTGGCGACCTGTCCAGGGTGTATCCTGCCTTCCGCCCAATGACAGCTGGGATAGGCTCCAGCACCCCACCGCAACCCAGAAGGATAAGGTTTAGATGATGGATGGATGGATGTATGTATGTATGTATGTATGTATGTATGGTTCAGTTCTGCATACAAACATAATCTGCACAATCTATATTTCATTAACTAATTGAAACAATAGTGATATTCTGAATGAACAAACATGGCCTGTTTTCCTCCGTAGGTCTACCTTTCATCAGGTCTACCTTTCCCACAACCCTGTCTAAAATGGCAGATCTTTCTAGCACAGTTTTGTTCATTTTCCATTTACCCTGTTTGGGTGTTGAGCAAGATGTTTGAACAAATAGTTGTGTTTATTACTCCATGTAGTTTATCAATAATAATGGTGTTCAATAATGTGCATGTCCAACTATATGAATTCATATTTGGTAATTAATATTTGTTTTGTGATATATTGCCAAGCTCCCATCTAGGAATTTATCATTTCCACTTCAGTAATCTCACTAGATTGCTGTGAGGTTCCCAGGGGCTTTTTATAGCTTTAATTTTCAGTGATTTATTTAAACATTTAATTTCTTTTGCCATAATACTGAGCTGAAGTTTAATTAATTACTTTTCATTACAATCTAAGACAATGCACTCTGTTCTGTATGTCTTGTTCATTGCATGTTAAAACATTATGCATTATTTAATGGCAATGCTTATCCTATTAAACTAGCCCAAATATAATCTACAATCACATCTAAAGTAAGTTGGATCAGGAGCTGGATTTTTCTGCAGTTGGTTATGAAGATGTGATCTGCTTTTCAACTAAGTTACAAGTACAAACAGAATTTGCTAAAGCTAATAACACAAATAAATATTCTTTCATTCTTTATTGTTAACACCAATTACAGGTTCACAGTGCCTTTGGAAAAAGTGAACTCATAGATTAAATAACTTGTCAAACTTCAGCAATAACTTCAGGCATGCGCTTCCGGTAGCTGTGGATCAGAGCTGCACGGCGTTCAAATGAAATTTTGAACCATTCTTTGTTATAGCGCTTTCAGCTCAGCAATACTCTTTACATGTCTGTTGTAAACGGGCCTCAAGGTCATTCCACAGTGTTAATGTCTGGGCCACCCCAAAAGGCACATTTTATTTTTTGGAAACCATTCTGTAGTGTATTTTGGTCTTTGTCCTGCTGCATCACTCAGCTTTACTGAGCTTCAGCCAAGCTGAGTGATGTCACCTGACATATCCTGAAGGATACCTGGTAATCTTGGGAATTTATTTTTCCCTCAATGGTGACAAACAGTCCAGGCCCAGAGGCAGCCATTTCCCCAAATCGTAACACTCCCTCCACCATACTTCACTGTTGAAATGATGTTTTCATATTGGTATGCAATGTCCTTTTCATTCCATCAGTAGTGCTTTGTGTTCAACCTTTCATCAGCTCACAAAACATTGTCATCATTTAAGTTAAGGTGCTCTTTGGCAGACTTCAACTTTTTCTTTTTTTGGCTTCTTCTGTGGTGTCTTTTTCATAATTCGTGTTTTTAAGTTCACCTGAGCAATTAGGGACATCTACACTGATCAGGCATAACTGCTGTGTCTGATCCACTCGTACCGGCACAACACACACTAAGTCAGTGTTACTGCAGTGCTGAGAATGATCCACCACCCAAATAGTACCTGCTCTGTGAGGGTCCATGGGGATCCTGACCACTGAAGAACAGGGTAAAAGGGGGCTAACAAAGCATGCAGAGAAACAGATGGACTAGAGTCTAATTGTAGAACAACAAAGTGCACCTATATAGTAAATGGAGCTGATAAAATGGACAATGAGCGTAGAAACGAGGTGGTCGTAATGTTATGACTGATCGGTGTAAATGGTCAGCTATGACTTCCTGTTTCACTGGAGAATGTATATATGAGATGCAACAGGCCAAATTCCCTCAGTCATCCATCATTATGAGAAAGACCAGAGAATACAGTAATGATGTATGTCAGAAGGTTGTTGATCGGCAGGAAATGGCTACAAGAAAAAAGCTATACAGTTTTAAATGCCCATTTCCACTATCAGGGCAATAGTTAAGAAGTTTAAAACAACTGGAGATGTTTAAAATCTGCTAGGAAGAGGACGTATGTCTATACTGACCCCACACACAGTGAGGAGGATGGTTTGAGTGGACGGACAAAAGCCTCTGTTGTTAAGGACCAACAAACTCAGGCTTCTACAGTTTGCCAGACGTTACTGGAACTTTCAGTGGGACTATGTTCTATGGTCAGTTTTTGACAACAAACACCAGAGGCGAGTTTGGAGTGGACACAAAGATAGCCATGCAGAAAAGTACTTCACCTCTGCTGTGGAGTATGGTGGAGGATCTGTGGTGATGGGCTGTTTTTAATTTAATACATCGTATCACAGACTCCATCAAGTACCAGCAGAAATAAAATCTAAACCTTACTGCCTCAACCAGGAAGCTTAAACTGGGCCATAGTTTGAATCCTCCAGCAAGGCAGTGATCCAAGGCATTCCTCACAAATCAACAGAAAAATGGTACACTGAACACAAAATTAAGGTTTGGCCATGGCCATCCCAGTCCCCTGAACTAAACCCCCAGAAAATCTGTGGGGGGAGCTGAAGAAGAGAGTCCACAGTGTGGACCTCAGAATCTGAAGGACTTGCGAAGAGTCTGTATAGAGGAATAGTCTCAGACCCTTTACCATGTGTTCTTTTGGTTTTCTTGGTTAACTGCATTTCATTGGCTCTGTAACTGTACTCTGCATGTACTGTCAAGAAAGTTGAATCTAATCTAATCTGGTCTCCAGTCCCATTAAGCATTATAGGTGAAGACCCAGAGCTGTGTTGTGTCTTTGCAAGGGAGGCTGCACAAAGTATTAAATGAAGGGGTGCCAACAATTGTGGCACTCACAGATTTGAGAAATATATTTATTTCCTGATAAGATTTAGATTTTTTTTTTTATCATTCATTGTACTTCATATAAGGGTTAGACTTTTGTTAATATTTTGAATGAAAGATCAAAAGGAGGCAATAAACAATGCTTTTTACAGCCTGTTTTGCTCTTGTTTACCAGGGCTGCCAATATTTAGGGAGGGCGCTACACATACATACATACATTCATTTATTTCTCTCGCTCTCGGCTCTAATATGTAGTGTACCCCAGCAGCAGGGGACTGATGCTCTATCGTTCTGCCTTTTAAGCTACATTTCTTGCTCTCACTGAGTCGTGAATAACATGCATACTCTTTCTTAAACGAATGGAAAGAACTTCATAACAGAAGCCCAACTGCTTCCTCGGTAGAAGTGAGAAATTAAAGTGTAATGTTCAGGAGCTTCTAAACAGCTGTGGATGTTGCGTTTGGTGCGTGAGAGGATCATCGCTTTGTTTCGTTTCAGCGAGGGAAATGCTAGTATCTACCTAAAACCTTGAAATGAAAACCTCTGGCCTATAGTCACTGTCTGAACAGGACTTTGCATGAAGTACAGTCATTGCAGACTTAAAGCCAATCCTCCAGTGAAGCGCATATGGCTCGCTCTGCGAATGGGAAGTACACAATTAAAGCACAGGATGTGAAATTTAGTCCTGCCCTCGGCAGTGTCGATCTTAAGACATAGGAAAGTTTCCACAGCGCGGAATCCCCGTTATTGTCAGGTTTGTGTTGTTTTCCATGTATTTTTTGTCGCTGAAGTGTTAGATACAGAAGTTTCGTGTGTGTTCGTGTGCGGTTTCTTCAGTTTTATCCAGGTTTAGAAACTCGGCGGTTGTGTCTTGAGTCAGTGTGAGAGGGAGAGCGCAAAGCATGAACTGCGAATGTTCAGTTTTCAACCAGTGCCATACAGCAAGTTCAAACAACAAGTTTTACATCAAAACATGGTCTTACTAATTTTGTCTGATTTGTACAATCAGTAATATCCAGCTGCAGGACGTGTATAAAAGAAAGTAGCACGAAAATCCTTTCTTTGCTTGCAGATTATTTGCCACTAATGATGTGTAGGTTATCGGTAAAGAGGGTTAGTAACACGCTTCTTCACCGTCATGTCTGGGCTTGTGTTAAAGTGATGAATGACCCTCAGACCTTCTGAGAAACCCACGGGACCTACCAAAACGACCTACAAACCTACAAAAGGATGACTGAAAAAAACTGAATGACTCTTCCTTTGTTTTTGCTCATATATTTTTAAGCAGTAATTTCAGGTATAGAGCGTGGATGGTAAATGATGAATAATGTGTGGCATGTTAAGTAAGGTCTGCCTATTTCATGTACTGTAAATGCCTTAAACTGTCACGTTGGCCCTAGGATGGGAATTCCAAGTGTCCTTTTACTGCTTGCAATCCAGTCCTCTGCTAGCTATCTGACCGCTGGACAAGAGGACAACGAAATTCTCAAACACACCGACACACAGGTCAAGCACCAGGTCAGCTTAATGATTTAATGTCTTGCTTATTTATTTATTTACTTATATCAAAGGGGATTTTTCAAATTTTCTGATTAATTTAGTTATTACGATGCAAATAAAGTCATTCAGAGTGCACTCTAAGAAATGAAACTTTATATTTACTTAATCTAGTTATGGCAACCGGTCCCACAAAACTTGGTTGCTTGAATGGGAAAAACAATAGACAATTAATTGCAACAACATATTTTATGTAAATGCAACCAAATTGTGTTAATTAAATGCACCATCACGGAGTTATGCTGAATTAATATAACATTATTGTTTTGAATTTACTGACAAGTTGACTTAACTTGACAAGATTAAGTTCAATTTACTCAACACAAATGAGTCCATAGGTCAAATAAACTTAAGTCACTTTAACTCACCTGACTTTATTAAGCTTTCAGGTTTAGAAACACTGAATGTTATGCAAGGTACATTACATTAATAGAGACCATTATGAATCAAAGTAAATATGTAAGTTGTTAATACATACATAACACATACATAACACAAACACAAATAAATTTAGAAAATGATAAAGTACAAATTTACAAAAAGTTAATTTACTTAAACAATAGCACTAAATAAATAAAGTAGATCAAAATATATAAAGATTAAATTAATTTAAAAAGGTTTATTTTAAAAGAGGTCTCTTCACATTTATGGGTGAGATAACCAAACAATATCAAAACTGTTTTTTGTCTTTAATTTTTGAAGTTTTATGGTCCAGCAAGTATTCAGAAAACAAAAGTTGCTCAATTTACACATGCTCAAGGCTGAACTTGAAACAGCAATTATTACCACCAACACCTCTTTACACTGCTGATTGTTTTGTCCAGCAGCAGTCCAAAATCCAAAGACAAGTAACGCTGCCCAAGCAAGAGTCAACAGAAGTTTTCAAGGACTTGCACCTTAAATCAAAAGCTTGTTCCTATCCAAGGCCATCACTTTCTGAAGAAATTCAAACATGTATGACAGCTAAAAAAACTTGAAACATTGTAATAACTGCAATCAAGCAAAATGTGTTCTTTAGATTGATCTCCTCGTCCAGCACTGCTCCAAAATTCAAAGCTAGTCACAGTTTATTTCTTTGCCCAAGAGTCAACAGAAGTCACACAGTTTGTTGTTGAGGACCTGTACTGTACTGGAGAGCTTGTTCCCATCCAATTCCATCAACACTTTAAAGAAATTCAAATGTGTATTGCAGATCCTTGGCATAGCTCAAGTTTAAACTATAGATCAAGCCAAGCAGGACTGCACACCCATTTGCCAAATCTCCCAGATCTTGCAGCACTGTGCATATTTTAATGATGCCAACATCCTCAGGTGGATCTGTAGAGTCTGCTCCCTTGTGTCAGACAAAGTAGATGCCCAAAACCATTCCTTCTCCATTCCTCTCACTGCACCAAGATCAATACCCTGAATGACAAAGAAATAGTATTAAATTACGCATATTACGTCATAATAAATGCCCCTTTTTCGTCCAACTGTACAAACTCAAAACATCAAGTTTTCAATCAAAGAACACAGAATAGCAAATCCTCAGCCTGAAGAAGTGTATTATTTGCGTGTTATTTTTCATTAATATTTGCCCATTTGTTTAAAGAATAAGGCCAGTGATTGTACCCTTATTGTCGTGAACCCCATCAAAAGACCAAAACCAACAATTAATGTATCCTACTAAGTAATACTGTATGTGTATCAAAAGTCTTGAGTTAATGTATTCGTTTGTGCCACAGAGCTCCATTGATCAGATTGGCAATAAATCATCCACAGTAAGCTCTCATCAGCACGCCCCTTTTTGGGGGGAAACAATCCCAAGTCCCGCATAGACAACAATAGCAAAACCAAGAAAAGCAAAACGTACATTGAACTAACCAGTATAAATTAATAACACTGTCGAAGAGCAGCTGTGTGGTTGGTTGTACAAACAACAAATTAAAATTTAAGGTGAAACGTAAAATTTGAATAAGAAGGTGGCAGAAGTTACAAGTTGGCTTTGAATTTGCCAGCTTCTTATTCCCTGGAAAATGTAATGCTGCATTGCCAGCACTGGTCAGTCAGCTTAGCATAACATCTTCTGTTCTTACTCCGTTACAAGTTTAGTTGGTGAGCCTATACATTAGCAAAGAAATTCAGTATAAGCAATTCAGAGAACATTTTGTGAAATTAAAATATGAAAAAGCATGTTAAAAATGTTCTGTATGAGCTTAGCTATAGATGATAATGCCACCCCATGTGTAACATAATCCCACAAAAAAATAATAAATAAATAAACTTCTGAGCCACTGGAAATGTGATGAAAAATAAAAGCTAAAATAATTAATTGTAGTTATCCTAACTGAGCTAAGAGAGGGAAAGTGTACTAGGATTGAATGTCAAATTGTGAAAGAAAATTAATTTTAAAAAAGTTGAGTTTTAATGAATGTGGCTAAGGTGTATGTAAACTTATGATTTCAACTATGTTCATAAGTTTGTTTTAACAATATTTGATTAAGGACATGGCAACAAATCATATTTTAACTGAATTGAAAGTGAAACACATAAGACAGAAAGAGGCAGAAAAGTAAGACACTCTCATACAAAACACATACCTTGTCCATGGCTGCCATGATCAGGCTGATATTGTGTCCTGCTGCTTGCTTCACTTTGGATTAGCTGTTAGTTGTTCTTCACCTCCAGTGTAAGAGCTTGCCTTTCCTCCTCAAGACTTTCGTTAGTTTCACCTGTAATCAGGATAGCTGACTTTTTGCTTTCTGTGGCTTCTTCACCTTTTTAGGTTTGTACTTACTTTCCATCCACAGAATTCAATGTTTTGAATCCGCATGGGCATTCACAGTATGTGGACGAAAATAAGTGTCTCTGACCATAATGGCCATGCTTCAGCTTATAGTGTTTTAGTAATAGGTACCTCATAGATACACCTTCACATTCAGAGCCTAAAAAAAGAGAGATGTCACTGATCAGCAATCATTTACACTCTCAAGATATATTCATTTTAAATAACAGGCATCATTACACATTTGTGCTTGGCCGAGGCAACTGCTCCATAATCCCTTACAAATCTATAACACTTATAACTGATTTAAGAAGTAAAGAATACTTACAACTATATTTGAGCCACTGGCTTTGCATCTGTCAGCTAGCTAAGACACTTGCTGACAAACCTGAAATCCAGACAACTTATAGTTAGCCTTGATGTAATAAATATTTTTCATGGAAAGTAAGACAAGCATATGAAACGTTAACAGTGTTTAACTGTTATTTAAATTACTATTCTGAAACTTTACAAACTATTATTTTATACAATTTTACCTCTCTTGGTTAGTTAAGCATTTTAAAATATGAATTTTTAAAAGAGTTTCTGATGCAAAAAGAGCACATTCTAGCCAGAGATAAACTCTCGCCACCCCTTTCCCGTTACATTTTTTGCGCTCCGTGCCACCTAAAATGGCGCTACAGTTAAGTTCATGCGCCTGTTAGACCGTTATACTCGCACCTTCTGCAGCGAAGACCCAGCCTCACATTTACCGGTCACTTTCTGTTCAAAGTAGATAGTCAGAATGAATTCTACAAGTAACTGATATGGACATAAAACTAAATAAATTACAGGCAGACCTGAGTTTATTGCTGGAATATTTACAGTTCGTATACGTGGCGTGCGCCCGTCCCCCGGTCCGGGGACGGCCGCGAAAGCCGAAGGGAAGGCGGGGCCTGAACTCCGAAGCCCGGCAGAGAGAGGAACACGGTGAGTGAGCCCGAGCCCCTTCCTGCACACCGCCTCCGGTCTGGCAGTGAGCCTCACGTTCGATCCGGGCGGACGAGTTGCGAGCAGGGGGCGGCAACGCCCTGCAGAGAGAGCGAGCGAGAGCGAGAGCGACTAAAGACTGAAGAGTGAGAAGCTGAAAAGCTCGAGTGTGAAAAGGACTGAAAAGTTACTGAAAAGGCCCGCTCAGTTAACATAGGTTCTGGTTGTTCGGTTTAGTTTTGTCTATTTGGTTTGTGAATAAAAGTGAAATGGCTGCTGAGACCCTGAATCCTGCCTCCAGCGTCCTCCTTGACCACGGGGTAGCACGTGCCGTGCTACAGTATGTTATCATTTGATGCGTGAAAATATATATTGGCGCCTGATTTTTCCAGTTAAAGCCGTCGGCTCCATAAGCATTTTTTGTCTAGAGTCCAGAACTTTATCAAAGGACACGGCCAAGCGCAAAAAACTGAAGTAACACTTATCTGTTCTCACAAATGCACCGTGTTATAATGTATTATTAAGTAAAAGTTTGTGCTTACAAAATAAGTGATGGATGGCGGTCGATGAAAAACGAGACTGTCCTGAGGGCCCATTTTGCGTCACGGGGGGTAAAAATGGCGCACGAGCCTGTTAGCCTCATAAGTACTGCGCATGTGCGACACTGCCAGTACGGAAAGCGCATTGGGACAGTCTTTATTTAGTTCAAGGGCCAGTGCGTTTAAAGTGAGCTGGTTACGTTGGTTTAAATCTGCAGTGTTTTGTAGACTTGAAATGTCATACTATTATTTTAATGTAATGAAACTTGATTATTTTTGACTGTAAAAATTAAATGTTATAAATAATTTCACCATGAAACAATTACGTTAGGTAAACAATATCAGTGTTTCATTTCTTAGAGTGTGGTTTGATGTGCATTTTATAAAAAACTTTCTGACTGTGGTGGTAATAGGAACCAGGGGTTGCGGAGTCTACAGCACACACATAGGTATTTTATCTCCAAAATGGTAACTTTAGAGAAAATACCAAAATGTACTAGACTTAATGGGAAGGGATTTGATTCTAAGTAACCTTAATCATATCTGTTAATTCATTCATCATGAAATGTTTTTAAAAAACAAAACAAGATAGAGTTACAAAGATTTGATATAATAGTGGCGATATTTGGCTGGTCAATTTAGGAGAATAAGAAATCTAAAAGAGAATCCAGAAGAGAGATAAGCAAACTTGTGGCCATGAGCCAGTGTGTGTGATTATGTCTTATATCTTTGTTCATAAACAGAATCAGATTGAGCACATCAGGCTTGCTGCCAGCAATTTGAGTCATATTCCTCTTAACGTTCTTACAACAGGTAAAACACAGCCGCACACATGCACACATTTGCTCAAGGTCAATGTGCCATATTATTCTTTTTCACTAAATCTCTTTTCGGCACTCAGACCCACAGCGCTCCACGACCTCTCACCCAAGCACTGGTTGCCAGGGTAGCCAGGTGAGCATGGAGGGTCAGAACTGCTCCTGTGCTGCAGGCTATGCTCGGATGGGGGCAGCAGAATGTGATGGTAAGATACATACACTCTCTCTGTCCTAACAATAATAACAACCATTTTAAATGAAAAAAAAGGTTTTATTCATGAATGTTTTACTTCACTAGCTGTAGCATGTGCATGTAATATACTTCATGTTACCATGGATATATAATATTGGAATTTGCATTTAATAATGTTGTATTGCTGCATTATTGCTGAATGTATTTGAGGTGATTAAGAGAAGATGATTCAAAAACTCTCTCTCTCTCTCTCTCTCTCTCTCTGTCTCTCTCTGTCTCTCATTGAAGACATTAATGAGTGTGATCAGGGTCACCCTGGGCCCTGTGGTTACCACAGCAACTGCACCAACACCCCGGGCTCCTTTCTGTGTAGCTGTCTCCGTGGTTACCTGATGACTGCTGGAGGTTGTCAGGGTGAGCACATTCAGATTGATATTGTGTAAATTCTGCTATGTTAAGGTGCACCTATTGCTGATGCAGGCATTCGGTTATTCCCTCATAATTTTGTCACATTTAAATATTTCAGATCATCCAATCAATTGTAATATAAGATAAAGACAATGTGAGTAAACAGAAAATGTTTATAATAATCATTCCATTTATTTCAGATAAAGATTTATTCAAAACCTATGTCATCTGTGTAAAAAAGTAATTGCCTTTTGCAATAACAACTGCAGTCAAGCATTTGTTATAACTTGCGATGAGTCTTTTACATCACTGTGGAGGAATTTTGGCCCACCTTCTTTGCAGAATTGTTTTAATTCAGCTACATTGGAGGGTGAACATGAACTGTCCGTTTAAGGTCTTGCCTCAGCATCTCAATGGGATTTAAATCAGGACTTTGACTTGGACACTCCAAAACCTTTATTTTGTTTCTTTGGAGTCATTCAGAAATGGACTTGCTTGTGTGCTTTGGATCACTGTCCTGCTGCATAACCCAAATGCGCTAGAGCTTTATGCTGTGACCAGGTGGGCGGACATTCTCCTGCATGATTTTCTGATAGAGAGCAGAATTCATGGTTCCATCATTTATGACAAGTTGTCCAGGTACTGCAGAAGCAAAGCAGCCCCAGAGTGGTATGATGTTCTTATGGTGTGGAATGCGATGTTAGCTTTACACCAGATATAACAGGACCCCTGTCTTCCAAAATGTTCCACCGTTGACTCATCAGTCCACAGAATGTTATCCCAAAAGTATTGGTGGTCAAGTTTTTTGGCAAATGCAAGATGAGCCTTTGTTGTTCCTTTGGGTCTGCAGTGGTTTGCACCTTGCAACTCTTCCATAGATACCATTTTTTCCCCATTGTCTTTCTTATTGTGGAATTGTGTACATTGACCTTAACTGAGGCAAGTTAGACCTGCAGTTCTTTAGATGTTTGTCTGAGTTCTTTTGGGACATCCTGGATGAGTCATCGATGCGTTGTTGGTGAAATTTTGTTGGCCAGATACTCCTGGGAAGGTTGACCACTGTTACAAGTCCATTTGTGGATAATGGCTCTCACTGTGGTTTGCTGGAGTCCCAGAGCAATGGCTTCATAACCCTTTCCAGACTGGTAGATTCCAATGACTTTGTTTGGTATCTATATTTGAATTTCTTCAGAATGTGGTCTCATGTGCTGTTTTTTGAGACCATCTAGTCTGCTTAACATTGCCAGAGAAGTTCTATTTAAGTGATGTTCAGATTCAACAGGTCTGCAGTAATCATGCCTGGGTGTTGCTAGTGAAATTGAACCCAATAGTCAACTTTTTAGCATTTTTTTTAGATCAGCATTTTTCATTTAATAAATGAAATCATTTTGTGTGTACTTGGGTCATCTTTGTTTAATATAAAAAGTAGTTTGATTATCTGAAACACTGAAGTGTGAAAGATATGCAAAAATAGAAGAAATTGGGAAAGGGCAAATACTTTTTCACAGCACTGTATAATCTCCACAGAGAATGTCTCCACACTAAACCTTCCAACCAACTGATTTTATGTGAGTTATGTGATTACATGGTTATAAATACAAATTAATAAATAAAGCTTAATAGATTCATATGTAAATTAATAGCTAAATTGTTTTTGTTTTCTTTAAATGGCCCCTATACTATGTTTTTCTTTTTTTCATTGATATCCATGTTGATGTACAAACAGTTTTTCAACCACTCTTTAACTTTTTACAACCCATATGTCAAACACAAGGCCAGTCAGTTAATATTTCAAGTTTTCATGTAATATTTCAAGGTCTACTACAAGTGCCTGCATTATGCTCTTGACAATTTGCCATATTTTGAATAATCAATAGCCAGTTCAGGTTATAGCAAAATGTTATTTAAAAATGAAATAAAAACATAGGCATTCTCTGGGCCACAGATTTGTTGAGATTTTTTTTATATGGCCCTTTCAGTGGTTGAGTTTGACACCCCTGCTTTAGAATAAAAATGGTTCACCTTGGCTGTGTGTATTTGTTGTAGATATAGATGAATGTGCATTAGCTGCAGTAACTGGTCTGCAGGCTTGTGGCAGAGGGGCAACATGTAAGAATAGCCCCGGGTCCTTCTCTTGCCACTGTCCAGCTGGATTTGTCCTGGCAATTGATGGACACAACTGTATTGGTGAGTTCTTTACTTTGTAAAGTGAAGTACTTGTGTAGGACGATTTTCAGTTGGTGCTTATATAAAATTGTGTTAAGTTAGTAGCTTCCACATGTTATAGACTGAAGTCCAATAAGAATATTTCTTTATTTTTTGCAGATGTTGATGAGTGCAGTTATGAAGAGAGCTGTAGGAGGGAGCTGGGGAATGTGTGTGTGAACACAGAGGGCAGCTACAAATGTGTGTGCCAGACTGGCTTCAGAGAAGACAAGGCAGCTTGCGTGGGTGAGTGTGTGTGTGTGTGTTCATGTGTGTATTGCATACCTGCCATATTGTGACCAAGATTTAGTTTAGTTAGCCACTTTAGTTTCTGTCACCAGTGAAGCCATCAAATTTTGACCAAGCTGTATATTGTTATTATTAGGGATGCATTAATCATGAATTTTTTTTGGCTGACTCTGATTCAGATTTCTTTTCTGCCAAATTGACGATGGACAGTTTTTAACCTGAAGCTCATTGGGCTAAGTGCACACATGAAACATGCTAGCACATTAAAGTGTGCTTAGATTCTATTTTTACCTAAGAACAAATCCTAAACAAAAAAAAAAAAACATTGGTGAATGTCAGAATCTTCATGAAAACTGCATAAGTAGGTTTTAAGAGGAAATATCTTCTCACGAAATGTTGGTGAATAAGGCTCAATATTTGCTCTTGAATGGGCCAAAGTGGCATTTTACATCCTGAATAAAAATAAGTTGTCCATGTAAATAACATGAATTAAATAAAGTACTTCAAGCACAATGAGTTGCTAGGACATTTTGGTGTAGGTTGTGGCAACAACATTCAAATACAGCATGAGTGTACCTACCTAGCTTACCTTACCATTATTAATGTCATAAAATTATAGCATAGACCAATGCTATATATATATATATATATATATATGCAGACACATACTCTACAAAGAACACACTTCTGCACATTCTTATTCACAATGACTTTTTTATTTGGCCTGTGCAAAAGGCAAAAGTTATTGCACATTTTATAATTTATGTTTTATTTTTTCCAAAATGTTACACTTACAATTGCCATGTTTAAGCTCCCTGTAGAGGGTATCTTAACTCATTTTCAAAATCAACAAAACTTGTAATTTGACAGGAGATGTGTAAATGTTTCTATACAATGACCATATATATTATAATCCTTCTATTTTTTACATGAGTTTCCCATACACAGTTCAAATGAAAATAGCAGAGACAGCAGACAGACACTTGTTAAGAAGGAATCTGTCCTATGTCAAAAACTGGTTTTCATTTTAAGTCAATGTGCATAACAATATGATTTCAGAAATTACACAAAACTCTTCACTTGCTTGAAATACTATGCCATGGCTTTTTAACCAATCCTTTGTAGTCTGCTAATGAAATCGAGCTGCCCTTGTCACTTTGCCTCATCATTGTTTAGCTCCTTGTATGCTTCTCTGCACAAGCACTAACTAACCTGTCTGCTAACACACTGCCTCTCTGCATTGATGCGTGCTCTCTCTTTCTCTCTCTCTCTCTCTCTCTCTTTCTCTCTCTCTCTCTTTCTTTCTCTCTCTCGCATACTGTTATTTTTTTTATTTAGGTGCTCTGTTTCCTGTCTTCCACACATGTAAAGGTATTATAATACAGCATGAGAAAAGATAAAAAATAATTTTGGTGAGGCATTGCAGAAATTGCACCTTAATGGAAGCATTCACTGTTTGCATATATTTCCAGTGATCATTTAGGTTTTGTGGCAACTCTTTTTCTCTAGATGTGGATGAGTGTGTTGAGCTGAAAGGTGTGTGTATTAATCGAGGAGAGTGTGAGAATACATTGGGAAGCTACAAGTGTGTGTGTTCGAATGGATACCGTGGCAATGGAACACACTGCACAGGTGAAAAACACATCACACAGATTTTTTTAACCTATACCTTGACATAGTCCTGAAACAATGGTTCCATTTCTACCCAGGCTTATTTAATTACTGATATTAAAAATGACAGCCTGGTACAACCCAAAACGCAGAAGAAAATACATTTATTTTACATTCTATTTCCTCTGCTTCAGTGTGATTTAGCAAAGTGACGTCATGAAACTATAGTTCACAATCTTGAAATATTTTTTTATCCTGCCTTTAGAGTGAATTATGGATAATGGTGGCTTATCAATGTCTTATCCATGTTTTGTGTAGATGTAAATGAGTGTGTATCAGGGGTTCACACCTGTGATGTAAATGCTCGCTGTGGAAACGTAATGGGCTCATATTTCTGCCAGTGCCACCAGGGGTACAGTGGAGACGGCCACTCCTGCTATGGTCAGCCCCTACCACATCTGCATTTAGCAGACTTTTACACATGAAGATACTTTTGTTTTATCACTAGCGAGGTCAGTGATGTTAATTCAATATGAATCGGCAACTCAGCAATATCTGTAATTTTAGATATTAAATATTGACCTTCTGTAATTTGCTCCCTCAGTGATTGTAATGTTAAAACATATAATCTAGTTCTAATATATAATCTAGTAGTACTTGAGAGACTTAAGAGCAGAAGAATTAATGTCTTCAAACAGAAGACATGTATTAAGTAATAGCACCAGAGGCTGTGTTTGTTTTCTTCTTTTTGTTGACGGTGTTTCTTGTCGTGGTAGATGTTGACGAATGTGCAATAAACAACGGCCTTTGTGAGCACAGCTGTGCCAACCTGCCTGGCACGTACAACTGTGTGTGCAAAGTGGGATACACACTGACAGAGGACCTACACAATTGTAGAGGTACACACATGCATACACACATACACAGACGATTTCTGTTAAAAATCTGGAAAGAGATACTTTTGGCCCCTCATATGTCTCTAGAGCCCATTTGTGTTTGTCATGAAGTTACTTCCCTTTCTCCCTTCCCTTATCTCTTTTTTCCTATGACATATTCTTCTGTCATATTGCCATATTTTGCAGAAAGACTAGTTATATATGCCTCTTTCCCAAAATGACTCATATTGGTTGGAGAGCTGTCATTTCATAGAGAACAAGCACCTCTAGCTCAGCCTCATCTGTCATTCCTGTCATGCAGTGAATATGAATTCTTTCTATTTTGGCAACTTTCCATGTCTAGTCATTTCTCTCTCAGCTCAAGAACTCTTTATCATACTCTTTAAATGTCTAATAATTGGCAACCTGGTGGTTAATTGGCAACAAGTCAATAACATGATTGCATATAAAAAGGGCATCCCAGAGAGGCTGAGTTTTTCAGAAGTAAAGATGAGGAGGGGTTCACCACTCTGTGAAAGACTGCACGATCAAATAGTGCAACAATTCAAGAATAACGTTTCTCAACATAAAATAGCAAAGAACTTTTGCTTTTCATCATCTACGGTACATAATATCATTAAAAGATTCAGAGAATCTGGAGAAATCTCTGTATGCAAGGGACAAGGCCAAAACCAGTATTTGCTGGCCGTGATTTTTGGGTCCTCAGGCAGCACTGCCTTAAAAACAGACATGATTCTCTAGTGGAAATCACTGCATGGGCTCAGGAACACTTCTGAAAACCACTGTCTATGAAAACAGTTCATCGCTACATCCACAAATGCAAGTTAAAACTCTGAAACGCAAAGAAGAAATCATATATAAACAGGATCCAGAAATGCTGCCACCTTCTCTGGGCCTGAGCTCATTTAAAATGAACTGAGGTGAAGTGGAAAAGTGTCCTGTGATCCAACGAATCAACATTTGAAATTCTTTTTGGAAATCATGGACACTGTGTCCTCTGGGCTAAAGACCACCCAGCTTGTTATCAGTGCACAGTTCAAAAGCCAGCATTCATGATGGTATAGGGGTGCATTAGTGCACATGGCGTGGGTGACGTGCACATCTGTGAAGGCAATTAATGCTGAATGATATATACATGTTTTGGCAACATATGCTGCCATCCAGACGACGGCTTTTTCAGGGAAGGCCTTGATTATTTCAGAAAGACAATGTAAAACCACATTCTGCATGCATTACAACAGCATTGCTCTTATTAAAAGAGTCCGGGTGCTAAACTGACCTGTCTGCAGTCCAGGCCCGTCACCACTGAAAACATGAGCAGTTGAAATCTTATGTTAAGCAAAAATGTTAAAACATTTCAATTTTAAAACTACAGTAATTTGTCTCACTTACAGAGTGCTGTTAAAAGAAGAGATGATGAAACACAGTGGTAAACATGCCCCCGGTCCCAACTGTGTTGTTGGCATCAAATTCAAAATGGGCATATATTTGACAACATTTGATATGTTGTCTTTGTAGTATTTTCAATTAAATATAGGGTTTAAATGATTTGCATGTCATTAAATTTTGTTTTTATTTACTTTTTGCACAGCATCCCAACCTTTTTGGAAATGGGGTTGTAAAATAATTAATCATGGTTAATTACATTCTTTCAGGTAGTAAATCACAATTAATCAAATTTTCTTATTTGGTCAAATTTGTCCCTAAAGAAAGATTTTCCATTTAAAAAGTAGTGCATTTTGTTAAAACTATATGGTCAAAATAAGCTTCATCAGAATGTATTTATGTGAATACAGCATTCAGGTGACTATAGCTTTTCACTTTGCTGTTGCTTTTTTTTAGTTTGGTGTTCATTGATTTATCCATAGTTCTCCTGTGAGCACTGTCTGGTATAGTCTCCCAAAGGTGCTAAAGGTACTTCTTTAAAAGCTATGTAAAAGCTGAATTTGAACCAAGAGCACTGCATTTGTGGATTTTGTAATAGCGACATAAAATGCATGAGCTGCTGGACGTCATAGTCCAGTTGGTTCAGAGGTCAAACCAGGAAAATGCATTAACAGCAAAAAAAAAAAATGAGCGTTGTTTAGAGTTGGAACAATTGATCAGAGATCGGCCGATCATCATCTTAACTCAGGCGATCTGATAGATGATCAAAAACATATGAGCCACATTTCGCAAGTTAAGATTGCTGCAGTACTGCACAAGGCCCTTTGGTCACAGGACAATGCAGTTCCTTGTTCAAACACTAGATGGAAATACAGACCTTTTCACTTTTGACTATGGGACTAAAGACCTATTCACACAAGTCCGATTTTTACGGATGAAAAAAACACACGCCAAGTTTTGAAAATGAACACACATATATTAATGCCATCGTTCAAACCTGACAGACTGAGAGGCTGCGCCTTTTAAATCTGAGCCTGCTTGATTTCCTGCGTTGTACGAATGCGTCAATCGTGCTGACTACTCAGAGCTCCATTGTCATGGTTGCAGCCCAAACAAATCTGCGTCAGGATGGTGGCAAAACTCTTGCTTGCATGGCGCATGTAAGTTTATACAACAAGCAGCATGCGGAGGTTAAAGACGGTTCATCTCTCTGCCTCTCCGTGTCTCTCTCTCTGTAGATGTGGATGAATGTGTAAGTGGTAATGGAACATGTGAGCAGATCTGCACTAACACACCAGGCTCTTTCCTGTGCTCCTGTCAGCCGGGATATCAGCTGCACATAGACAGATACAGCTGTGTGGGTTAGTACACACTACGACTGAAAAATTCTGAAAAGTATCCCATTGTATGCTGTTGTGGATGTCGTCATATAACATTATTTTTATCTCAAGACATCTATCTGTTGTCGTAGTACCATAAACTGACCTGTTCTTTTGATTAGGGAATTTTCCTTGGGTGTGAATAGTGTTGGTCTTCAGGGATCAGTGCACAAGTAGTTTCATTGTTTTTAAAGGCTGATTTCTACTTCTGCATGTCTATCTGCAAATATGTGTGGGTGTCGTGCAGAATGTACAGAAAATTAAAAGGCAAGCCTTGCATTTTCCTCTCTCTTTCCATAATTTAATACGAACTTCATGATTTTTGTAAAATTTTGAAGATAGGTTGTATAATATAATTTGCACAAAACATAGTTTTTGGAATTTTTGTAGATTTTGGAGGTGTGCTCATCATTAGACATAGATGAATGTAAGTTGCAGAATGAGGGCTGTTCTCATGGCTGCACAAACACACCAGGAGGACACATATGCCACTCCTGTCATGCAGTGAATAAGAATTCTTTCTATTTTGGCAACTTTTCATGTCTAGTCATTTCTCTCTCAGCTCAAGAACTCTTTATCGTACTCTTTAAATGTCTAATAATTGGTCAGTTAATTAAGTAGTTAATTAGTCATGCACACACACACAGATAGAGACACAATTAATTTGTTCTAACATATATAAACATTATCACTTTGACTACTTATAAAGAGGTTTTAAAAGGTCTCTGTGAGCTACGCTTAGGCATATACCCCTTCTCTTTGAAACAGATCAACAAAGGTAGGTTTACATGCATCTTCACAGAAGTATAAATCGGCCTTTATCCTTTTTTGAAGACTGTGTTCCTAGAAAGCTAGAAAAACAAGCTAATGAAAAGGAGGCTAATTTTTATTTTGGTTATGAGGGTTAATTGTTAGAGATGGGATGCATTATGGTAATACTTGGACTTAAATTAACCTTAGTGTGTGTGCCTGTATGTATTAGACATAGATGAATGTAAGTTGCAGAATGGGGGCTGTTCTCATGGCTGCACAAACACACCAGGAGGACACATATGCCACTGCCCTGCTCCACTACTGCTGGACCATCTCAACACCACCTGTATCAGTAAGTTACATGGAATTTTTACTTCCAGGGCTAGTGAAAAAATGGGTGATCACTGTTGACCTTTTTTCCTTTAGTTAGAAGAATGTGCCTGTGTATGTGTGTACTTCTGTGTGTATGCCTGTGTATAAGTGTTTTCTTTCTGATAGACATTACTTCCTGTTCTTTGCGGAATGGGGGCTGTGATCATGTATGCTCTCTGGGTGCTGAGGGACGTGTTCAGTGCAGCTGCAGAGATGGCTGGCTGTTGGCCAAAGACCAAAGAATCTGCCTCGGTAACACCACACAACACTGAACTCACACAGCTGAACACACACCCTGGCTTAACACACCTGTTACTGGTAATTAATGGATTGGTAATTAGTTTAAGAGTTTGGTATGATGCATTAGATCAGGCAAAATAATAAACTGCACTGTCCAGAGAGTTCTTAGGTACTAAAACTGGAGAGTTCAGCTTTAACTGTCAGAACTTCAGTGTTATTGATGTCACTTTGATATACAGTTTAAATTTAATTACATAATGAGTTACATTTACATCTCATTTACAGTTTGTATTAGCAGGTTTAAAAGGCCCATATCCTACATTTTCTTGTGTTTTATCTTTTCCCTGAGGTTCACTTAAGAATTTTATGTGGTTTTATGTACTAAAATTATTAATAATTCATTTTTTACAGGACCATTTTTCATCTTCTCTTTATCCTTTAAAATGGGCTGTTTTTATTACTGTGCCTTTAAAATTGAACTATGTAAACAACCTTTCTTCTATATGGCTCTGTATTGTGGCTCATCAAAAAAGCAGTCTGGGCTGAAGCCCTCTTTGTAACTTTAGCGGGCAGAGGCTGAATAGTTGGATGTATGTAAATTTGTTTTTGGTGACAATACAGAAACAGGTCATTCTAAATGGGCTGTTTTAGCAGTTTGGTATATGGATTTTATGGACTAGGAAGTGAACCACATCAAACTATTTAATTTTAAAAATAAAAAAGTTGTGGTATGGGGCCTTAAGTCTGTACATGTGTTTTCATGTCAAGAAATGACACAATGTGTGGCAAAATATGTGTGTGAAGGATGACTTTTCATTCTATGATATCTCTCTCTCTTAAGCAGATGTGGACGAATGTGTGAGTTTTAATGGGGGATGTGAGCAGGTGTGTGTAAATCATGCAGGCAGCTTTAACTGCACATGTAGGTCAGGGTTTGAACCTCGCACTGATGACCCCACTAAATGCCAGCGTAAGCCAGCTATAATCTAACTACATTTCAGTTGGAATATTCAAAGCCTTTTGTGATGTTATTTAAGCCTGCACTCTCTCTTTCTCTCTCACTTGGCCTCACTTAGCGGTGTGTGAACCTAGTTGCCAGAATTCTGGAGTGTGTATCGCTCCTAACACCTGTGACTGCCCTGCTGGCTACCCAGGACCTGGATGCTCAGGTACAGCGGCGTCACTAGAGATTTATGGACTGGGGGGCTAAGCCTTTAGTAAGCCTTTATGCTCCACAAGGAGATTTTTTAATGGTCCCAAAATAGCTGTTCATCGTGAACGTTCAGAGTTTGCAAAAAATAAAAATATTACTATAAAAAATATTACTATTTGGTGAAGCTGGCACATAGAAGATATGTCTATACAAGTTTCTTAAAATTCAAACTTAGACTAAAATAGTTGGCTCTTCATTTAGCTAATGTTAGTGATAGCCTATCCCCTTTTCTTTACCATATGTAAACCTAAAGCTAGCAACTGTAAAACTCGATAGCCAGCTATACTGACCACATTTTGCCACAAATCCATATTGTAGGTGGGTAACTTCGCTCTGTAAGTGCTCACTGGTTCACTTTGTATATAGCATTTTGAATATGGTCTGATGTTTATTTTAGTAAACTCTTAGCCAAAATCCTGTCACAATGCCAGCAGTTGCCCACTGAGGTTACTTTGCAGAGCCAGTAATAGCTTTAGAGCCCCTCCCCTGGTCTCATATGATTGGCTTATAACTTACGAGGTCTGATACGATTGGCTGAGCTGGGGCTCTCCTTTTACCCCCAGTGCTAAACAGCAGCAGGATTGCCAATTCCTCTTATGTTATTACCCTGCTATGACAGTATGACATTGCAAATTTAGAGACACAGTGGCACAGTTAATGAGGAATCAATAAGAAAAACTAGTGAGGATTAGGGAGCTAATTAACATTTTGAGTGGGTAAAGCCCCTCAAAACTGGCCCAGCGACACCCCTGCTCAGGTACAATATAATGAGAGTGTGTAAGAGTGTGTGTGTGTGTGTGTGTGTGTATGTTTCATTCAAGATTATTTTCAGCAATGAAAAGTAGGTCATTTGTAGGTCATAAAATCTAATTTACACAATTTTACAGCTAAAAGTACATGTTATACAATTCCGAAAAACAACATAAGGAAGTTATAGTAGCTCTAGCGCAAAAACAAAGAAGAAAACACAAAATGAGTGCTTTCACAGAAATGGATCCCTTGATTAGTATTGTGCTACATAGGGGTTTAGTTTACTAAATAGCAGTAAAAATATATGAATAAGTAAAAACTTCCGACATTTTCACATTGTCAACCTGCGTCAGTATTCACCAGTCACATAAATAAACCACCATTAGTTGCTAGAGCAAGGCTGAAGTCTGGTGTAACGTTTTGCAAAGTGCAGATGACAACCAATAAAAAGTACAAAACTTGACTAGGCTACATTTAATTCTTGGTCCATGACTGCAGTAACCCTCAACACAGTTGGCTTTCAATGTTTTTGCTCTGTGATGAGCAGCATTAGGATCTTTGTTTTTAATAGTAAAGAGCTGCTGTCAGTGTGCTGCCAGAGAGTCGACAGAGTCTAATAAGTTCTGCTAAATTCTTTCAGTGGCTCAGTATCCACCATAAATACTACCTAATGTTCCTCAATACATTTCTTAGTAACAAGAAACTTCAGTAATGCATTCAGCTGATGTAGGAATACACTAGAAATTACAAGTGCACAGTGAGAAATTCTAGTGCCCTAAAAATTACTGTGAAATTTAATTTCATGATTTTGACACTAAGAGAAAAATAGCCAGTAGATATGATAGTAACCTAAAGTGCAAATGGGTATGCATTTTGGTTACAGTGTGGGGTAATGTGTAAAGTTTTGACCAAACCAACACTTTAAAATCAACTTGAGTAAAACAATCATAATGCATAATGTTCCTTCCATATCGTGATGAATTTCTGAGTGAGGTACAATATCAGGGAGCAGCTCTAAACTAGCTGAGCATTTTTGCTCGAGGATAGGTGATGAAAGAATGAGGCAGACAAAAGCCACTTCTTTGTGATTAAAGATTACAGGAGAACAAAAGTGTTAATTGTGATAAAAATATTACTAAGGACATGAGCTAACAAGGTAAAAAAGTCTATTTTAATTTCAGGCTGACTTTAAATGTCTCTGTATCTGTGTGTGTGTGTGTGTGTGTGTGTCTCCTAGCTATGTGTTCACCACCGTGCGCTCATGGAGGAACCTGTATGCGCTGGAACACCTGTCTCTGCCCCCCTGGCTGGACTGGAGAGGGCTGCCACACAGGTAACATGTACCACACAAACACAGACACCCATAAATACAGTCTTTAAATGTGTGTTAATGTCTTTTTTCTTCCAGCGGTGTGTGAGTTACCATGTGGAAATGGTGGTCGGTGTGTAGCTCCTAACATCTGCCATTGTCCTTCTGATTATGCTGGTCCTCAGTGCCTCACTCGTGAGTATATGATTTTTTTAAGGTAGTGGTGGGAGATAAAACTGATACAACATAGTATTGCGGTATTTTGGGTGAAAAGGTAGTATCACTACATGAATACTAAGGAATCAGTGCTTTAATAATTAACGTTTTAATGACCTAACATTTTTTTGTATTACACCCATTAGTTGACTTATAAGTTACTAAAGTTTCGTAGTCCACAAGATGGCGCTGAAGCCTTTTTTTGTTTGCTTTTCTGGTGAGTGTACTACAACATTCTGTTTTGCTTTAATGAATGAGACTTAAGTACAATGAGCAAAGTACATACAAAGTATAAGTAAAGAGCAAACAAGAGCAAAAGTATTGTCGTGAAGTATTATTCAGATGCATAAATAGAATAAGTAAAGATATACAAATAAACTAGTAAAATATACTAAAACAACCATAAAATATAATGTGCAGTATCAAAATAAGTTTTTCATACTGCACATAAGTTATTAAGCAGGTGACAATGCAGTGGTGCATATCACTTCTAGTGAATGAGCCAAGTAACTATACTGTAAACGATAACGTATATTGTATATGCATAGGTGTATAAAGAAGTGACAGTGCAATATGTAATGAGTGTATAAACAAAGTGGCAGTGCAATATGTAATATGTGTGGACGTAAACAAAGTGGTAGCGCAGTACGCAATGTGTATGGATGCATAAACATCTCCCAGAAGTTGTCAGTTTTGCACAGACTCCAGTTATTTTCAAAAACAGATTGAAAACATCCTTTCAGACTCCTTAATCAATTGCACTTTGCATATTTCTAGCACTTTTAGTATTTATTCACTGTTCCTTTTGCTCTGTTCCTCACTTCATCTTCATTAACCTTTTTGAATGTATTTTTTTATTGTATTGTTTTTTTTTTTCATTATTTTTGAAGGCTTTGCGCTTGTTTTTAATTATTTATATTTCACTTTTATTTAAATAAAACACTTTGAATTGCTTTTGTGTATTACATGGCATAAAAATAAACAAAGTAAACTTGCCTTGCCGCTTGCCTTGCTTTTTTTCAGATGATCCTGCAAGACTGTGGGCTCTTTTTATTATGCTGTGTGTAAATTGCTGTAAATGTATCTAATTGTGTCTGTGTGTATGTTTAGCTCTCTGCACTCCTTCGTGTCTGAATGGTGGGAGGTGTGTGGATGTCAACACCTGCAGCTGTGCTGGAGCCTGGCAAGGAGCTCGATGTCAGATAGGTACATACACACAAACACAAAGTCATGCATTTACAAACAGACAAAACCACTCAAGATCAGTGTTTTTTTATCCTACTCCTGGGGATCTGCAGCCCTGCACAGCTTCAATTATTTCAACCCCCAGCACACCAGATCCAGCTCATGAAAGGCTTGATAATCGGATGACGAGCTGAATCAGGTGTGTTGGGGCAACATGGTGCCCGCAGATACTTAAAAATTCTTATAACGTCTTAATATATTACTGTTAGAGGTATTAAGTTATAAGATGATGCCTGAAGATCGGGTTAAAAAGAGCCACTGTTTATATCAACCCTTATGGCAGATGCAAAAGTGCCCTTTCATTGCATTTATTGTACACACAAAGAAGAAGATCTGACAAAGCCAAAAACTTGTAGATTTTTACTTTGTTGGTGTCACAAACACATGAGTAGGAATATCTCACACATCAGACACGATGTCTAACAAACTGACTACAACACTCTCATTAAACAAAATAATAATAATAATAATAGCTTATATTTTAAAAATATCACAGTGCATCTAACTATAAAGGAAGCCTTGTCAGTAGCTCACAGAAAGCTCCAGTTCTATATGCTGATATGTTTTTCTATGGACAACATGAATATGGTGCGGCTGTTCTGGTGGGAGATTTAAATAAGTTATAGGGGACATTGCCCAAGTCTCTGAATGGATTGTGGCAGTTTGATAGGATAAAATTACTTCAAAATAGTCTGTCAACCAAAAATATCCAACTGGCAGTGGTGCTGCGGTCAGAAACTGATCATTGATGAAGGGCTAAAGGATGACAGAACTGATAAAGTCTAACAAACTGAAAATACAAGGAAAAGAGAGGGCAGTTATTGGAGCGTAATATGGAAATTGAGAAGAGAGCTAGTGACTACAACTCACTCACATATTTCAAAGTGTATATGAATCATTGTACCAAATTGGTAGTTCAAAACACACTTTTAACTGACATGGACTTTAGAATAAAGTCTGTTTGCTTTTGTGTGACCTTATGCCTTAATGTTTATTTTATTAAAATAAGTCAATGAACATTCCATTTGGTCACAACCAAAGCAATTATAATACTACTGAAACTTGTGCCAAATGTTTTGGTAGTGACTGTTTTAGTAGTGACAATTTTAGCTAATTTTTAGCTACCTTCATCATGTTAGCCAGCTTTGAACTGTTGTACACACATAAAATCATAATATTTTTAATGAACCACAAAAAAGTGACAGTTCTTAAGGTTACACACTGATTGTCAGACTTTGGGACACATTTACTTCAAAACAATGGGCCTCATTCACAAACCGTTTTTTCATGAAGATTCTGACATTCACCATTGTTTTCTTATTTGGGATTTGTTCTTAGATGATAATAGAATCTACGCAATCTAAGCACAACGGTGAAAACAATTCTGTGGTTTAAGAACATGTCATGAATCTGATATAGACTTTTTCTTAGGACTTTTCTCAAGAACAAATTAAAGAAAAAACTTAGGAAGATATTGGTGAATGAGGCCCAATGGGATTTAATTGCTCACCATGCGGCCATGAGGGATGCAGTCTCACTTTTTGCCGGAGTGTGGTTAGAATAAGGCTCTGCCTATGGACTAAAACTCTTTGTGTTTCGGTAATGACATGAAAACGTGAGACGATTGCAGCAACCCGGGGCAGGGAACAGTTGAAACTGCAAGGCAGTGGGTCCCCAGGAGCGCAATTAAATGCACTGATTTAAAGAGATCAGATACACTTTCCACTGGAATCACTCTCTTCTGTGTTTGTGCGTTTTTCCTCAGAACCTGTGCAGTGTGTAAAGCCCTGTAAGAATGGTGGAGTGTGCGTGGGACTCAACAGGTGCCGCTGCATCAGTGGCTTTACAGGGCCCCTCTGTGAAACAGGTGTGTTTGTGGTCTAGATAAGGTGTTAGCACAGCCATAAGCCATCAAAATTGCTTCAGTGCAGTTTGGCATAGATTCTACAAGTCCCTAAAACTATACTGGCGGGATAGAACACACTTATTCCAAAAAGATATTCTCTCGGTTTGGTCTTTTGATGGTGCTGGTGGGACATGCTATTTAACATGTTGCTCCAGAATAATCAATAGGTATTCAGTTGGATTGAGATCTGGTGACAACAAGGGCCAGGTCATATCATTTTCACACTCATCAAAGTATTCAGTGACCCCTCATGGGGACATTGTCACCCCGAACAAGACCACTCCAACTGGAATAGAAATATTTCAGCACAGGATAAAGGTGATCAGAATAACTATACTGATTGACAGTGTCCAACTCAACCACTAAAAGGGCCATATTAAACAATCTCAACAATTCTGTGGGCCTGCTGTGTTTCTATTTTATTTTTACTTAACATTTTGCCATGACACCAACTGGCCATTGTTTGTTCTAAATATGCTAAAACTACAACGGCAAAAAATAGGCATCAAATACTTAAATGATTCAAAAATAATTTTAAATGAAAACAAATTGTTTTATATAAAACAATAGTCTGCATTCGCAACTGTTAAACCTCTTTAAATGTCCCCAATGTTCAGTAGGTTTTTCAAAACTGCCCATTTGCTTGAACTAGACACCTGGCGTCTTTTTTTGTGAGTTTTGTTTTTGTGGTGCAGTCCCATAGATTGTTGTTGGGGAGGGGGTGGGAGCACACATTAAGTTGAAGTGCTTGCTGGGAACTGTTGTGCAGTTCATGGTGAAATGAGCCAATATTAATAGACAATTAAAATAATTTTGTGGTCTGAATAGGATTGTGCCATGGGCCTGAATTGTAGCGCTCCATGTAGTTTAATTTCTTTATGATGTAAGCAATTTGAATTCAATCAGTAAGTAATGGGCTTTCACCCCAGTACTTTATAAATGGTTCAATTACACTTTAATCACTCATTTTCCTTCAGTTCTGGAAGCAAGTCTGTATTCATTATGTTTCTCTACTCATTTCATGTTTTGTCACATGTCTGTATAACGCTCTTGTGGCAATGTTATTTAAAACGTGTGTGTGTTTGTCTGGATGTGTATTTGTAGCTGTCACTATTCCCTGTGTACCACCCTGCCAGCATGGTGCCACCTGCAGCCCTCACAACACTTGCACCTGCCCCAAAGGGACCAGTGGCCTGCGCTGTGAGAAACTGTATGTACTACCCAAACATACATGGAGATCACACATGTACAATGTGCATGAATTATATAAAAGACAGGCCAAATCTTTAGGAGCGGTATTACTTTGTAATAAACTTTCAGCATCAATAGGGCAGATGTTTTGTTAAAACTGATGTTTTTGTACTATAAAAGTAGCTTTTTTTCATCATCAGTTTTCCAATTACTAAATTTGGCGCATAAATCACATATTTCACACATGCTTCTTGGCAACTATAACATAGAGCCATTTTGAGTGATACAATAAACTCAGTAAGAGCTAGGCACGATAAAGTACAGACTCCACATGGCGGGGTTAGTTTTAACACAGTATAATAGCTAAACCTTCCAAAGAAAACAATAAGAAAAGTCTCAAAACAGTTCATTTTTTTAAAATATTATTTTTATACATAATTTTTATATATATAAAAATATTTTAGTTGCATCATGCTAATATTAGCTTTTCTACCTTGTGCTCAAAAATACATTTACCACATTTGACACAGCCTATTTTCACTAATCATATTTATTTTGATGCATATATTTTATGTATTTAGGTATTTTAGGCTCTGGCTCAGCATAGAATTATGTTTAATCAATTGTGTTTGCATCAATTCACTAGACATTTTTAACTGACCCTTAGTATTTTATGATGAACCGGGTAACATGGCAATCATGCCACTTTTGGATAAATGCTTAACTAATTTTAAGTGCTGGAAACAAAGTTTATGTTTTCATTTGTAGCAGAGTAGGTTGCTTGTATAAATAGTCATCTTGCTCTAATAAAAAAAAATAGCTAAAACCAAAATGTTTTGGTTGTGTCTTGCTCTCCTTAATATGACAGTAACAGCCCATTATTGTTATTCATCCAAGATACATTTCATCACAGATATTGGCACTGACAAGCTTCTGTCTATCTGTATTTCAATGTTTTTCAGGACCTGTCCAGTGGTGACCACAGTGGTCAGTATGGCCCGAGCAGTGCGTAAAGGATTTAGAGAAAGTTATGTGGATCGTTGTGGACCTCTGGGAGTCCAGCTTTGCACCAAATACAGGTAAAGAGGAAGCCATCTGTTCATAAACGTGTGTGCAAACATGCACATACACACAAACTAAAATACTTAGCTATGGTGTATATTGTGTGTTTTTACAGGATAAACCAGGCACGTGTGTATCTGCAGGCATACAGAGTGGGCTACAAGATCCAGTGTCCTGATAAAGCAGGAGTTTGACCCACAATCCAACATGTGGACCCTCACTAACTTCCATAGACAAAAAATTATGTAGTGTATCACATTTACACACATACATAAATAGGATCTGATTTGATTTCATTATTTTGGTAAGATTCAGAATCATTCAAAATAACACAAATGTAACTTGAGTACTCAAGTCAGGTCTCAAGACACTGTACATTGTCTTGGACTTGTCTCAGTTCCAATAGTATTTATACTTGGACGGGGTCTCAGCCATTCACAAAACAGTTTAGAACAATTATATTCATTTGTAATTTCACCAGTATGCGCTGACTTGTGCTCAAGCAACTCAAAACCAAATCATTACATCTGTTTGTGTCTGATTCAGCAAGTTAGCATTGACATTGGTTGGGGTCATTCAGAACGGGCGCTGAACGCTAAGAATCTCAGGGTACCGATGCACATCTTTCCCATATCGGGCTAAGTTTGGAATTGTACTGTTAGAGCCATTTTCTAAACTTTAAATCCATTCCACATTTATGTTTGTAAGTAAAAGCTAAGGTATCGTATTATGATTTGAATTTAAAAAGTTATTGTTGCATGTATAGTTTTGTTTTGCAGGAGCATCCTGTACATTTTTACATTTATGTCTGTCATTTACTGACATCAAAACAATGGGAAATTTAATTTAAAATAATTATAATTAAAATTTAAACGTCATAGCAAAATGCAAGTAATGAATTTTAGAAATTAGGTATTTTATCCTAAACGAATCTGTAGGACTATAGCTCACTTTAAATGGAGTCCTTCAAACAATTTGAAAAGACAAAGAAGTTTGAAGTGGAAGCAGTTAAAAACGATTTAAGGCTTGGTCTCAACTTGATTTATTTGGTTCTCAATTTTGACTCAGTTTTGACATGGTCTCAGCCCCCTTTAGACTCTTGTCTTGACCAGGGTTATTATTGTTAACAAAAAACATTAAACTAAAACCATGAAAACTAGCAGTGAAAAAAAAATTGCTCGTTAACTATAATGGAAAAATAAAAATGACAGTTTTCAAAAACACAAAAACTATAACAAAACTACAATGTCCACTGCAAAACTAACTAAAATGAAATGAAATTACTGAGAAAAAAAAAATCACTGTATGATTGAGAGTTTAGAAGTCTGTGTTTGTCAGTTTTTGGGGAAAGCTGGAGTTGAGTCAAGCTAGCTATTATCACAGCTAAACTATGGCTATTTTCAGAAAATAAAAACAAAACTAAAACTATTTATGCAATCTTAAAAAACTAAACTAAACTGAAAGTAAAAAGCAAATGAAAAACTAAAACTAAAAGTAAAAAAATGTTTTTTGGTAGCTCTGGTCTTAGCTCGATTACAGTTCATCACAGTTTTGAACTTTTCTTGGACTTGACAAATCTAGTCTTGGCAACAGTCTTACACATTAGACAAATATAGTTAGTAAAAACAAAAACTTTTTCGACAATAGATAACAGTCAGGGACTTTATTTTGGCCCAAAAACTAGTGCATAACTTATGAAAATTACTATAATCAATTTTAATCAGTTCCAACATTCTGAAATCAGTGCAGTTAATTGTCACTTTCACAATGCACTGATGCAATTTACACCCCTAACACATATAATTTTATGGTATGTCTTATGTCACACACACACATGAAGACAAGCTTGGACTTAAAGATTGCCTTTGGATGAACTATTAAACTAATGTGAGTGACTGTACGTGTGTTTTTGTATTTGTATTGTGGATTTGCTTCTTTGTTTGATTAGTGTGTCCTTGAGTAGTGTGCTGAGCAGAGCAAATAAGAATTTGCTTTTTAATGAGTCACTTTTAGCGGTTAAGCTGTAATGTGCTCTTCTTTACAGTCTAACTACAGCTCAGAGGGAGTTCCAGTGAAGTGGGAGAATGACCCACATAATCAAATCTAGTGTACCCTGACCAACACACACACATGCACTGTCTCACATTTACACACACACTATGTCTCACAGTCTTATGAACACAAGCTTCATCTCAGGATTACTTTGCATTATTTTGGAGTGAAATTTTAAGATTAGGGAAAAAAAAACTTTTGATGATGTAACTTTGAAGGTGATAGAAACTTTTGACAGATAATGTATCAAATACTTTCCTTTCAGCCAGAATTCCCCTCTAAAACAAAACAAGAGACTGGTTTTGATACTGCTGATTTTACCAACAAACCTACTGGATTAAAAAAAAAGACCAAATCATTTCAAATTGATTGACTGATTTATGACTGCAGTGGCAATTGCATGCCAAAGTGCATCTTTGAAATGCTTTTATTGATCACCCTTGAAGTAAAGCATCAAAACCTTATATATGGCTTTTTAGAGGCTTCCTCTATAAAGACTATGCATGGTTTGTTATTGTTCATTTTTTATTGCTGTGTTATGTTTTTATCATATTTCACCATCTAGGCTGTATAAGTCGATATACACTGTGGGGTAATTTACTCCAGCATAACTAAGATTGAAGTTTAAAAATGTTGGAAAAACATCCATTTAATAATTTCTGTGATGCAATATATCCAAAAAGAGAAGACCATGTGTTGAATTTCTAAAGTAAAACAGATTGTAAAATTTAATAAGATTAATGTTTTTCAGGATTACAGGGACATAAAAAAACTAAACATAATTGAAAATGAAAATAATCTTAACAGGTTAACACGTACGCACAAACACACCTAAACTCACACAAATGCTTAACTAAGACAAAGGCTTAAAGAAAATCAGTGGACTAACACTTTAAAAAGAGAGAGAAAGTGAGTGGTCGTGGTGAGAGCATATATATATATATATATATATATATATATATATATATATATATATATATATATATATATATGGCCTGCTATAATGCAGTACACACTGTAAAACATGATAATTGCACTAAATTAATCTTTTGGTTTTTGGTTTACTAATTTGTTAAAATGACTTATACAAATCTTGTAACACATACTATTTATTGTATAATCCTTAGTTACTTAGGTAAATCTAGTTAAGATCAGTTAATTTGGATATGTCCTACAAACTGAGGAGTCTTGTGCTCAAGAAGTATTCTTAGCAGTTTTGTTGCTTTCAGTTAATTCATATTTATTTTTCTAATTTATAAATAAAATTAATTTTCTTTGTAAAATGTTATTTTTGTGTCACAGCATACTGTTATGCTAAATGTGAAGTTTAAATGCATTTCACGTGTAAATCAAACTTAATATGTGACTTTGTCCTGCTCAAGGAACATAACAAGCCTCACAGAGACACAAAGGCCAAAGAACTATTATTCCTAGGTGTTAGGGATATATTCTTAAGCAAAATGTTCTTTACTAAAAAGATTCAAATTGGATTGCGGGAGAAAATCTTAATCCTTTCAACACTGACCAGCCACTTCATTAAATACACCTACCTTGCATCTACGTTCTACAATTCTGCAATTACACACTGTAGTCCATCTGTTTCTCTGCATAATTTGTTAGCCTCCTTTCAACTCGTTTTCCTTTGGTCAGGACGACTGTAGAACAGGTATTAGTTTATTGGTGGATCATTGGTGGAGCTCATCTGTTGCTGCAGAGTTTGTGTTCATCATCATCTCGTCCTTCATCAAAGGCCACACTTTTGTTGGCTGGATATTTTTGGCTGTGGACTGTTTTCAGCTCAGCAGTGACACTGAGGTGTTTAAAAACTAGCTGCACTGTTGTGTCTGATCCACTTGTACCAGCGCAACACACACTAACATGCCACCACCATGTCAGAGAATTACCCGTCACCCAAATAGTATCTGCTCTATGGTGGCCCTATGAGGTGCCTGACCACTGAGGAACAGTGAGAAAGGGGGCTAAGTATAGGTGTATGTAAATACGTCGGTTTTTTTATGATCATCAAACAATTAATTCAAAGCGGTTTTGGCTGCTTATTTTATATATATATATATATATATATATGGATTGTTTGTTCTTGGAGGTGAATTGTATGATTTTAAACTTATACATTACATCATACATCTTTATTTTAAATAAGTGAGAAAAATTGCTATTTAATGTTATGGGCCCTTCAAAATAAAGTGCTTTTAAAATTGCAGAATTGCAATTTTTTGATGTGTGCCTTGTGTGTTCTCTGGATCAGTGTTTAATGAGTCACTGATGTTAAGCTGTGATCTGTTTTGCAATAACCTCCAGTACTGAGCTGAAGATCATATTGTACTGTTGTGTGAGCGGGTGCGCACATAAGTGCTATGCTCATGAGAGAAATCTGGTGGGAGCAGAAAACAGACTGTCTCAGCAGCGAAAGCAGTTTCAATCAGTAAACATGTCTACCATAATGAAGCACACCGGTCACCCATCAGCAGAGGAACAGTTACGGCAAAGAGCAGACGTCATTAGACTGCAGCTCACACAGGTGACTCTGACACACTCTTTTGTGCTTTTTGTGGTTCTTATTTGCACCTCCAGAGAATAATCACTTTGTCATCCAAACTCTGTTTTACTGTCTTTTCATCTTTTATTGGGAGCACTTCTTCAGGGCTCTGGTGACATGCTACAATGTTGGTTAGGAAATTTCAGGTCAAATCTTATTAAAGGGCCTATATCCTACATTTTTCTTGTATTTTGTTATCCTTGAGGTCCTCATATGACATTTGTGTGTGTTTATGTACCAAAAACAGCCATAACTCAATTTTACATAACCATTTTTAAACCTCTCTTTATCCCTTAGAATCAAACAGGCTGTTTTTTATTACTGTGCCTTTGAGACGCATATATGTATGTGCAACACAGCTGATTAGATACCCTGTATTGTGCCTCATTCATAAAGCTTCAGGGTGAATGGCTGGTGCTAAACTATTATAGGCAGAATAGGCAGATGTATGACACTTTTTATTCAAAAAAGGGCTGTTTTTGCAACTTAGTTTCCATATATGGACTGTATGGACTGGGGAGTGAATGGTACATTTTGAAGCTTTAGCAGTGTTCATGTACTACATTAAACTCTTTTACTTCAAAAAAGTAAAGAAATTCATGTTTCCATGATATGGGCCTTTTAAGTCTTATTTCTTTGCTTGAGGGTTTTAAACCTGTTGTTCCCAAAGACAGAAGAAATAAAAACATTTTTTCATATTTAAATAGTTGCATCCTGTACCTAAAATTCCACTTTTAGGATGGTTAAAGCATGGAAGGATTTTTGCATTTGTTGTCATGACCTTTCTCAATTGTTTGCGTTTTTTCATCCTGGTAGAGTTGTGTAATGTGTAAAATGTTGTTTTGGCAAATGTGTATTTACCCTCCAGGGACAGTTTGTCCAAAGTACTGACCTTAAAACCTTTTGTTACTGAATGTTGCTAATGGCATTAAACCTTCATTAACAGAGCATAGTTAATGATAATCTATAAATACTGTCACACAGTACAATGCAAAAGAATCCACAGGATGCTTTGCTACAGTATATAATATAATACATTAAATTAGATAATGCAAATGCAAAACTTGGCATAGCTACATTGAAAAAAATCTATTTGTTTTAAAGGTAATTTTCACTGTTTTGTGTGTGTGTGTGTGTGTGTGTGTTTCCTTAGGGAGTGAGCAAACCCTTTAAGAAGATAATTGACATCTGTTCTGGTGACATCCACTCAGTAGGAATGAAGCCACTTACGTTTGTCAGACAAGTAGTGCCATTTTCGTCATCCTACTAGATCAGGGCCCATACTAATGAAGATTTTTCATAGTAGGAGTGCTGATCTAGATCTGTTCCTGTCAGTGAGGTTATAGTATATAAAAGAGGAATCTGATCCCAGCTCAACACTCCTACTTTGAAAAGCTGTGTGAATAAGAGCCCAGGGATGTCAAACTGGGTTTGTTCCAGGACACAGCTCTGCAGAGGCTGCAGTTGGGGTAGGAGAGAATTTGCTGGCACTGGTATACAAAGGTTTCTCTTCAGTACTCACTCATATACATTCAGTACAGTCTGAGCAAGCTGTGCTGACACGTCATGGGTTACTGACAATAGTGCAACACATTTAAATACATTCAATTAAAATTTACATTTCGTTAGAAACTCTGGCACCAGTTGAGTCCTTTGTTTTCTCAGAAACAAAGGGTGCCTTTCTCGGCTGCATTCGAAGGATCCTACAAAACGGGACAGCCCTCTGTGACATAATGGCAAAGAAATGCAGCCTACCATGGCTAGAGTTTAGCATTGTCTCATTAAATACATCTGACTCATTAGCTAATTAACATGGCCTTAATAAATTGAATTTAGAGTGTTAGAAGAGGGAAAACACTAATCTCTGCAGAGCTGTATCCCATAAAAAACCCAGTTTGACACTCCTGCTCTAGAAAATGTTTGTATGTTCATACATATGTATGTATGTTCATCTTTGTTGAAATAAGTGATGTGGGAGTTTTTCATTGTTTTGCATTTTACCATGTACAAAGTGTGAAAACAATGTACACACTGTTTACAGCACAGATGTTCTGTGTGTGTGTGTCTATGTGTTTGTGTGTTTGTGTTTCTCAGGTCCTGGCAGGGTGCTTGTGTCCTAATCTGTTGGCCAGTGACGCACTTCCTCATGATGCACGACAGAGGGCCCAAAAGTTGTTGGAAAACTGTGATGGGGGGAGTGTAGGTGAGATGTGTGTGGGAGTCAAACAATCAGTCAAATCATGTTTGGTGTTTGCTTCTTTAGCTGAAAACTGTAATCGCAGTCATTTTGACGCCTGAATTTTAACCATACTCTTGTTTATTTTTATAGACAGTGTTTTCACTGTTTTTCATACATAACAGTAGCAGAAACCACAAATGTGAGTCTATCTGAGATTCCTTCACAACTTGACATAATTTAAGGCAAGTATGTGATGGTTTTAACGTGCACCTTGCATAATGCTATTTGATAGAGAACGCCAAACTCCAAGCATGTTCTGACTGATTGAGCTCCAGAACCTGGTTTGAATGCCACTTGTGTAAGAGAGTAGAATTTTGGCTGAACTTAACCTTAATTCCTTATTGTTTCAGGTGCATATGCAGAATCAAGTGGAATGGCTTATGTGCAGCGCACTGTGGCAAAGTTCATTTCTACACGAGACGATGTGCCTTCCAATACAGCACACATCTTCATCACTTCCGGCTCCATAAGAGCTATAACAGTACATTTGAAGAATATAAAAATATCTGAAACAATCCAGAACGGTACAGGGGATGAAAATAAAAATAACCCAAAAATAAACAACATTTTTCACAAAATATAATCAAAAACAGGAACAAAATAGAGTGAAAACTAGCTATTTTAAAATGTGGTTAATAAGGATTGGAAACTAAATATTTTTACTGGATTCCTTTTGAGATTTTATATACCTGCTCCAGCATTAGGCCTCCTTTCAATCTGATCACAATTTAGAACCACATAAACAAGCAGTTAATAAAGTATCAATCTGATACAGCATATGCTCAAAAATGAGATGTTAGATTTATTTAAAAATGTTATGTCAAGTGGTTTCACGTAACTGTGTTAAATAGCTTTTAAGATACTTGATTTAGTAATATGTACTTAATGAATTTAAGTTCATTAAATGCAGTCTAATAATTGGACTAATCATTTTTATGTTTTCCTCCAACATTCAAAGTATTATGGTTACATTCTACTAATTAAAATAGAAAAAGATCATACAATTAATAGGTTTAGGTTAGATATACATCATTTCTTGTTATTACTATGCCTTAGTGCTGTCATGGAATTATGCACAAAAGTATGTTACGTCATAACATGCACTTACGGCCAGCGACAATGTGGCTACGAGAAAGATGTATACAGACTGGAAGGTAGGCTAGGGGAAGGAGTTTTACTCAATAAGATTACATTTACCAAACAAATACCTATGAAATTTATTTGACAACTTAATTTTGTTGAAACTGCTCAGCTAACTTTCACTTCCATGTATTTGTTAAGTAATATCAGCAGGAGAAAGCTATATAGCAAATCAATCACCATGGCTTTTATTGAAATTTATCAATAAAAGAAGAAACTAATAATGTTATTAACTGATGGACTGCATGAACTAGTGGAGGCTGAAACTGGTTGCTGTTTTCACTTGCATTCTATGACAAATGTTTGTCACCAGTGAACCATTTCAAATCCCTGACTGAAACCCCCTTCTGCTCCTTTTTAAGGTAGTTCTGAAGCTGCTGGCCCAAGGTGGGGCTGTATCCCAGACTGGAGTCCTGATCCCTGTGCCCTTTCCCTATACCCTGCCTCGTGTGCTGGAGAGTGTGGGGTCAGTGCCTTTGCCTTACTTGCTGAGAGAGGAGGCAGAGTGGAGGATAGAGATGGAAGTGCTTCACAGAGCACTACTGTCCTATAAAGGCCACTACTGGCCACGAGCTATTTACATTAGTAACCCTGGCAACCCTACAGGTACCAACTACACATGTAAATGCCTGATCATGATTATTCCTATAGAATGTGAGTATTAAAGAGTCTTAATATCAGCCCTGATCTGATGGATAGGCCATGTCCAGAGCAGAGAATCCATTCAAGAAGTGATACAGTTTGCTGCACAGGAGAATCTGTTTTTATTGGTTGATGAGGTGAGAGTGATTTTTTTAAAGCTTGTTTATTTAACACAGACAATACACACTAATCAAAATCACTATTTCATAATGTTAATGTGCCACTTCTAACCAAATGGCTAATTTTATCTCTAAACGTATTGTTGTTTAAAAATATGAACAATACTTCTCACACAGGCAAAACAAAACACAAAGTGACATTTAAAGGGGAAAGTTAAAAACTTTTCTGTGTTTTCTCTCTCTTTTTTTTTTACATATTTGTCACACGTAAATGTTTCAGGTCTTTAAGCAAAACTGAATACAAGATAAAAACAACCTGAGTAAACACAAAATACGTTTTTTAAATTATCGTTACATTTATTGAGAATGTTATCCAAAACATTATCCGATGCCAGCTGGCTCTGTGTGAAAAAGTAATTGCCCCTTAGTTCCTCAATCAATCAGTTAACCAAATGTAGTTGCTAAAAGGAATCCATTAGGCTAGACACACCCAAGCTTGTTTACTGCCAGCCCTGTTGAATCTAAACACTACTTAAACCATTTCAGCAATGTGAAGTAGGCTATGAGGTCTCAACAAGCAGCACACCACGCCACAATGAAAAGAAATTCCAGATGAGACAAAAAGAAAGTTAGTGGAATATATGAGTCTGGAGACAAAGCCATTTCTAAGGCTCTGGGACTCCAGCAAACCACAGTGAGAGCCATTATTTCCAAATGGGGAAAACTTAAAACAGTGGTGAAGTAGCTGACCTACCAAAAATGTCTCAAAGAGCACAGCTACGACTCATTCAGAAAATCACAAAAGAACCCAGACAAACATCTAAAGAACCGCAAGCCTAACTTGCATCAAAAAAAAGGTCAGCATTCATCATTCCACCATTAGAAAAACATTGGGCTAAAGGTGTCCATGGGAGAGTTGCAAGGTAAAAACCATGGCTAACCAAGAGAAACATAAAGGCGCATAACTCCCAAGCGTTTTGGAATAATGATCTGTGGACTGATAAGCTGAAAGTGGAAAATTTTGGTAGTCAGGGATCCAGTTACATCTGGTGTAAAGCTAACACAGCATTTCACAATAAGAACATGATCCTAACTGTTAAAACATGGCGGTGGTAGTGTGATTGTGTGTTAATGGTTTGTTGCTTCAGCAGCTAGGTGACTTGCCATAATTGATGGAACCATAAGTTCTTTTTGCTTTTAGAAAACCCTGCAAGAGAATGTCTGGTCATCAGTCTATACAGCAAGACAACAATACGAAGCACAAGAGCTAGTCCCCCTCTGAATGGCTCAAAAGAAACAAAATTAAGGTTATTGAGTGGCCTAGTCAAAGTTCTCGCCTGAACCACACTGAGATGCTGTGGCAGGAAATTAAATGGGCAATTCATGCTTGGTAGCTCTTTTAGTGTGGCTGAATTAAAACAATTCTGCAAAAAGAAGAGTGGGCCAAAATTCCTGTCTGAAAAACTGATGTCCAGCTAGAGGGAATTGTTTTTCTTCAATAAATTAAAGGATCAATTAAAAATTGTGTTTTAGGTTTATTCATGTTTTCCTTGTCTTATCTAACATTTTGTATTAGGATCTAAAAACCATTTACTGTGACAAATATGCAAAAATTGAGAAAATCTGGAAATACTTTTTCACAGTACTGTTTGTCCTTTCTCCTTTTGTCTCTCTTTTTATGTTTTAGGTATACCAGGACACTGTTTTTGGGGTGGGCTGTGAGTTTGTATCTTATAAGAAGGTCCTAGCTGAGATGGGTCCCCCTTACTCTCACACTGTGCAACTAGCCTCAGTCCACTCCCTCTCCAATGGCATTATGGGAGAGTGAGTCTTCCTTCTACACTGTAAAAAATTCAGATCAACTTGAAATTTTAAGTCAACGTTATGAATAACTTTTACATTTTCTCAGCTTAGTTTAGTCAAATCTTCTCTTTTTTAAAAAATACAACCCCATTTCCAAAAAAGTTGGGATGTTGTGCAAAATGTAAATAAAAACAAAATGCAATTATGTGCAAATCATTTTAACCCTATATTTCATTGAAAATAGTACAAAGATGTTGAAACTGAGAAATTGTTTCTTGAATTGTTTTTTGAAAAATATATGCCCATTTTGAATTTGATGCCAACAACATGTTCCAAAAAAGTTGGGACGGGTGCAACAAAAGGCTGGTAAAGTTGTGTAAAAAAACACCTGGTGGTTGATTGACAACAGGACAGTAACATGACTGGATATAAAAACTGGGTCTTTCAGAAGTAAAGATGGGAAGGAGTTCATCCCTATATGAAAGACCGCACGATCAAATAGTGCAACAATTCAAGAATAACGTTTCTCAACATAAAATAGCAAAGAACTTTTGCTTTTCATCATCTACGGTACATGATATCATTAAAAGATTCAGAGAATCTAGAGAAATCTCTGTATGCAAGGGACAAGGCTGAAAAACAGTATTTGCTAGCCATGATCCTCGGGCCCTCAGATAGCACTGCATTAAAAACAGATATGATTCTGTCGAGGAAATCACTGCACGGGCTCAGGAAGACTTCTGAAAACCACTGTCTGTGAAAACAGTTCATCCACAAATGCAAGTTAAAACTCTAAAACACTCAAGAAGAAAGCATATATAAACAGGATCCAGAAATGCTGCCACCTTCTCTGGGCCTGAGCTCATTTAAAATAGACTGAGGGAAGTGGAAAAATGTCCTGTGTCCAAGTCAACATTTGAAATTCTTTTTGGAAATCATGGACACTGTGTCCTCTGGGCTAAAGACCACTCAGCTTGTTATCAGTGCACAGTTCAAAAGCCAGTATTCATGATGGTATAGAGATGCATTAGTGCGCATAGCGGGGTGATGTGCACATCTGTGAAGGCACCACAGATGCTGAATGATATATATATGGTTTGGCAACATATGCTGCCATCCAGACAATGTCTTTTTCAGGGAAGGCCTTGTTTATTTCAGCAAGACAATATCAAACCTCATTCTGCATGTATTATAACAGCATTGCTCTGTATTTAAAGAGTCCGGGTGCTAAACTGACCTGCCTGCAGTGCAGACCTGTCACCACTGAAAACATTTGATGCATGAAACAAAAAATACAACAAAGGAGACCCCGAACTGTTGAGCAGCTGAAATCCTATATCAAGCAATAGTGGAAAAACATTTCACTTTCAAAGCTGCAGCAATTGGTCTCCTCAGTTCCCAAACACTTATGGAGTGTTGTTAAAAGAAGAGGTGATGAAACACAGTGGTAAACATGACTTCCGCCCCAACTTTTTTGAAACGTGTTGTTGGTGTCAAATTCAAAATGGGCATACAAGACAATAAAAACAATAAAATTTCTTAGTTTCAACATGAGATTTGTTGTCATTTGTACTTTCAATGAAATATAGGGTTTAAATGATTTGCACATCAATGCATTTTTTTTTCTTTACATTTTGCATAGTGTCCCAACTTTTTTGGAAATGGGGTTGTAAATAAAAAAACAAGAAATTGCTTAAGTTTTTTGATGGATTTTTACTCAGTTCCTCACTCTATTTGATTTTGGATGAATTGCTAATTCCCACCTACAGGCTACAACTGTAAGTGGTGGTTGAGGGCTTCTTCCTGACGTCTGATGGAGGGCTGAGATGCTGCTGTGACATATTCTTCTGATAAATAGGCAGTTAGATAGTGGCATCACTCAAGAGCCATGAAACTGTTTAGTTTTTTGCAAAAACCGAATAAACTGAATGAGCAGTGTGACATGTATAGGTAAATAAGACTTGCCTGTGGTGCGTCTGTCCAACTGCCTGATCATTAGGAGACAACAGATCATGAGTTCAAATTCTGACAGCACCTTAGCTCTTTATGGTCCGGTGGGTGGGAACTGGCAATGATTAAATGTAAAAATCCAACAGAAACTGTGTTTTGTAAATTAGTGTGTGTGTATTTGCCAATACATTTGTGATCCAGGTGTGGTTTAAGAGCAGGCTACATGGAGCTGGTCAATGTTGATGAAAGTGTGATGTTATTTGCTGAAGCTTTGCTCTGTGGGGACATAAGCACTGCTATTACTGGTCAGATTGCCCTCAAAGTCATGGCTGACCCACCCAAGCCTGGAGATCCCTCACACTGTTTATACAAACAGGTACTCAAATGTATTGAATGATGTTTATGTATATTATATTGTCTGTGTATATGCATGTGTATGTGTTTATGTTGCAGGAAGTGGAATACAGGCAAAACACACTGAAGCATAACATGTACAGAACTGCTGAGTTTTTTAACACTTTGCCAGGATTCCACTGTCCTCCAGTACAAAGCGGAGTTTTTATCTACCCACGCTTAACATTCTCTCCCAAAGCACTGACCCATGCACAGGTACACAAACACATACACACACACCTCCCACTCAGAAAAATGTAATGTACGGAATGTAAAATAGCCTTTAAGTACAAGTTATTCATTTTTTTTTTATTGTCAGAAAAATGCAGGAAACCTATGTTTAAAAGAAATTACACAAAAACCTCCAACCTTAAGTATGATGTTAAATCTATTAGATTTTAATTTATCCACTCTTTACTTTTGTGGACCCTACTACTTCTTGTTTAATTTTTCCACCATTCCAATCTTAAAAACAGTAAGTGACAGCTGTTTCCTTCCAACAAAAGATCCTGACATTATGTTCCCCTTGAAGAGACACTGACATTTACACAAGCAACTACCCAATTGTACCATACCTTAGCCAATTTTTCATGTGCGCTGAAAATGGCTACAGGAGATATTTTCAAGGAGATCAGATATAAGCTAATCTACTTGCATAAGTAAGGAAAAAGTTAAAGGACAATAAGTTAAAAAGAAAACAAAAAAACAGCAAGGAGGGGCACAAGGTAAAAATAAAAATTATTTTGAGGGAACGTTTCACCATTTACGTGCACATTTCCTTTTTTTCTTGGGCAGAATTTCTTAATTCTGAACCTATACAATGTGGTTTTGATGTGCTTAGATTTATGCGATAATTTATAGAGAAGCACACATTATGTTTTATACTGATTTGGGTGTGCGTTATCAGGACTAAAATGTCACTATTTACCAAAATATTTACCTGTATATTTCTAAGTTAGTTTGACATCATGAGGTCACATTGCAAAAGAGTTTAAGAGATTTACTGGTTTTTAGCCATTATTAAATAATTTCACTATTTACTAATTACTAATTAAGTTTTGTAGTTTAATAAATATATATTTACATTATATAAAGTCATTTTGGCATTATGATGAATAGATTTATATGATTATTAAAACCATCATAAAATAAATTACTTCTCTATTTACAATTTATTGGTTTGACATCATGAGGTCTAATACTGAGAGAGTTTAATATACTTATTCTATTAATTTTATATATAAATTTTAAAAATGACAAAAAGAAGGGGAAAATTCATAAATGTGTAGTTCAAAGGTGATTTCAAAGTGCCACTTTAGCATCTCCAGTTCACAACTGACTGCATATCTTTGGACTGTGGGAGGAACCCCACGTAGTCACAGGGAGAACATGCAAACTCTGTACAGAGGGCAACCTGGTTGCCCGGCCGGCTCATCCTCCTTGCTGCGAGGCAACAGCGCTACCCACTGCAAAACCATGCCGCCCCCATTTGCGTTTATTTTTTTTAATTTAATTTGCTAAATAATTTTAAAGGTATCTCTCTCTCTCTCTCTCCCTCTCTCTCACGCTCTAGGGGCTTGGTTTGGAGGCAGGACTGTGGTACTGTGGGAGGTTGTTGGAGGAGGAGGGTGTGCGTGTTGGGGTAAGCGAGTGTGTGGATGAAGCAGGGTCTCACAAGAGCAGCTGGCATCTAAGGTAATATATACAGGCTACACACACATACACACACAAAGTGCAAGGTTTGCTTACAAAAACGTAAATGTGTTTGCGTTTATTTTCAGGCTGTGTGTGCTGATGCCACCTGATGCTCTGGAAGAGGTTCTGTACTGTCTGCAAGCCTTTCACTGCCGTATTCTCAAAGAATTCTAAAAAGAGAACTCTGAAAAGGGTTGGAAACAGCAAAAAGTATAAACTCACTCCATTATTTGTAGCTTTTTGACAGCACCGTTAACTGCACACATACTGCACCTACTATATTACCTTTGTTTGTCCTTAAAATAAATGCAGTTTTAAATTATATTCTGTGAACAGCAGAGAGCAGCAGTGGCAAGGCTGAGACGCCAGCACACACAATCACTGAAGCCAAGCTTAGCAAGCATAACCTCAGGGTATAGAAATTGCACTTTGATTTAGAACCAACTTTCCCCACTTATGTGTTTTTATGCCCCACAAACTATTTTATGAATTCAATATCCATAAAAACGGTGTCCCTTTCATTGGAGTGCTGCACTTAGGATTAATGTGCCAGGCTATCAAGGAAGACTGCATATATTTAAAATGTAATGATACACAAAAATGGTACATTGCATCTATTTGTGTGGTCTCTTTGTTTATTTGTCTGTGTTATCTAATCCCTGATCCCTGCATTGTTGTGTGGACTATATTACATTTTTCCATTCAGTTACAAAGGGTAAAGTCAGCAGATACAGCAGATTTTGCGTGTAATGACAACATAAAATTTAATTAGCATGGACATATTTTCAGTTTGTAAGTAACATGAGCAATATTAAAGTTTCCAAATGTACTCCCCAAGTTTATAGTCCATATGAAAATATTAAAGAGGCAAAAACAGCGTGTTTTGAATTCATTGTTTCTGTGTTGTTGTTACACATATCTGTTCAGTCTGTAGCAGCCGTCGTTTCAGCCTGGACTGGTTTTTAAATACAGGGAAGCCAATCTGAACAAAGGTTACACATATCGGTCTTAAAGGCGAAGTTACAAAAGCAACCTTCCTAACTCTAATGAATAAAGAGAGATTGCAAAATGGTAATGTAAAAATGAAACTCAAAAGTCACACAAAAATGAAGAAAAAAATAAAATACAATTGAAATATAGGATATGGGCCCTTTTATACAACCCTTACCTCAATCTTAATTTCCATGTTACAACACTGAACAGTTACGCCATTTTCAGGGAGGGCAAGCAATTTGTACAAGTGAAATATGAGTGAGTCATTTTTTCCAGCAAAGTGAGTAACCTCAGTGGGATAATAAGGGCATCATTATAGCTTTTTCTGATGTGCATGGTGTGCACAGCCAATCAATTTTCAGTCTAATTCAATTTTATTTATCCAGTATTTTACACAACTGACAAAAACACAGTGGTGTAGTGATCCAGATCCAAACCTATAATGAGTAATATTTGGGTGACAGTTGCATAAAAAGTTCCTGAGATGGTCTGATGATATGAAACTTGAGAGAAACTTAAAGGAAACAGAGTAGGAAAAAAGACTTTTTATGTGCACTTGCTACACTTAGGTCCACAATGAAATTGTATCAGATCCAGACACTAAATCTGGCCTGCTTTTACAGAAATGGTTTGGCCGAAAATCAAATTTACACAATTCCCGTCTTACCCCAAACATAGTCAGTCTGACACGTTTGGTGTCCATAGTTTGCCTCTTTAATTTTGCCCTGGAGATACATGCCTACATTATTTCACACTTAAAGTTAGATAGATTTGTTTACATGGTTCCTGACATTGTATGATATACTGTTATCTTTAAAAATAAAACAAAATATGAGCAGGAGTTAAGATTTAAGATGGCTTCTGTTTTAGCTTTGCAACATACTTTATCCCATTTTTACAGGTACAATATGTCATGCATTGTCTGAAACAACAAAAGTAAGTCTATTTCAAATGAATCAAAGGCTTAACATGGTGGCAGGCAAATGTGTGATGATTTAGGCATGTGGTTTGCTTGGACAATGCTACTTAGTGTGGCATAGGCTTCCTTTATGGTTAGCTACGTTACCCTTGTAGCTCCAGTGCTAATCTAAAGAAGCAAACTTCAGATATTAAAGGTGTATTGGCTGATCGAATACATTTGGGGCAAGAGGAAAATCATGCAATTTTGACTTTTGGTCAAACCACCGCTTTAACCTTCCACCAATCTATAGTGTGTTAGGCTGATGTGATTTCCTCTTTTGTCAACAAACACACTCTGAAATGCAACAGTGACTCAAACTTGACTGACGTACAGTATTTGAACTGATGTAAGAGATTTGTATTGCCCATGAGTAATTGAGTCATAGAGTATTTTAAAAAATATTTCAAGGAAAAAATAGAAGAACGAAAATCAGTTTAGTATGCTTTTCTTGCAGTGATGGAGCAGGGAAATTGGCACAAAAAAAAATGCGTAAACGTTGGTTAGGTCGTTGTGCCTGTAGGATTATTAGGTAAAAGCCACTGTATCAGTGTGTAACGATGAGTCAGCTGACGTCACGTCAGCTCTTGGATGAAATAAGGCAGGTGAGGTCAGCAGCGGCAGGAGAGCAGTAAAGCATGCAGGATTAAAGCAGGTTAACAAATTTGGCTCAGCCTTGGCCGGTTGTCTACGTCCTGCTGTTGTGTATTACTGTGGGCGATATTATAGGGTATATGAGCAGGATCCAGCCTGTTTGGTGGGATAAGAATAGATGATGTAGTGCCTCGGACACAGGATAATGAAACAGCCAATGCCAGTTTGATTTTCCATCAGCGATCCAGTGCACGAACAGCCTACGCGAAAGACACCAGGAGCGCGTTAAGCCGATGCAGCGCGAGACGCTCAGAAACGTGTACACAGTTTACAGTCTGCTCTGCTCTTCGTAATCCACGCTGTCGTTAAGGGGCGGGATTCGTTTCAGTTCGGTGTCTCGCATCTCTCGTGTGTCGTTTTGAGGAAGGAGGGAGGTGGAGAGAGGGAAAGAGGAGGGGGTCATCTCCCTCTCTCCGTTTCCGTCGTGCCCGTTTCTTCCGCCGCCCCCCCCACCGAATCCTCCCTCCCGACCATCCGTTCACGCGCTGCACCGAAGCTCAATGGCGGCGGCTCCGGAGGACGATGTGGACCGGCGGCCCATCCGGAGAGCGCGCTCCAAGAGCGACACCCCCTACCTCACCGAGACGAGACTATCATACTCGCTGCAGACAGGTAGGGCGTGCGACGGCCAGACGCGCGCGTGCATGTGTGTCTTTCGTGTGTGTGTGTAGGTGTGTGCGCGTGTGCGCGAGCGTGCATGACAGATGACTTTTCTCGTGCCGAGAAGGTTGAAAGGCAGTCCCTGATTCCTAATGGCACTGTGCACGAGCTCTCGGCTTCAAATCTGGCTGCAGTGAAAGGCGCTGTTGGCCACAGAACCGTACACGAGCACCGCTGACTGACTCAGTGCGTGCTGTGTGTCCCCACAAGCAGGGTGACTTACGGCTTTCTTGATGAACGTCTCGAGGAACGTTTTTCACCGTCCGCCGCGTCGTCACATGCGCGCGAAACTGCACAGAGGGCAACTCGGTGGAAGTTAACGGCGGAGACGGCGCGAGCTAACCGCGTTTTATGACACCGATTCATCGCGGTCGCGTTAACGCCAGCTAGCATAGGCTTCCTCAGGATGCTGTCAAAGCCACTGCGGAATTTTAGTGTAAAGAAACCACAGCACGCCGGCTTATAGCGCGCGTGATCGCTAGTGTCTTCCAGTGCGTATTCTTCAGTGTGTTGTAACTACAGCTAGCGGCCTATACATGCAGAAACAGACTGTCCTTAACGCCACATCTGATTAAAAACCACCCATGCAAACCAGGCACGTGCGCTCGCTTGTGTTGCAGAAAAATGATACAATCATTAAACGCCTAGAGGCCCGATTGTAATCAGTGTTGCTATGGTAACTTTCTCCACACCCGCCACCACGCGTGTTGTTTGATGACGCCGCCGTTGTCGTCTCGTGACGGGTTGTGCTGGAACGCTCTCGTGCCAGAATTTGAGGGACGAGCGTGGCGCGCGACATTGGAGCTGTCCGCCGAACTGAGTTGCTGAAACTGAAACTGTCTGCATGCAGTTGCGTTCGAAAGGCCATTTGGTTGCAGTGCACTCACAGTGACAATGCAGATACTTTGAAATACTCCTTTACCATCCTCGTGTCTATAGGCTAGCTCTCCAACCACTTATTTGTATTCAAACTTACGTCATTCTCTCTCTCTCTGTCTGACTCTCTCTCCTTCTCTCTTTTACTCACTCACTTTCCCTCTTTCTTTCTCTCTCGCTTTAGAATGTGCCACACCCATTCAGCTTGTTAATGCTTGTGACTATATGTCCAAACGTATCCAGACACCCCTACCCTATATATATATATATATATATATATATATATATATATATATATATATATACACAACAGTATACACACACACACACACACACATACATATATATATATATATATATATATATATACAACCCTATTTCCAAAAAAGTTGGGACGTTGTGAAAAATGTTAAAATAAAAACAAAATGCAATGATGTGCAAATCATTTAAACCCTATATTTCATTGAAGATGCTTCAAAGATAACATATCAAATGTTGAAACTGAGAAATTGTATTGTTTTTTTGAAAAATATATGCCCATTTTGAATTTGATGCCAGCAACACGTTCCAAAAAAGTTGGGATGGGGGCAACAAAAGGCTGGTAAAATTGTGTAATGCTTAAAAAAAAAACACCTGGTGGTTAATTGGCAACAGGTCAGTAGCATGATTGGGTACAAAAAAGCATCCCAGAGAGGTTGAGTCTTTCAGAAGTAAAGATGCGAAAGGGTTCACCACCCTGTGAAAGACTGTGCAGGCAAATGGTGCAACAATTCAAGAATAACATTTCTCAACTTAAAATAGCAAAGAACTTTTGCTTTTCATCATCTACAGTACATAATATCAATAAGATTTAGGGAATCCAGAGAAATTTCTGTGTGCAAGGGACAAGGCCAAAAACCAGTATTTGCTGGCCGTGATCTTTGGGCCTTCAGACGGCACTGCATTGAAAAAACAGACATGATTCTGTAGTGGAAATCACTGCATGGGCTCAGAAACACTTCTGAAAAACACTGTCTATGAAAACAGTTTGGCGCTCCATCCACAAATGCTGAATAAAACTCAAAACTTAAAACTTAAACGCAAAGAAGAAAGCATATATAAACAGGATCCAGAAATGCTGCCACCTTCTCTGGGCCCGAGCTCTTTTAAAATGGCCTGAGAGGACGTGGAAAAGTGTCCTGTGATCCGATGAATCAACATTTGAAATTGTTTTTGGAAATCATAGACACTGTGTCCTCCAGGCTAAAGACCACTCAGCATGTTATCAGTGCACAGTTCAAAAGCCAGTATTCATGATGGTACAGGGTGCATTAGTGCACATGGCATGGATGACATGCACATCTGTGAAGGCACCATTAATG